CATCTTGTAATTCTGGGTGGAAAAAACGCGGGAACGGGAATCGGCCGAATCATTGTGTTGTTGCTGCGCACTCCGCGCGAGGCCCGCGCGGAGAGACGGGTAATAAAAGACTCGCACGCGCGCGTGTATGTATGTGTACGTGTATATGTGTGTGTGTGTGTGTGTGTGTGTGTGTCCTGCGTGTGCACATGCGAACTCAGCCACCACTGCGAGGCGGGTCGATGACTCATGCTAATCATTGTTACTCCGTGGAAAATGTCGGCTTCGCTCGAGCGTCGAGGGAGCGTCGGGGAGAACTCGCGCGTCCGATCCGCGTCTCCGCTAGCTTCCGCGACGGACGTAATGAAGTGATCGGCGGGCGGAATGAAGCGGCGAGACGTCAAACCCGATTAAGCGAGCGGATTAACGGCGCGTCGGCGGACGCGACGCTCTCGGAAGACTCGAACACCGCTCGCAATTAGGCGACGCGCGCGCTCGGCGAAAGTAGTCGGAGGATCGAGATACATCGGTCAGAGAGCGAGAGAGAGAGAGAGAAAGAGAGAGAGACGCGGGGGGGGAAGCGACTTGTCTATTCATCTCTCGGTTTCTAGGTCTACCGACACGACTTTGATCTACGTCCAGAAATCTGTCGTGGGCAACGCGCTGACGTCACGCTGACCAATGACTTCTTCGGCCGAGTGAGGTCCTTGGAGGATAGATATGGCCACTTCCGCGACGGCGGTTTCACGACTTACAGCCGTTCGCCGTTCCGATCGCCGCCAGGGACACGTGACGCCCGCGTGATCGCTGCCCGAAGAATATCATTGTGTATGCGCGCGCTGAAAAAGCGAAAACATGATAGGCCGATAAGAGGGCGAGGCAAAGGCTGTATAGGGTGTTTGCAAAAGAGGGTTCAGGATGCTCTGAGGACGGATAGATAGTACTCGCGAAACGAAGAGAAAAGTTCTGACAAGATGAGTCGAAAATTGATGTTGTCGGAGTTGCGAATAATTATTTATGTTAATCAAAGCAAGCGACCTGCTCGCTCCTGGCGGACGGCCGTGAAATGCGTTCCGCCATTTCTTCATTAGCGTGTGTGTGTGTGTGCAAATGACAAGGAAATAGACGCTTGTTGTTTACGTTCCGTGCAGGAGCGAAGAGACTTTGTTTTAGGGATTTCTTAAAGCCTGGCACTCTCTTCGCCGATAAATTAAGGCTAGAGAAATTAATAGATAAAAAATTAATAAATAAGTGGCTAGAGAAATGGATGGAGGAACAAATTACAGAACAGGGAATGCACAAAAGCACCAGAAGCAAGCAAGTCGCTTGCTTCAATTCAAACAAATAATTGCTCATAATTTGGACAATACTAATTTTTCGACCCATGTTCATTAAGACTTTTTCCTTCCATCTTGTGAGCACTATTTGCTCTTAAAGTCCTGAATCCTTTTCTCAAACACCCTGTATAGTTGGCGAAGCTTTACAAGAAGAACCGGCGGCGTACTTGTTGAAAGATTTGCCTCGGCACGCGAGCGAGGCGATACGATTGCGAGGAAGGCGGGCGAAATTTCGAAGCGTCGAAACGCCGGTGACTCTCCTCGGCGGCAGAATAAATCCATTTAATGTCTCTTTCGACACGTATCTCCCAGCATCTCGCCGACTGGCAAACTCCACCTTCCTCAGGTGGCGCACATGCGCCGTGTTTCCGTCAATCTCCGGGAGCGTCATCAGGAACGCAAATATTGACTTACAGGTCGGAATCGGGACTCCGCGAGAGTATATCGATCGCGGCGAGCTCCCCGAACGCGGGGGCGTGTTTGTTTCCCGAGCAGCGCGCCATTAGCCGATATACAGGGTGTCTCAAAACACACGGTTGTCCTTTGGGCGTGTGAAAAAGAGTGAAATCTTGAGTCGAAAGTTCCTCTTCCATTTTTTCCTCCGACCATTAAAAATGAAGTTATTAACGAGGAAAGTCGACCAATGGCGTGGCGTGCACGACTGTCGCGCAGTGCCGTACACTGGCACGGGACTGCGCCCTACGCTGCCGCCGAATGTCTTTATCTGATGATATTAAATAGCTCATTTATCATCCATTTGATGAGCTAATTGATTTATTATCATTTTTAATCAACAAAAACAAAAAATCGATTGAAAACAAGTTTAAAGATAGAAATTTTATTAGATGTTATTTTAAATGATAAAGACCAATGGTTTTTCAGTGGTCTTGAAAAAGATCGATTTTTTAGAGCGCCTGTTGAAAACGTTGTTCGCAGAAACTACGTAATGTGTGCGGTTCCGTGTATTCTTTTATAACGTGTTAATTCATCACAATAAATTCTCGTTTTACCTTTTGTTTTGCTTTTCCCATGTTTACGTTTCTATCTTCGGTGTCTCGCGGATTGAGAAACGGCTGACAGGACTTGTTGTTATTTCTTGCACGAGATACTTTTCAGTAGTGATTCCCCTCAATCCCCTAAACGCGACGAGATTTAAGACAAACAATAAACTGTGAAGACAAAGGCAGAAGTGAGATATTTTCCGACTTTTTAAGCTCATCAAATGGATGATAAATGAGCTATTTGATATCATCAGATGAAAACAAATTTCGGCGCCAGCGCAGGGCGCCAATGTACGGCACTGCGCGATCGGCGGTGCGCGTCGCACCGCATTGGTCGACTTTCCTCGTTAATAACTTCGTTCTTAATGATCGGACGAGAAAATGGAAGAGGAACTTTTGACTCAGAATTTCACTTTCTTTCACACCCCCAAACCGTGCGTTTTGATGAAACACTCTATATATACAACGCCGGTCACTCGATACGCGAAGTCGAAAAAATCGACGCCCTCTCCGCTCCTTCGTCGGCGGGCCGGGCGCGTGTCAGCGGCGAGTCACGAGGATCATTGCGCAACGATTGCGCGAATAAAATGTCGGCATCAGCAGCCGCGCACGCGAGAGCTCAAATCGGACGATTCGCTCATGCGACGCGTCTCCGCCGGCTGAGAAAGCGATACCTCGCCTGACTGCAGCCCTGTTCTGGGTAACTTCTTAACGACAATATTGCTAGCATGATTCGCATCCTTTCCGCCGTATATTATACTTGCGCAGCGACAATGTCGTTATCGTGAAGAAGTTACAGAATAGGCCTGCTGCGAAACCGGCCGGTTTCGGTGCGTCGCTTCCTCTCGACTCGCCAGAGACGCTCCAGGAAGCCTGTGGATTTAAATCATTGTATTGTAGACCCAAACATTGTATTTTAGACCTTAAAAAATCTACCATTGTATTTTAGACCTTAAAAAATCGAACGCGATTGGTGAACGAGATTGCAGAATGGCAGCAGTTCTCTGCTCCTCCGGAGAAGCAACAGGCGCAGTTTTCACACGAGATGCGTCAACCTTCATTCAAAACGGGGATCCGGGCAACATGCGTCCCGGGTGGGTAGCGGTCTAAGGGAGCGATCTTCCGCATTATTTAGCGCAACAAAAGCGAAGGCTCATCCTGCCGACCGAGAGTCGCCGCCGTGTTTCGCAGACTATTTCAGGATAGCGCGCGCGCGTAAGCCGTCGCACGTAATAATTATTAAGCCGCTCGTCTTGGCATCAGATGACACCGCAACGATGTTTCCGGGAAGCTATTATTTTTAGTTCACTCGGTAATCAGCGGCGTTACGTCCCCGGGGGAGGGGGGCGCGGGGCGATTCGCGATCACGCGATCGCGGCGATTTTTCCTCGTGGACGATTAGCCGACGAATCGCGCCACGTTGCGCCGCGTCGCGAATAAAGCAGAGGTGCGTGTCGGTAATTGATTTGCTCTCCCTCTCTCCCCCTTCTCTCTCTCTCTCTCTCTCTCTCTCTCTCTCTCCCTCCAGCTGACGCAACGTGTAACGTCGCGGCGTTTACAGCTACGCGCTCTGTAACACACGGCGTAACCTGATTGCGCAACGAATCGCGCGACCTCGCAAAGTGCGGGCTACGCCGAGGGGGCGCGGCGGTAGAGGGGGGGGGCGTGTCCCCTTTTCGCTCCTTTTTGCCTGATTCTTCGGCAAATCCGAAATCACGGCCGCCGAGAGCGGCGCGGCGGTCTCGGGAACGATAACGGGAACGCGGCTGTTCTTTTCTCCTCGCCGCGGCGCGGCGCGTTTCGAGATCGAGCGCGGTCGCGCGGATCGGGAACGCGCGGCGATAAATATATAAGAGCCGGGATTTATGGGGCTCTCGGGCGGCGGGGCCCGATAGGTGTCGTCAGTCATCGAGCGACGTCCCGAGCGTCGGTGGCAAAATGCATCTGGAGCGCGGCCAGGCTTCAAAAATAAGTCGAAATTCGAAGGAATCGCCCGATCCCGTCGGCGCGGGCGAGCGATTTACTCGAGCACGAGGATGCCGTCGTCTCGCGTCTGCGGGGTGTCCCACGCGTCCCGACGGCGCCGCTGGGCTCGTCGGATTTTTTCGTCGCCGCTTCCCGACGGGTCTCGTTGACGAGGCACGTCTGACTTCGGCCGACGACTTCCACCACCACGACGACGACGACGACGACGACGACGCTGACGGCCAATCGCGCCACCTTTCTCCTCGATGAATGTGCCGATAAAAACGCCACGGCACACTCACTCAGGATGACTCACAGGATGAGCAAGACTCGTCCAGAGGGGGCGTCGCGCGCGGTTAATCCGGGGACCTTATCGTAAATCATGAAAACAGCCCCCGTATCTTTCGCGGGGCTGACGCAGCCACCTCCTTATACCCGCTCGCGCCGATGTAACCTCGATAGGGAAAGGGGGGGGGGACCTGGTACCTCCAAAGTCGCGCTGCTGTCACCGAGCAGCGGAAGTGCTCGAGTCGCGGATTGCTCGAATTTGCGCGGCTCGCCTGCGAGATTCTGCCCGGCCGCGCGCGGTACAGGCGAGAGGAGATTCGCGATGCCGAGTGAGAGCACGAGAGAGAACGAGGTGGGAGCGCGGAGGACCAGGGGATGGGGGGTCAAGGGAAAGAGAGGGGGCAACACAGAAGGATAGACAGCCTTTTGAGATACTCCGGTGACCAGTTTAGTTCTGCTTGGCACCCGAGACGCGCGAGTTGCAGCGAGCGGCGCAGGCTCCGAGGCCGACCGACGCGCCGATTGTCCTCCCTCCAGGAGGCACACCTCCTGAAGAATCCCCGAGAAGGAGCCGCGGCAATCGACTTGATCTGAGCGCAGCATGAGCGCGAGGTAAACTCCGGCCACACGGTGTGTGCCGCCGCGATCGCGCGGAAGCCTGTCACGACGGTCACGCTGAAGTTTCACGTTTCCGGGAAGTGGAGCCGACAACAACTGCCAATTAGCTCTGGCAGCTCCGCTAGCGAGCAGGGAGAGAAAGACAGAGAGAGAGAGAGAGAGAGCGCGCGCGCCTGAGACTCCTCTCGCATCCTCGGCCGCGAAGACACGCGCTCGCTGTCGCTCGCCGAGGGATACGCGGGCGACCGCGAGTGAACGGCGAGCGAGGGCTGTCGTCGCGAGCCTCTCGTCGACTCGCGGGCGATCGAGCCGAAGGAGCCGCGAGAACGACGACGTGCGCCGTCGACGTCGCCCGCAGACGTGGAAAGCGGCTTCGTCCTCTGCGCTCGCGCGCACCTGCCGCTTGTAAATGACACTTGTGAAATCCACGCGCACAGTTTCACCGGCCGTCGAGGAGGAGCGCGGGAGGAGGAGGAGGAGGAGGAGGAGAAGGAGGAGGAGGAGGAGGAGAAGGGGTCGTTGACAAGAGCGTACCGACCTGTTCCGCAGGCATCGCTTCTCTCTCGCCGCCGCAACACTTCCCGGAGATAATACCGACCGCGGCCGAGAGCGCGCGTCACGTCTAGAAAGTTATCGCCGCGAGGGAACGGCCGGCGATTTTCGCCCGCACGGGACTTCACAGCTGTCGCGAGCGCGAGCGAATCGAGCTGCCGAGCCGAGCCGAGCCGAGCCGAGCGGAGCGGAGCGGAGCGGAGCGAGTGAGGCCGCGCGCTGGAAGGGCCGCGCGCGCGTCGGAGGACGGACGGACACCACCGCGCGCGCGACAGAGAGAGAGAGAGAGAGAGAGAGAGAGGAGTCGCTACGCGGTCTAAGAATATCGCGTGCGCGCGCGGATCGTTGAACTCGTTCCTTTCTTCTTTCCACGTGTCGCGCGCCCCACTGGCCGCGGGGCAAACAAATCGGAGACTTTCCCCGGCGACGTCAGTCCGCAAGCGAGATGTCGACCACGTCCGACGACGAGGGCTCGCAGGAGGACCACCCGCAGCGCTACGACATCGACGACCTGGAGATCATCAAGACGATCGGTAAGTCGCCCGGCCGATGTTTCTCGGCCGAATTATCGAGTTGGGAGTCGATCTTCCCGAGCGAGAGCGACTTGGCCGAGTTTTCACGCGAGTTGTGGTGGTGTTTACTTTACGCGGCGGGCTTTTATTGCGTGGCAATAATTTTCAGACGCTCGTACATGTCGAGCGAGGTGCATCGATAAGGGAGGAGCGTCTCGCTCGCGCGACAGAGCGCCAAGAGCAGCGCGTCGCACGTTTGCGCGCGTGTGTATAAATAACGATAGAACGAGCTTGACGCGATCAAAAGCTTCGGATGACAAAATTAAAATAAACGACGGCCAGGGAGAGAGAGAGAGAGAGAGAGAGAGAGAGAGAGAGAGAGAGAGAGAGAGAGAGAGAGAGAGAGAGGAGCGAGGGAGGGAACGAGGCAGAGAGAAAGAGAGAGGGACGGAGAGAAGAAATAAAATGTACCGTTCTCAAAGTAAGGAAGTGGGACACTGGAGAGTGAGAGGGTGTATCCAGTGTATATTTAACTGCTCGTTAAAGCCGGAATTGTGGGAGAGCGGCTCGGAAAATTGCAGGTACTCGGCTCGCTCGATCTTTTTCTGCCCTTTCGTAACTCCGGCCTCGGGCCGAGCAGCTGGACGTACGAGCGGGCCCGGGGAACTCGTGTGCTCTGAGAGCGCATTCTTCAAGATATCTTATCGTCCCGTCGATTGTCTGTTAGATATCCTCCCGCCCGCCGGTGGATATCTCGTTCCGACGCCACGACGTCCTCCGGAGGCGCACGAAAATTCCCGCGCTCGACGCGCGCGGGTATTCGAATGAAGGCAGAGAGCGCTTCCAAGGATAATATCGTTCTCGCAGGAGAAACAAGTTTTATCAGAGACGTTCCACGACGCAGTCTCGCGCTCAAAGTGAAACGGAACTTATCCGCAAGACATTCTCCCAAGAGCCATTCCAGTCTGTCGGGCATTCTACGACACGGTCTCTCTCTCTCTCTCTCTCTCTCTTGAACATCGCTCCGTGGACTTTCGCTTGAACACTTTTTGCCTCTCGGCCGACGTTACACCGCAAACTTCACGTTCGTCGCGCAGCCGCGTCACGTTCCGAAGCAAAACGAAACGTGCCGCGAAGATGTTCTCCTAAGAAACACCCAGACGAGCTTGTCGAACGCTCTGTGACCGTCTCTCTCTCTCTCTTTCTCTCTCTCTCTCTCTGCCGGAGACTTTCACGTCGACGAGACGATTTTTTCTGGAAACCTAACTTGACTCGCAGAATTCGTGCTCGTCACAGTTCGAGCACGTTCGAGTGAAGACTAAACTGAAGAGATCCTAAAGAAATCCTCCTGAAAGACGACATTCAGACGAGTCTGACTGCCGTTGACTTTCACGTCGGCGCGACGGTTTCGCCGCTCGAGCGAGTGTTATGCTAGAAAATTTGCGCCCACCAAGTGGGTTATCCATCGCGAAACGAAATATGTCTGAAAGATGGCGAGAAATCTGCACGAGTCTGCTGAGATTCGCGCCGACGGATGTCCGTCGAGAGTAAAATGTACACCCTCTGTCCCAAAAGTAATCGGAATGGCTTTATTTTAACGAAATTAGTGGCTCCTTCTGTTGATGGGAGATTGAATCAGGAAGTGTCAAGCTTCCTTAATAACCTGTAAAAATTTCATGACATTTCGTTCACTAGAAGCCAAGATACGACGCAAGTCAAGTGACAGTAGTTTGATACCTCGGTCGAAGTTGGCGATTGTTGTTGACGATAATTCACCTTCTCATCGTTCGTCAATTGTCACTGATTTTTTGATCAAAAATCAAATTTTATTGTTTCAATATCCCCCATATTCACCCAATTCGGCACCCTGCGGCACACTATTTTCCATTTCCCAAGCTGGCATTTGGCGATGAAAGGAAACCGTTTTGCATCAGTCGAAGACATTCAACGGTCAAGGACGAGCAATCTCAACGCCACTCCGATCAGCGACATGAAAAAGTCATTTGATGTACTTTTTGAACGTGCAAATCATTGTATTGTCGCTGAGGGAGAATATTTCGAATAAATATCTTGATTTTTCTCAAGATTTCTTAACTACTTTTGTTTGTTTTAGACCGGGTCTACGATAGGTGTTGTAAGCTTTTTGCTCTAAGCCTTACCAATCGCTTCCCATTTTATTTCTTTTATGTTGTGATCTTTATAATATTTATTATTTGTTGCATACCAACAGAGATTTGCTTGTACAATTGTTATTGAAACTTCGTCGTCAATGTCAGCAGCGTGTTCTTTGTTGTCGGACATTTTGCCAAACCAGATCGAAACGCGCATGAAAACGTGTATATGTGCCTAAATAACTTTTCTTATTGGCTGAGAGAAATCGGACTTAAGCTTTAATTATCCTAACTTCAAAAGTTGGGTAGATCCGCGAACTTTTGAAGTCAGGAATTAAAGCTTAAGGCCGATTTCTCTCAGCCAATAAGAAAAGTTACTTAGATACATATGTGCACGTTTTCACGCACATTTCGATCTGGTTTTGGCAAAATGTCCGACAACGAAGAATATATTGCTGACATTGACGACGAAGTTTTAATAACAATTGTGCAAGCACACTGAGGGAAAAGTATATGACACTTGGAACTATAATGATATAGTAACTAAATTATAGTCCGAAATATCATATTTATAGCAAGTATTACCATAATATCGGTAATAATTACGATATAGGCATAATATAACCAAGCGTATAAACTAAAATTATTGTATGGATACAAATATAAAATAGTAGGTAAAGTAACTCTTTTATATAGTCAATATTACCAGAATATTTGCTAAATGATGACAGATGTAACTATACGAATATTAAATCTCACTATATTTGTGAATGAGAAATTGCCATATATGTGGTAAAAGTAACTAAACACTTATTTCAGACAATCATTGACTATATATTTGTGTTTGTTCTACTATATTTTGCAGGTTTCCACGAAGTAATAAAAATATGGTTGACGCCAAAACGCACTACAAAATATAGTGAGATTATAGTTAACCCAACGATATTTTTCTATCAGTGCAAATCCCTGTTTGTATGCAAAGGATAATAAATATTACAAAGATCCTACACACAAAGGAAGAAATGAAATGGGCAGCGATTGCTAAAGCTTAAACCTTAGACCAAAAAGCTATAAGCTTATTGTACACCTATTGCAGAGCCGGCCTTAAAGCCGTTCCGATTATTTTTCGGGGGACTGAGGGACTGTGCGTCCCCGACGACGACCTTTTCCAAGAGACACCCCGTTGTCCATCGGCCGCCCTACGCTCGAGTCGCCCTCGATCGTCGCGCTCGTGTTGGTCTCACGGGTATTTAAAGCGTCCACGCCATCACCGGAAGCGCTTGGTCGTTTTACCGTTGACACCTGTTCCGAGCCGTCGTTGGCAGCCCGCCTCGCCTCGTGGCGGCCGACGTGGACGGACAAGCGGTGTTGTATCGCGGCGCTCTTGTTGCCTTGCCAATTCCGTCGCGCCGCCGCCGCCGCCGCCGCCGCCGCGGTGAGGGCCGCGCGCGGTGCCGAGGGATAAATATACGCGCATGAATATGCAAAACCTTGCGCGCTAGCCGCAATGTGACGGTCAATTTCGGGGTTTAATTTAGCCAGGGCTCATTGCGCGGCCGGCCGTTCGCCCGCGCGCGCGCGCGCGCGGGCGCTCGTGAGCGCTAATTGGTCACGGCACGTTAACCGGAACAACCGAGTCACCTGCATTCGTGGGAAAGTGCATGAAACAGAGCGCGCCCCGGTAGCGCACATCGCGCCGATTATAGGAGCGCGCCGAGAGCGCGCGGCCGGTAATTAACGGGCCGCCTTAATGGTCAGTAATATGCAAATGAGCCATTGCGCGCGGCGACAGGTACGCCCGTTACCGGACGACACGTCGTGTGTGTTCTTTTCTCTCGGCGGGCGCCGCCGCGCGCCGACAGAGACGACGTCTCTGAAGCTAAAGTCCTATTAATAGTTATCGCCGCTCGGGCTTATCTCGGCCGAATATACGCGGAATTTGAATTTAGAGTCGGATCGGACTTTCCGAGCACGCGACGCATTTCGAGTGCGCCGTGCTCGGCGAGCTCGGCTGGAGAGCCCCACGTCCGGCTTTGGCCGTCAGATTGGCTCGACGGGTCTCACTTGAGACAAGTTTCAAGTACTGATTATTTTTCCACACACAGGTGTGTCGTATCTTTTTGAAAACTTCCACTTGAAGATGCGGTGTCGTGCGAAATATCCAGATTTGAATTTATGCACTGGGAAAAAGAATTTAGTATCTCTAACGAAACTGTTCAGTTGAGGCATTTTTTAGATAGCAACAAAATATCTTGTTTTACATAACAAAATATTTAGTTGTCTCGACTAAATATATTTTTCTGCTTTGTTCTCTGGACCAAATGATTTTGTTCTTAGACTTCATATATAAAAATTAAATATTTTAGTTATTTTATCCATAAAAATTACATAATAACGAAGTATTATTTTACATTAACTAAAATAATGCCCAATGGATACTATTTTGTCTTTCTGTGCACTAAAATTTCGATTTTATATATTAAGAAAAAATTATAGTATTTTTAACAAAATTCACATAGTTAAAGCTTTTTGGTTGCTGTAACAAAAAGTATTACGTTATACGAACAAACCGTAATCAAACAAGATATTTGTTTGCAGGAACTAAACAGTTCTGTTGGGCATATTTTAACCAAATTATTTCGTTGTTGCAACAAAATTTTGATACACGCAACAATACATTTTTCCTAGTGTGCGTATTTAAGGGGGGAATTACATGCGAAAAGCCGTTTTCAAGGCTATCTTTACGAATTTTTTTTAATAAAAACAGTAAAATCAATGGACTTGAAGTTTTCACATAGTGTGTTCACTAATGTTCAAAGTATAAAATAAATTTTATCAACTCACAAGAATCGATCCAATTTGTAATTATAGATAAAAATGCAATCATCCGTTTGCGAGCTCTATGTTTGCTGTCGACATAATTCCGGGCCTCTTTCTCTCACTATTCTAAAACCAAAAACTGAGAAAGATTTTTTAAATATATGGTTGCCACTATAGCTCGTACCAAAATGAAGGCAATGAAGCCAAGTTTGGAAAAATAATAACTGTGCAAAAAAGAAGCATCGAATATGAAACCTTTTTCAACTTGTAGTCGTGTTTAAAAAAACAAATAAACTAAAATATAACTGTGTTCGAGGTAGGGGCGCGAAAACCACATGTCCACTGTATATTGTGTAAAAAATTTCAAGTTCCCGGTTCACTAGTTTTTGCGTAATCGTGTTGACAGTGTTTAAGAAAATGGTGTTTCCAGATAAACGCGTTTAAAGTTTCATGTGTACTTTCCATATAGATAGTGACAAATTTATTTTATATCTTGAACATTAATGAATACACTGTGAAAATTTCAAGTCCACCGATCCTACCGTTTCTGTTAAAAATGGTCTTGAAAACAGCCTGCTCCGCGTGTGATTCCCCTCTTAACTGGACAAACTCACGTCTGAATTCAACTTCGAGTACTCAGCTTGAGACGAGTCTCAAACAATGACGAGTATTTGCACCAGCCGGAGACAGTCGTTTACAGCCGGCGATTCTCGAATTAATAATTAACTCGCAGTCGGTGACGCTGAAAAATTCAAATCGGCCGACAGTCGAATTGACTCACCGAGTTAAAGAAAGAGGCTGATGCGTAAGAAGCAAAAGTTATGCAAAGACCCTGAAAGAGAAGCAAATTGGCTAGTGAGAGTCGCCGTCAGGTGTGTTGGACACGATGATTTAAAAATCTGATAGCGCAATATTCCCTTCCCCCTCCACTATAAAATTTAAATATAAATCTACCAGCGGGATATTCCCGCCTATTAGATATTTGCATTACCGCGTCCAACATTTGACTACTGCGGCTAAGACTCTGTTGCTAAGAGCCATCGCGGGAGCTTGAGCAGCACTAATTAAAAGGACGATATTGTCTCATCAACGTGTAATTAACTCCCGCAAAACTTTCTATCGCAGAATGATCCTCCTCTTTCTCCGCGTTTGTCTCGACAACGAATAATACAACCCAGAAGAGCTCCCATCGAGCGACAGGGAAGTTAGGCAGTTTATGAGGCCGTTCGGTTAATTTGCATAACACTTATCCTGCTGATGAATTAACATAAAAATTTCGACATTAATGTTTCGAGATCGACGCTAAACCGAAATTTCCAGGCACCGGCACGTTCGGCAGGGTCGTGCTCTGCAGGCACCACGGCACGCCGCTCGCCCTGAAGATCCTCTCGATGGTGGACGTGATCAGGCTGAAGCAGGTCGAGCACGCGCGCAATGAGATCACAGTCCTGAAGGAAGTCAATCACCCCTTCATCGTCAACATGTAAGTTTGTCATTGCTGTGCGCGGACGTGTTACCTCACGAGAGAGCTCCGTAATTCGATCCCCCGACGCGCGATCGTCCGAGGGAATGAAGAAAGTGACGCGCAAGTCTGTTTGTCGGTCAAGGAAAGGATACTCGCGCGCTGATCGTCGCCGGACAGAAAGTGCGGCCGGGATTAAAGAGAGTGACGCCGCTCGGCTGGCTCGCGTCTCGCGATTAACATTTTCGATCGAGGAGAGAGAAATCGATCCGTACGCGAGGAGGAGGAGGAGGAGGAGGAGGAGAGCTCGCGGCGAAATCGCCCGGCTCTCCGCGCAGCGCCTCGACTTTTCAGCGACTTCTCAGCACCGCCGTCGTCTTTCCAGGCTGTGGAGCGGCAGGGACGAGGCCAGGATCTACATGCTGCTGGAATTCGTCGCCGGTGGCGAGCTTTTCTCCTACCTGAGGGCGGCCGGCAGGTTCGCCGGGCCCACCAGCTGTTTCTACGCGGCCGAGATCGTCTGCGCCTTGGAGTACCTGCACAACAAGCACATCGTTTACAGGGACCTCAAGCCTGAGAATCTTCTCTTGGACAGCCAAGGTCACCTGAAGATCACCGACTTTGGCTTCTCCAAAAAGCTCACCGACAGGTGAGTCACTTTTGGGATACGGACGCGTCCGCGAAGAGTCTCTTCGCGCAAACTGATGGCGATCGGCGACCGATCGGATCGGCGTCCAACTGCGCGCGTAAGTCTCCCTTCCAGAGGACTGGGACCTTCGAGCGGCTTGGAGACGTTATCAATTAATAATATATTTCTCTGGCCGCCGATTGGTCGAATATCTGAGAATCTTGGGGGCGTTCTTCTTCTTAATACAGAAATAGCGTTTGATGCAATTCTTCGTTTGGACTCTGCTTGCTTTCCGGCAAAATCGTCGCCGTTCGTGTCGAGTAAAGTTGAAATCACGAAGAGGTCAGTCGTTCGTCATCGGCGAGCGAGACACGTAATTAGCCGAATCTCAGGCGTTGCCTCTCTCGACAGGAGGACCGTCATGGTAAAACATCACGTCTATAAATGTCGCGTGTATTTTTAGAACGTGGACCTTGTGCGGCACGCCAGAATACTTGGCGCCGGAAATCATACAAAGCAAAGGCCACAACAAAGCCGTGGACTGGTGGGCGTTGGGGGTTTTAATTTACGAGATGCTGGCGGGATATCCGCCGTTTTTCGACGACAATCCCTTCGGCATCTACGAGAAGATACTGAGCGGCAGGATAGAGTGGCCGAAGCACGTGGACCCCATCGCCAAGGACCTGATTAAGAAGCTGCTGGTCGCCGACAGGACGAAGAGGCTGGGTAACATGCGGCAAGGCGCCGAGGACGTCAAGAGGCATCGGTGGTTCAAACTGGTCGAGTGGCCGCTGGTAATTACTTCCTTAATTAACGCGAGCGATACCGAGATCACCTAACGGAAGAGCACTCCTACAGAGGTAGGAGAAGGGATTCACCTTCCGAATTCCTGGCTGCTCTCTGTCCGCGACAGTTTCTTCAACATGGCGTCCTCTATCACCCTCCGTGACATTCGTGGGTGTTAGTTGAAAGACACGAATGCTTTCTTGTATCTCTCTCTCGCCGGGTCTCTCATATCGCCGGGTGGTGCGTTTATCGGCATGGCGCACGGCAGAACCATCCATCCATGGCGTGCTTCAACATCTGATCAACCTCTGCGCGTCCCCCGAAGTAGACGAGAAACTTGAGAGGTCTCGAAAATTTAACGCGACGACTGAGAGATGGGGAACGTCAGGGTCGTCGCGCTGGAAGTCGAGGGACGACCCGTGACAGGTGCACATGAGCAGTTTGTCAACGTTACAATCGTCGTAAATAACGACGGAGAGATAAAGTGTCATGGCGGAGACGGGTCGAGAAAGCAACATTGAAAGCAACGTCGTCGGTCTAGACGAGGCTGTGGCGCTGCGCAGTGAAACGTTCGATAAAAAGTACCGAGAGCGTCCTTTTAGCGTGTCGATGTGTCGCCGCTTCGATAAGATCCCGGCTGACGAGCATCGCGAAGTGTTCAGTGTTTCCGTCAAGATAGTTCAGAATTTAAGTAAACACCAAGGAGATAAATCCGAGCGCGATCGTCCTCGAAAGAACGAAACGAGAGATATCGATGAAAAGCTGCCTTTCCAATGGGAAATTCCGAATTTACTGATGCGAGGAATTAAAATTCGATTGGTTTCTCTTTTCTTCAATCCTTAATAATTAATACTTAAATAATTAATCTTTCTTTAATAATTAATATTTTCCAATTCTTTTTTACATTCTTTTTTACATCGCGAAGCGCCGCAGGCGTAGAAGGAGAGTAAGTTAATTTAGTAAAATATTTTAATAGCATTATTATTATTTTATCGTTGATTGCAACAAAGCAGCGCATGATGATGGAAGATACAACGCTCAGAGGTATACAAATCTCACGGCGTGAGAGTACTCTTTCGTCTACCCGAGACGAGAGGAGGGAAAGGACTTCATTATTAAAAGTACCTTTTTTAATTTCATCCAGCGCTTAACGGCGATACGTTGTTGATCCCAGAAGGATACGTTACTCTTCATGTTTACCCCTGTAATTTTCCTCGCTCTAGCGCGTTCTCGCGGCCGGTGGATCCTCCTCCTCGTTTTCCCGCTGATGACGATAATCATGACGATGTGCCGCGAGATATCTCGCAGCGATCGCGACACCCGGCAGCAGTTTAACGATCGATCGACGTCCGCAGGTGCCGCAAAGAGCCTTGACACCCCCGATAAGGCCGCGCGTACAGGCGCCGGGCGACGCGAGCTGCTTCGACGATTACCCCGAGACCGACTGGCGCTCCCAACCACCCCTGCCGCCGGACCAGCTAGCCCTCTTCCAAGACTTCTGACGAGCGGGGAGACAGCGCGACGATATCGCGGAATAGTCGTGAGATTCGACGATGTTCGCCGGGAGACACTCGGGCTGTATCGACAGTCGCTGCTTGAAACTTGTCCCCCCTGTGGGGACGCTCATGTCTGAATTTATAGACCCGTACGTTAACGCATCCAACCGGCCGCCGGTGTTGAAGTATGTACAACACGCGATTACTTAGATCTGCAAAATTATAGCTATGTTTAATGATGAGCGGAAAAGTGTAACACGTGGACAGAGTGGATTTGGTAAGCAGTTTAATATTTGCATTTGTAAAAATGTTCAAAAGAAGTACCTTTCAGTACGTTACATACGGTGAATCTTGTTGAAGCAGTTGGCGCTGAAAAGTAAGCGCTCGCAGGTGGGGTGAATGTGTCGATAACGGTTGCTGACTTGAAAAACTTGACTCTCCGGCGAGAAACGGCCAGGTTGGAATTCAGAGTTGGATGAGAGTTCCTCAGGTGAATCCTGACTGCAGGTCTGATGTCGCGTGCATCGTGTGATCGACTGGAGAACTTCTGGATGTAATTCTGAGTTAAAATTGGAGTTTCTCACGTGAGACAGCTATTAACACGAGCCGTAAAGTCAAGTCTGAGTTTCTCGATTGAATGGTACAGCACACATGACAAGATATTTATAATCAACGACTCAGCCCAACTCTCCTCGCATCTGACTCTGAATTGAGATTTTTTCCCTAAAAATTTGAGAAGCAACGATTATTGATACAGGCCTGCGGTGTCTCAAATACAGGAAGACAGCGAGCTAACGCGATAGAAGTTCGACGTCACGTTACGTTCCGTTACGTTACGTTCAACAATGAACTTTTTTTTACTCTGTACATACGTAGGTGACTTTTTATATTTTGTTGCGTATTATTTATTTATTCGTACGCGCGCTGTCTAGACTAGGCATTCCTTCTTGTTTTCGCGAGATTCTGTAAATAAAAGTTGAACGATTAATTTTACCTGCGCCTCTCGTTGATCTTCGATTCGCTTCATTCTCTCTCTCTCTCTCTCTCTCTCGCCCTCGCCCTCGCCCTACCCCTCCCCTCCCCGGTCTGTGTGCAAAAGGTCAATCGAGATCTACATTGTCGCGTGGTGACTTTGAAACAACGTTAAACAATGCGAAATCGATTTACACTTACTTTCAACCTCGATCGTCGGTCAAATGAAATCCACCGTGTTTGCCTGATAACGGGGCAAAATTACAGGCGATTCGCCGTCGTCTACATTTCATGAAATTTGCAGAACGCGATAAATAATTCACATTCAGCCGCGGCACGCAACGCTCGCATGTTTGATCGCAACTTTCTGCGCGCGATAGCATCTCGGCGTGCGACTTGGACTAAACGACAGTACAGACCAGCTCTCAGACGTAGAAGAAGCACCGCGTCGACACGCCAAACTGATAGTTTGCGCGCGAAGTATTTTGCGACGAGAGACTAGGAAAAAAAGGTTACACGCGCACGATATTCGCGAGTGTTCCACTCGGCGCCCGCGTCATGTTGCCGAAGACCTCGCGTGAGAGAAGGCGCTACGCGACCAAGAGGGTCCTGGTGGATCATATGAGAGCCTCGAGGAAAACGGGCAAGTGGCCGCTCGAACACGCTGATGCGAAATTGCGCGACGATCGCTCCAAGGACAAGAGCGCCAAGTCGACGGTTCGTAAATTCCTGACGGAATATCTGCAGGACAGTTCGCTGCACGGCGTCAAGTACCTCAGCAACCTGTCGATAAGACCCAGCATCGTCGGGAAGGTCGGCTGGGCTCTGATCATGATCTGCAGCTTCGTGTGTGAGTGACAAATCTTGCTCGTAGTTTCTCGTATACAGGGTGTCCGAAGTTGAGAGTATGGCGCACACTGGGTGCAGGTAGAGCGCGTCACCTTGAACGGAAAAGTCTACCATTAAGATAGCAATTGAAGAGAATTGTTGAATGAGTGCAATGGGAGGATCAGTGTTGGGCGTCAATCGACGGGACGATCTTGGTTGACTAAAATAACCGGCGAATCGGTCGATCGTCACGCATGAATAAATTAGTCGGCCGATGAAACGAACAATTCATCGGCGTATAATCAAGCAGATGAAGCGCAATCATGATATGCGATCGCGATTTATTCCATGTTAATTTTGATCATTTCGATTGATTGAATATCCAACGCTGAGCGAGCTCCGTGAGACAGTCTGAGAATCTGACGCCTTGAATTTGTCTTCCGATGTCCTGGCGAGTATCAGATGTGTCGCGCAACGTCGCACGTGTGTGACTACCCGCAGATTTGTCGTTGCTAAAAAAAGAAGCAGTTATATGAAACAACCTGAGTAGAAAAATTAATAGAGCTCTGATAAGGGGCTGATTATTTTTCTCTAACATTAATCGGGTCCTAGTATGGATAAAAAGACAAGAGCTTTACAAGATGAGTCTAATAAATGGTTTAACGGATCCTTATAAGGCAATATTATGAGGACCTCATAAGGCAATATTAACAAAACCGTAAGGTAATATCAACAGGGTTTTATAAGAAAATATTTTTATTATTGCTTGAGTAAAGATATTCGTTCTTTTCATCCCAAGAAATTTAGACTGTAATTTCTTTATTTCTTTATAACCTTGTTAGTATACACACACACACACATACACACACAACAAGAATTCTTTATTTAAAAAATATCATATTTTACAATAAAATGTAGCATTCTTTACACATAAAAATCCTGCTACTGATTTTATTAAAGTTTGCTGCGTTTCAAAACTGGCAACTAACAAAACTAATAAAATTTGTTTTTAATTGCGGCATAATTAAAAAAATCTTTAAAGGAACCAGATAGAGCGTACCTACTAAAACAATACTAAACTATGGCAATTTTATTACACGTTTCAGATCTTATTAATTTTCAATAACAAAACTTGATTTTGTATATCTAAAGCATCCTTAAAAGATCCTTCTGAGGCCCACATCGGTTTTCCATGTTAAAGCGTCATTTCGTAAAGTCTAAGGTATCCCTAATAAATTCTTCTAAGACTCTTCTCAGCCTTGCCTATTAAAGCCTTGTTTATTAGATCTAAGGTACCCCTAACAAAATCCTCATCAGTTTTCCTTATCAGAGTCTTATTTCGTAAAATTTAAGATATCCCTAAAAGATCCATCTCGGGGCCTGATTTGATAATAATGAGGCATCCCTTTTTTAGGACATCCTACTTTCAACCTTATTGGAGCTTTACGCTTCATAAGGATGGCTCTAACAATTTTTTGCTCGGGAAGTCCAAACATGCGCTTCTTACTTATTACGAAGTATACCTGTTAAGAACGCAACTACAGCGAGCGACTTCAAGCTCGTTCGGCGCATTAACGAATGAGAGTTTAGTTCGGACACCTTGTAGGCCCGACAACAAAGTGAGTTTCTTCCTCGCACAATCGTGAGCTGAAAAGTCACCTGCTATTTTTGGTGTGATTTTCGGAATGCGTCCATATTGTCCAGTGAGACAATCCTCCCATTAGACAAGATGAATGCGTTTCGAAGTTTACAAAAAAAAAAAGAGGCGGATGGCCTTTCATCTATTCATAATTGTACTTTCAAACGATCGTTGCGGAGACCTGGGAATCCCGTCGGAATTCTCTCCGACGACGTTCCAATGGTTGGTCTCGACCAGGTTCGTGTCGTTCTTTCAGTCCTGATCTGGATGGTCTACACCTTCTGGAGGCGTTACAGCGCCAATCCGTTTCGCACAGTCGTCGAGTCCTTTCAAGCACCGATATTCATGATTCCCTTCCCGGCAGTGACCCTTTGCCCTTTGGTACCGCCGTTGGCCGCGAGACGCGGGCAGTTGCTGCAGCGGCTGCGTTTGCCGGCCGACGTCGACAACAATACGGCGATGTTTCTGCTCAAGTACGTGCGTACGTTCGTTCGCCAACAAACCGCCGTGATTTGCAGAACGAGCGGCGATCGCGAGAAGATCGCCGGTCGCGCGGCTCTCGAGAGCAACATCTTCGGCTAATTTACGCCGCGATCCATCTGACACTTTGTAGCGGGCAACAGTCGTGGTTTTCGCTCCATCCAGAACGAAACCACTTGGTTGTTAGACTTTTAATATCGTAGTATTAAATTTTGAGATCTCAGCTCTGCGTCGGTAGCGTCGCGACGTTTCCATCGCGAGGAGAGTCAGGAGAGCGATGAGGGAAACAAAGCTGAGGAGTTCCACGCGGGAACGCTTCAAAGCGTCTGATGGATCTCAGCGCTCTCAGCACGCTGACTTTGATTTTCACTGATCCCGCTAAAGATACGACGGATGAATGTAGCACGTATATTTCTCGCCACGCTTCGTTGGCTCTTCGGCGGTCAGATAACTTAAATAGACCTTGCGGGCGCAGTCAATCTTATTTTAAAACGTAACTTAATAAGCCGCGGTGGTATATATCATGGTCTCAACACATTGACTGCCACCTTGGCTCGAGCGGGGGGGGGAGGGGGAGGGGGAGCATCGCAGCATCGCGGTCGGTGGAGATCAGCCTGGCGGTCAACGTGTTGACCCAGTTGACGTTGAACGCGGCGAGCCACAAAATTCCTCAGGTACGGCACCGCCTTTGCGAGCGAGCGCGTGCTCGGCGGCAAGAACCACCTGAACAAGTTGAGGACGCTGCTGGAAGTGAACAACATGACGCTGCTGGAGCTGCTGAAGTTCCTGCGACCTTGCGAGGACCTGATCGAGTCCTGCTGGTGGGACGGAGAGAAGAAGAACTGCAGCGAGATATTCAGAGTGTCTCACGCGTCGCAGGGTGTGTGCTGCTCCTTCAACTTCCTCTTGGAGGATTACATAGCGAACAGGTGATTATTCCCACTTCCACGTTACGCGTGGACCACTCGCGATCCTGTTGGTTTTACCACGACCGCGTGTTTCGGCTGCCAGCAATTTGGGCATCATCCGGTACATCAAGACTGCTTTCTTCGGCCCGGCGAGTGGTCTCGTGATTACCCTCCATCGGAAACTGCTGGTGGAGAATGACGGCACCGGGGAGTTCGTGAAATACTCGACCAACTCCGTCGGCATCCTGGTACGCAATGTTGACGTTGGCGCTTAGCTCTATCTCGATCGCCAGACGCGGCTCGAGGGAACGCGTTCGTTCGTTCTCGAATTCATCTGAAGTCATTAACGCTCTCTCTCTCTCTCTCTCTCTCTCTCTCTCTTTCTCTTCTCTCCTCCCCCTTTCTTTCCCCCGAAACAGGTGTACACTCATCATCCTCTGGAGTACCTCGGCGCCATCGCTAATAGACATCTCCTCCAAGCGGGACAGGAATTACGGGTGACCGAATAACCGTTTACAACTGCGAGAATTTACATGTCTTTCGCGAAAACACACTATCAGAGAAGCCGAGCCCGATAGCTTTGCGATCTCTCGCCGACAGATCGCCGTGATACCATACGTGAAGAAGAAGCTCAGCGGGTACTCCCGGCTGAACGCTCGCAACGAGCTGGTGCCGCATTGCGTGAAGAACGAGGCCGCCAAGCTCAAGTACCTTCCCGTGTATCTCTACTCCAACTGCTTCGTCGACTGCTCCATCGAGGCTGCCCTGCGAATCTGCGGCTGCGTGCCGTTCTACTACGAGGCCGTGGCGGTCAGATACTCGTTGAAAGTAACCGGAAGCCGCGTTGCGTCGCGTTCTTTTATTTCCTACTTCAGGCAGGTTGCGAAAGGTTCGCCGCTTTTCCGCTTTCGCGCTCGTGGAAAGTCTGTTCGCGCGTATTGGAAAGGAAATGAACAAACTCCTTACGCCCGGTTTCTTCGCACCTCCCAATAGCTATCTACCAGATGAAGATACCCGTCAGATAACTAAAAATTCGTTTTCTTCACTGTAACCTCTGCTTACGTATCTAACAGGTAGCTATTCTTCGTACTACTAACTTTCGACACAAGATATATTAGAAATTTGTTGTAAGTTATCATATTTCTGCCAGCGACATATTCTCCTCCGGGCCAGTTCTATCCGATCAACCAACCAACCGACATATTCTTCTCAAGTGATGTTATATTTCGCGAAAATAAATATTTTTCAGCCTATTTTCGGTTAACTATTTTGAAAACTGTTGTCGAGCAGACAATTACCCGGCTCAACGGAGAAGGAAAAAAGAGAGGAGCAAATTTTACAAAAATTGAAATTGATTTGTTAATCGAGATTACACAAACATATTGTCGAGAATAAAAGAACCGATGCGACAACATGGAAGGGTAAAAATGAAGCTTGGACAAAAAATTTGCGACGAATTTAATGCTGCTTCGGCGAATTTTCCTCGTCTTTTCTCTACAAATTCATCATCAGATTAAAAAATATTAATACCCACGAGCAACAAATCCATTATTATGTTTGTGTTTTCATCAAAAACAACAACGATTACGTATTCTTGTAATTTTTTTGTCATGTCAGGCCACTGAAATCCATATCTGCCAGATATCCGCATCTTCAGGTAGAGAATAAGTTTATCCGCCGGATACAAACTTTACAAAGGTGAAGAAAACCGATTCTGGGAGATATCTCATGGATAAAGTTATCGGCAACTTATCTAGAGGTGAAGAAATTGTGCATTAGGCTGCTAAATCGCTGCAAGTCATCGAGAGATCAATCCTTTGAAATTTCATAACTTTCTTCTCGACCTTTTGTTTCACCCGACAAATACGACGAACCTTCGCACCGGCCTGACGCACCGTTAGCGGACACACGAAGGTGAGCGAGTCGATATACGTCTCCGTAGATCTGCGACTGGGAGAATTTCAATTGCCTCTACGAGAACGCGGACAACATACGAGTGATTCAGGAGAGCAGAATGGGAAACTTTACGTGCAGATGCTATTCCCCGTGCTTGGAGGTGTTTTACGATTCACGAGGGACGACGGTCGTGCTGAACAGACACGAGTCCAACGTGTGGTCTACGCAGTGAGTCGTGGCCCGTTACTTTCGATACGTGGCAGATTAACCCTTTAACGCCCGACTTTTTTATCAGTGTTTCAAGAATATAAAATTTGAATCTTTTTGAACTGAGACTGTAAGTAGTGATAACCAAAAAAAATATCAGAATTTTACATTGGTCTTTTTTATCGTTCGTTTTCTTTGCTTATTGGTAAATATGACTTGGATCCTAAAAGCATGTACGAAATGAGCGACTTATCCAGAGAAAAATGAAGGGTAATCTATACGACATAGTTCTGATAGACAGCTTGACATTTTTCAGCTGAAACTTTGCTGTATTTGTGAGTGAAGTTTATCAGTAAGAGCGTCAAGCTTACTATTTCAGAAGAATATCACTTATAGATCCCACCATTTAGATAGTCAATCGTCCCTTCATTTTTCGCCGCATAAAAAACAGGTTTCACGAAAATAGGTTGATTTCTTCTTGATTTTCGTGTCCACCAATATTGGATTCGCCATTTTGAATTTCTGTATATTCTTTTAATTTCACATTGTGCATCTGAGAAAGCTTCCAAATGTATACAATTATAACAGATACCAATCTATTCATTTATAGTGCGCTTCTAGATGTCAGTAACAATGCGAACTATGCCTACTTGGAATCTGACAAAACATGTTATCACTAAAACTGAGCTAAAAACAGACTATATCGAATCTACATACGATCTATATACCATTTTTTAGAAGAAGAATTCACCTTTACAGTGCAGGTGCAAAGAAAACGAAAATATCTCCTTTTTTCACTAAGTTATGGATTCTTGGAAATGCCTTTCTGGCAACTATAGTTACCAGAGGGCGTCAAAGGGTTAAAGTGTAGAAGCCGTGACTTTGTCTCGGGTACATCCTGTATTTTCGCACGGAAAAAATGTCGGTTCGTGCAGCTGGATTTCTGTCTCTCTGAGAGAACACCGAAAATGAAAGATCGCCGTTACCGCGACCGAGATGACAGAAAAACGAAGCTGCACGAAGCTTTTTCCTGCGTGCACGTGTAAAGAGCGACAGGAAGTCACAGAGAAGACTTTTGAAAGCCGACGATGAAGGTAATGGAGATTGCAACGATCTCCGTCTGTTGAGCAAACGGTAACGAGGCAACGGCGACATGTGTGTGTGTGTGTGTGTGTGTGTGACTTGAGTGACTCGCGCGCAAGGACTTTCGCAAGCCCCGACTGTATTCATCTGTCTTCATATTATTTGCGTGTTGCAGCAAAAATATGTCGGACGCGCAAGCGATCATGACGGTGTTCATGAGTTACCAGACTTTCACCAGCACCGATACGATCCCGAGCGCCGATGAGTTGTATTTGCTAGGTAAGCGATATCTCACTTTCTCGTCTGCGTACGCGGAATAAAAAGTATCCCCCCCGTCGTCGGTGCAATTATCCGTCTGCTGGGAAAAATTGATGGGAGGCTCGGTTGCAGAAACCGAAGGATTCCCACGAGAGGGAATTTTTCAGCATTCGTTCTCGGTAAAACTCCTCGGCCGCAATCGAAAGTTCAGCCGAATCCTTTTCGTTCGATATCCTGGTTATAACGTTGGACCTGGAGACGTTGTTTCTCGTCAGCGAATTCTCGCTTCCGCTCCTTTGTCCACGAATTGCACGAACAAACCGACGACTTTTTTTCTTCCGTGTACAACGCGCGTCGCTCGATGAGGAGCGACGAGAACTGCGTTTGTTTTCTCCCTTTGCGCTTCTTTTTCCAGCGTCGGTGGGCGGTATCTTTAGTCTCTTCCTGGGCTGCAGTTTTCTGAGCGTCGTGGAGATCTTCTACTTCGTCGGACTGTACATCCGCTCGTACCGCAACTCGAAGAAGCCGAAATGACCGCCATTGACCGGGAGGTATTTCGTCACGCAGCAGAGTGGCCCGAGAGCGCCGATATAAATATTATTATATAATTATATTTCGCGTCTATCGCGCTTTGTGCTCATTCTGTAACTCTTAGCGACACGCGGGACAGGCAGCTCCGCTGATGTGAGTGAACTTTGCCCCGTTAATTAAACGACTTTCGAGAGCCAGAGAGGATATTTCTTCTAATTTTACACGGGAGAACACGCAACCGAGTCGCCTGTTGCCTGGGAGAGCGGCAGGATAGAAAAGAAAACTGCAAGATTCCTACGTACGAAGAAAAATATTGTAGTAAAAATTACATCCCAGTTATGTTCCCTTCTACAATATCTTTTGTAATTAACTGGACCACACAGATACTGCAATACACCCGAGAAAAATATTCTATTTGTAAAGTGATCTTTCCCATAGGCTCATATTTCTAAGCGAAGCCTTTTATGGGAAGAGAATTCCTCCTTCGATAAAGCGATTAGAATGAACCACTCATCTAAAATTTATTAGATATTATTCTAACTGTTTTCCTCTTGTTTCAAGAGAATTTCCTCTTATATCAATTAATTTTCCTCTTATATGAAAAGGGACGCTTGTCAGCATTTTTCCTCTCTTTCATTTACTCGCACAGAAACACTCTCTCTATGCATATGACGATAGTCGCCACATTTATTTTATGGGCAACGTCTATGGGCAAAGGGAAAAAAAAGAGAGATCGTTATTCAGTTTGTGTTGTTTTCCCGGTAGTTTCGTCATGAACGAAGTTCAAGAATTTTTGGAGAAAATCAACTTGAAGACATACTGGCCCATATTTCAGCGTAAGTACATATGTATATATATATATATCCATTTATCATATCGCGTTGCGCACTACGTTAAATGCCATTTAGAGTACTTAAAATTACTTAAAGTTTATGCTTTTCCTATTTTTCAGCAGAAAGTAAAAAAAGTTCAACTAGAATTTTTTCCGGACAGTTTCATAACAATTTTCTCTCCTTTCCCTATAAAGGAATGTATAACCAGTAAGAATAATTAATAATCCTCTTAAAAAAGGATTAAATAATCTGTATGTAAGAGGAAATTTATATTAAAATCAACGAGATTTGCATTATACGTATAACATAAAATTCCTCTAACTTTAAGAATAATGTGTTTTTAATATTTTCCTCTTAATTTCGGAGAAATCCTCTTGAGACCACACAAAGGAATAAAGTCCTCTAAAATTTAGATGATTCCGCTTGTTCTGAAATTACTTTTTCTTCGGTGTATGAATTTCGGTCATACCTCCGGTATGGTCCAGGATTAGAGAAATGTCCTCGCAATCCTCTACTACGCCACTTTTCTCTCCTCCGTGCGGAAGAAGCTTTCGTCTCGAACGAGTCTCAGCTGACGTTCGTCGTGATATCGAGGACGTCCATTTCCCCGTTGGCGGCCGTTCAGACGAAGCGAGACTTCTTTGCCGTGCGACGTTGTGATTTCGACATTTCGCCTGCAGTGTTATCACCAATCGAACGCTCTCGTGAGCGGGCAGAGATGATGGCCTCAAGTACGAGCGACGACGCGCTTGCCAACTGCGCGAGCCCGAGGTGCGTTTTTCGGGACACCGTGTGCACGCACACGCAGCGCAAGCAGCACAGAGAGCGAGAAATCTGGAGCGATTAGATCTATTTCGGGCGGTTACTGGAACGCTGCCGTAACACTTGCGAGTATACGCGCCCGTGAAAATATTTATTACGCTCCGCGGATGATGAGTGTCCGCGTCGGCGGAAAAGCGACGTTGCGCGAGGACGCGCGATTCATTGACCTTCGACCCTTCCTTGCGCGCGCGCGCGCGCGGCTGGTTGCGCAACGGTTATTGCTCGCGTCTTTCGTCATCCGCAAACACCTGCACGCACCTATCCCAATAATGTTGGGATTTTACTTGAAATAGCAACGGGCACGCAACGGCAGTTCGACGCGACGATCGACGAGCACTCGGCCGAACGTGACAGGTTTGCCAGAGCGACATTCCTCGAGATCACGGTCGAGCAGTGGTCGTGTACGTAATTTTACTCTGCCAGCGGAAACGTGACGAGTGAAAAGTTCCGCGCGCTCTTGCCTTCGCTCGGGAATCAACATAATCGCCGAAATCATCGAGTCCGCACGAAACTTTTCACTCTCCGCGTTTGAGCCACGGAATGAAGTGATTTCCTAGGAGAAGGTTGAACGACCGCCAAGCCGCCATATTCGCGGCCTTCTAGGCGAGTTTTATCCTACCGGCTACCGTCGCAGTGAACGAAACCGCTCACATCCGCAGGCAAAGCATGAAAAGTCGCTTTATGAACCGCAGCTTGGCAACCGAAGAGAGGTCTGTTTAGCTCCGGATCTAGTAAAAATGAAAAAATTAGAAAAAGAGAGGGGGATGGGAGGGAGAGAGAGAGAGAGAGAGAGAGAGAACGCGCGACGAGTCGTCGGGCGAGCCGGCAAACTTGGCGTTTGCTGTCCATTAATTCCGACGCGGCCGTGTCAAAGCTAATGGACCGGCAGAACTCGCCGGAGAAGTTGAGCGAAAAGCGGACGCTTTGTGGATATTTATATATCGACACGAGGAGTGGACCATCTCGCGAGTGGACCACATATAAATATGCATATAAAACAAGCGAGTAACTCGATATTCGCGCGAGTTCCCAGGAATGCCGGATTACGCAAGCTCTTTTCCAAAGGCTTTTTCCGCTAATTGCCGGCGAGCATTGAAATGCGTGCTAATCACGTGGACTATTTTCGCGCGGCGGCCGTCGGAAATACACCGATTTAGTGCTCTATACGCGCGGCGCGCCTTCGGCCGCGTGAGAGAGCTGGAGGCGCCGATCCTATTTTTGAAGAAACGCCCACGTATCGTCGGACACATCATCGTCGTCGTCGTCGTCGTCGTCGACGTCGTCGTCGACGTCGTCGACGTCGTCGTCAGCCGCGCGTTCCTCCGCCGGCGTCGAGAACGATATACCTCTGCACTTGTTGCACACGCGCGGAAACCGCGCGTTTCCCCCTTCTCCCCGCAGTGTCCCTTTTCCCTCGTCGCCATCGCGCCCTTTCGTCGCGTGTGAAGGATCCCGTCGAAGGATCCCCGCGGCTTTCGCGGGCGCGAAGCAACGGCCGCGCGCAGTCGCGCAACGACGACCGCCTATTTCCGGCGAGCTGCGATAAGTTACAAGCGAAATAAACTTCTCAGCGGCCATTCCGAACGAAGAGATTTATTTCGTCGTCTGTGCTATCATCGAAGATACAGTGCGAGCAAATCTGCAAGGACACGAATGTGTGTAGGTGGTATAGGCGTGGGTGGGGCATGTGATCTATGTATCGTGATCGAAGAAAATAAAACGAGACGCGGCGGCCCGACACGACGGAACGACACTCGGAGCTACCCTTGGCGTGATTTATTGACGATCGGCGAGCTCAAATGAGGACAGAGCCGGTTAACAACGACGGGACACGCGCCTGCGAATCGGCGCTCGCGAGACAACGAATATCGTGTCCGCCGCTGTTCCCCGTCTAGGAGAATCCGATTAGCGTAACGTAACTAGGAGGTTATTTTCAGCGTAGCGTAGCCGATTTCCGCGACGGAGCGAGGAGAGTCGAGAAAGCGACGAGCTCGTGGGAGGCCTCGCGGCGTCCTCGCTGCTCCTCCGTCCCTGCCGGCGTCTTCGTTTTCCCCGCGATGCCTCCGAACGTGGGGAACGACGGGAACCGGCGGCTGTCCAGGTCGCGGAGATCGAGCGCCGAGCAACGAGAGAAAGAGAGAGAGAGAGAGAGAGAGAGAGAGAGAGAGAGAGAGAGAGAGAGAGAGAGCGATTTGCGCGGAACGTATATCTCCGAGGCACCTAAAGTTGTAGGAAGTACGAGAAATGCTGGCGAGAGAGAGAGCCGGTGGGCTTCGAACGAGGTGTCCATGGCGATCCTGAGTCCTCCGCGTGCGTCCGCCGTGCGACACGTGTTCTCGTTGTTCTTCAGCCCTAAAATACGACGTGTCACATTTAAAACGCCGTCGTGCGAGCTCGCGAGCGCTCGATGGCGCGAATCATGAATAAAAGATTCTCATCCTAAAATCAGTTTTATTCTCCTCCCGCCCGAGAAACGTATTCATAGTCAGGTCTTATATTTAAGACTTTCAGATACCCAATAGCCAATGAAATAATTTGTGCAGCATCTGAAGCTGAACTTGAGACGGTCTTAAATGTAAGATCCGGCTATGAATACCGGCCTTAATCACCCAAAAAGAAAGGATTCTATTTGTAAAGTGATTTTTCCTATAGTCTCATATACTAAGCGAAGCCTTTCTTTCGATAAAGCGAGCTAAAGGGAACCATTCATCTAAAGTTTATTAGATATTATTCTAACCATTTTCCTCTTATTTCAAGAGGATTTCTTCTTATATCAATTAATTTTCTTCTTGTATGAAGAGGAACATGTTGATTCCTGAATGTCGGCTTCTTTTATTCAATCATGCCCTACCGCCAGACAAGAAGAATAATGTAATGTAATATAATATATTCTTTCTTTTAATTATGTTTCATACGATTGATTATGATGAACTTGTCTTTGTAGCTATGAAGTCCACAACAAAACTGATTGGAAATTTGTTCGTTACGATGATCTTATTTCATTCGTGCCTACTTATTGTAGAACTGCAGTCAGAAGTACATCTATAAATATATTACTTTTCGCTATACATTATAATAATTTTTTTTCAAAATACCTAGCATAACCAGTAAGAGAATAAAGTACAGTAAGAATAAATAATAATCCCCTTAAAAAAAGATTAAATAAGAGGAAATTTATATTAAAATCAATAAGATTTTCATTAATACATACAACATATAATCCCTTTAACTTCAAGAATAATGTATTTATAATATTTTCCTCTTAATCTTAGAGGAATCCTCTTGAGGCCATATATAAGAACAAAATCCTCCAAAATTTAGATGATTCCGCTTGTTCTGAAATTACTTTTTTTTTCGGTGGTCGTCGGATGCCCCCGAGAGGCTTGCTAGAAAAATACTGATCGACTCGAAGTCGTCGTCGCGAACTGATGGCTGACTGTTTCGCATCGTCAGCGATCGCGATCGCGATTTGTCGACGAGTAAACCCAGTTCGCGCAGCAGGCTGAGGGCCAGGCGGAAATCCGGCGACGAGAAAAAACGATATCTCCGTCGCTATGAACGAAAACATTCGTCTGCGAACATTCAGCTGCGTGAAAAAAAAATTCGGCCGGAACCTCCTGTGGGAATTTTTCTCTCCTCTTACGAGCGAGTTTTCCGTCTGCTTGGGCGACGGAAAAAATTCGGTTACATTTGCGGAGTTGTTTCCTCCGTATAAAACGAGCGATTCTGAGCAGACTAGAAGTAGAGCGAATAAACAGGCGAAAGCGAATCGCCTGACGCAACCGCGCTCCACTGTTCGGAGATTTCAATGGCCAACATAACAATGTCTTCTTATCCCCGCGAACGAAACCCCCTTGCGATTCTACACGCGGAGGAATAATTCGATCGTCGGTGTGACCGAATTTTCCGTTGTCTGGGAGAAATGTGAGCCAAGTGGGAAACTCGGCTGGAGAGACAGCAAAATACCTGTAGGTATTTTCTCTAGTCGGTCGTTTACCGTCGACCTCATATTTTAGACTTCTCTCTCTCTCTCTCTCTCTCTCTCTCTCTCTCTCTCTCTCTCTCTCTCTCTCTCTCTCTCTTTCTCTTTCTCTGCCTCTCTCTCTCTTTTTCCCCGCGGAAAATTGTTTTTCTCAAAATGTCAGTTATCTCAGCCGAGTTTTAAATGCAGCCGAACGTTCAGAGACGAATTTTTTCGCTGGCGGAGTTGCATAATTCCTCGTCCGGTCCCTGAGAAGTCACACGAACCGAGCAAATCTTCGCGTGCAAAAGCGTGAAGTTCGCCTCAAACGGGCCCTCCGGCGAACCCCGATAGAAGAACTTTGCTCTCGCGACATTATCGAAGTCGAGAGAGATCGCGAGATGAAAAGAGCGCGGCTTACTCACGATGCAACGCGATCCGATCTCGCGCATAAAAGGTCAGGTGACTGACTCACTCACCATGATGAGGAATGTGCCGTGTTTAATAAAACATCCCCGAGTACAGTAACCAGAGCGAGATTAGCAGGAGGATGAGGATCATGTACGTCATCAGAAGGTTTTTCGTCTCGTGGCCCGCTTGTGGCATCTTCTGGCCGGTACGGTCAGCACACTCTCTGCTCGTTACAGGCGAAATTCGTTACTCACTGAACGCACCATCCCGCTCGCTCTCCAGCTGTCGATTCCTCGCAGCTCGAGCATCGATCGATCGTTCCCTGCGAACTCGCGCACCCTCCTCAACGGATTAATTCGCAGCCTGCGAGTCTCAATGTCGCAGCGATTGCTCCCCTCTAATCCTCTCCCGAGTTAATTTATCCATATCTCACACGATTTTCTTTCCCATCAGCGTCGTCGCAGGCGATCGACCGACCGATCCTCCCCCGAAGAACGGCGACTATACTCACGAATGATTGGACTGTTTTCGCGAACTAATGGCGTTTGCCGTGCTAACAGTTGAGTCTTCGAATTCAACGCCGAATGTTGTTATATACGAGGGTATCTTGTGTGTGTGTGTGTGTGTGTGCGTGTGTGCGTGTGTGTGTGTGTGTGTGTGTGTGTGCGTCGCACGTGCGCGCGTGTATGCGTGTGGAGCGTGCGCGAGTGTGGGGGTGCGTGAATTCTCCAAGATCGCGCTCTCGGCCTGAGCAACGTGCGTGCCACGCCACTTTACGTGCGATCGTAGACTAGCGTGGCGCGACGCAGGATCCGCGCTCGGAGCCCCGGTGATCCCGAAATTCCTCCAGGAACCGCATCGCCAGCGGCAGCGCGGCCCCACCCACTCAATCGCGCGCGGCACGAACGGCGCTCGGGTCTTCCTCGCGGCGCTCGCACCTCCTGGCCGCGGGATTGGTAGAAGACGAGATCCCACCACCTCGTTGATGTTGCTCGGAGAGCAACGAGTTCCGCTACCTCGAGTTATATTAAGGCATTGTGGAAGTTGCGGCTTGGTAACTTCCTCGGCAGAAACGCCGCTAAATCGGAACCCGGCCCGAAGGTGAGCCGCTCAAGCGCGGATCTTCGAAGCGTCTCTCCTCGCGTAATCAGGGGAGGAAAAAAGAAGAAGACCTCGACGGAGTCAACAGAGGCTGCGACACGTCGCCTAAGGGTATAATTATTCGGGAAACCGGCTGACGAGCGGCGCGAATCGAGGCTTTCACTCTCGCTGGCCAAATGTGTGCCAGTACGGAGGGCTGTCCGTCACTCGCGGGCTTCCGTCTAAATTTAGCTCGTTAGCCAAACATCAATCTCGATAGACAATATACAGACACCGGCGAGAGTGTTCCGAAGCTTCAGCTTCGGCGTTATGTAACCGTCTTCGCCGCGAAGAGAGCGCGCGGCCGATTCACCAGCCGCACTTTCAGCGGGCAAATATCGTTAATCACGGCAACGGGTTTAAACTTAGATTGAAACCTGCGGAGCGCGTATCAGCGCCGAAAGACCGCCAGGCCGACACGGCGGGAATCCGCCCTTCGTCGATCCGCCTCGAATGCGAATCACGGTGACCGGCCGAGTGATTAATTGGGACGTGCGCCGGTTAAGTTCGGCCGAAACTGATCGATCAATTAGCGATCGGCCTGCGCGATGTCTCGCTTGATTACGATTTATTGCTGAATAATGCATCACGACCTCGGCAACTTTATCTACACTGTTACACACGCGGCTGCTACGAGCAGCGATCGATCGCTTGGTAACTCTGCGACTTCGTGGGCTTCGCCCCCGGGAAAAAAGCAACTTTGGAAATCCAAAAGTCCGGAGATCGGATCTCCCAGAGCGCAGATCTAGATTCTAGAAAGTGTCCCAAGAACGTGTCGTAATATCGAGACTAATAGAGACGAGGCAACGTGTCGAAAAACTTTCTCGACAATAATAACAATCTTTCGGTTCATCATCTCGTCGTGTCGATCTCGGCATTTCAATTCTCGTTTCAAGAAAGCTAGAATTATTTCGGGCATCGGCACTCTGGGAGATCTTTAGTGTGATCGAGCAACGCTCGGGATTACACTGAGAAAAAATTGTATTAAAAATTAAACAAATATTTGCTCGAACACGACTGTGAATACATTTATTTGAATTAAGCAATTATTTTCTAAAATTCAAGAAAAAAGTTTACATTCAGAGGGAGAGAAAGAGAGAGAGAGAGAGAGAGAGAGAGAGAGAGAGAGAAAACCTCGGTATTTCATTTTAGAAATTAGTCGCTTAATTTGAATAAATGTACTCACAGTCGTATTCGAACAAATAATTTGCTTAATTTTAATACAATTTTTTCTCAGTGTAATCCCGAGCGTTTGTTTTTACTTTTTAGAAAATTGTGCTGCTTTTCGCATTTCGCATTTCCTTTTCTTCCGCTCTGGGGGGGGTCCACCGTTTCAAATCTCCACGGAGATTTCTCGCAGCGAAATACGAGACGGTCGGCATTCCAACGCGCGTATCGTATCATCAATAATTCATCGTGTAATTATCAATAATCGACGTAATCAATATAATATCATCTATACGTGTGATTATGCGTGTAAACGCAAATATGGCAACGCACGAAAAGAGCGGCGACTCCGGCGCACGTTGCGACGCGCGTTGCTGTCGCGTTACGTAAATGGCGAAGCGAAACTTTTGTGTTACGAACTCACACGGCGCACCGTGCGCCGAAGTACGCGTATAAATAGAGAATATCCTGAGAGAGACCGGCGCTTCTCGTCTTCTTACATAAATTGCCGATATAAAAGTTGCGAGGTATATTCCGCGCGACTTGATACGCGCGCGACTCCGCTCGTCACGCCGCAGCTCGCCGGCGACTTTTTTTCTTGGCACCAGCAAAACGAGCTCTTTTATTCGCCTTAATATCCTTAAATTCTTGGCACGGGAGCCCGCTATATGTTTAAAACACCGTAACTTTAAAAATAAGCGCTACCGACAGCGTAGCGCGTCCGTGCGAGCTTAGACGCGACGATTAAAAATGTCACGCGAGTGTGCGAACGCAATAACAATTCCGGACGAATCCAACGCGACTTCCCGGCTGAGAAAGAACTGAAAAGCTGAGAAGATCGAATCGAACAATCTAGAGGCGCGCGTAATTTACATCCTGCGGAGTATCGAATGCTTCGCATTCCGGCCGCTCTGGAAGGATACTCGTGACTCCCGACGTCCTGTTACATGTAGCCGTTAGTTTTGATTGTTTATACATATCGCTAAGGCTAGAGCTTAACTATCTTGTCGCGACTTAACATGAAAGATGCATCTCGTCGATCAACCCCTCGCGAGCCGAGTCCACCTCGATAGTTGCGTTTCGCTCCAGCCAAGAATTTTATTTCGATACGTTGTATTGATACTCGATATAAAAATATTGCCATACACATCGCTCGAATTGTTGCGAATATTGCGCGTTGCACGAGTCAGACGTTGAAGCCGACAAAAAGCGAGACTGAAATGTCGGATTCTACAGATCGGCTGGAGAAAAACCTCGAGCGGAAAAAAACAAAAGCGGGCGGCAAAGGGTCGAAGAGAGACTCGATATTACATGATACGAGGTAGAACACCAAAGACTTCAGGAGAAAGTCTGTCGTCAAGGACCGGGACATCCTGCACACGCGTTCGCGAGGCGCGACAGTGATCCTTCACCTTGAAGGAAAAAAACCACTGATTTCAGGATCCTAAGGGTCCTGCGGAGTCTTTGCTCCTCGAAACGTCGGATTGTCCATCTGATGAGCCACGAAGCAGCTGCGACTTGCAAGACTTCCCCGATCGAAGAAAGAAATTCGCCGGTCTTCTTTCTCCAGGAAAACGGTGAATAATTCGTCGCAATTCGCGAGACGAGCGCGCGAGCTCCGCTCGCGGCACGTACGCGCGAAATATTAATAGACGACGTCAAGCCAAGGAGAACCCCAGCACGTCCTCCAGCGAGTAGTCGAACAGCCTCAAGTCTAATCTGTACAGACCCGCCAGCTTTCGAAGCTGCTTGTAGCTGAGGCTGGAGTAGTACTTGTCCAATTTCCTCGACGTCGGCTCGCTGCTTGGCGGCCTGCCTGGAAAGCTGGAAAGCCCAGGAATTTGCGTGTTTCTCAGTGCGACTCGCGAGTTCGACGTCTCGCCGATTGCCGCGGCTGGTCATCAGCGCTCACCTCACCGACGTGACGCCTATCCTCTCGAGGACCTCCGTCGCATCCTCCACCAGGCTCTCGTACTTGCTCACGAGGTTGTAGTTGACGGTGCAAGGCTGGCACAGCTCGTAGATCGGCCTCCAGTGCTCGTTGCGCGTGCCGTTTTCGGAATTGTCGGTGACGAAATCGACGAATTCCCGGAACGTCACGTCGTCGCCGTTTCTCAAAGACTCCTCCGTCGCGTTCGGCCTGTACTTCTGAAGACGTAAACGAAGCTCGGTTGTAATGCGTACTTTGGCTGTCACACGTTGCTGCGTACGTGATAAAGCGGCCTCTTATATAACATCACGTTAGCTCATCGAAGTTCGAAGGAAACAGAAATTAAAGCGCACTTTGCTCTTTCTTCCTTACTCTCGTCGAGTGACGAAGCGACGCAAAACACTCGAATCACCAAGGCGAACCGAGGCCATTATGAGCCGAGCGATTCTTACCTTGACGATCTTCTTGCCGAAGCGACTCTGGAAGTACTTGGCGCTCTTCTCGTGCTTGGCCTCCAGTTTGTTCCGATAGGCTGACAGAAGCCGCTCCAACGGGTGTCGCACGACGATCAGCTTATCGTACGCCGCCAATTTCTTCTCTATTTCAGGCAGCGTGTAATTGCTCAATCGCTCGAACGTACCCGGAGAATGAGCCAGGCTGGCCGGTATCACCAAAGGATCGTCACCGCCCCATTTTCCCATTGCGATCATCAATACGCGCTTCCAATTCGTGCAGGCCACCTGAAAGACGAGATTCGCGCTTCGGTTTGCGACATGTTGTTTTATCTCGATCGCCGGTCAATATTTCATTTAACCCTGCTTCACTGCTGAATTAACTTCCCTTGAGAAAATTATTAAAATATTTGGTAGTCCTACGTTACTCGGGTCGCTGATTACGAATCTGAAGTTAGATTTGCAAAATTCAAAATGGCGGACTCAATATGGCGATCATGATGTACAAAATTAATGAAAATTTCAATTATTATTGATGATGTATGGGTTTCTCGGGTCGCTGATTACGAATCTGAAGTCAGACTTGCAAAATTCAAAATGGCGGACTCAATATGGCGATCATGATGTACGAAATTGATAAAAATTTCGATTATTATTCATGATATATGAGTTTTTCGAATCGCTGAGTTTTACGAATCTTTTGAGTAAAATAATATTGATAGTATGGATAAGATGGAGATACAGAATGAAAAAACTAGGAAAATAGAGCTAAAAAGTGCAAAAAAATCAAATTTCGGCCGTTTTTGTAGAAATATTTGTTTATAAAAAAAAATCTAACCCGCAAAAAAATACTGGAAAATTTTGTTTTTGTACATCAGAAAAATATTTGGTGAAAATTTCAGACCTCTACATTCAATACTCTCCGAGGAATCGATTTTTTCCTAAAAAAAGCATTTTTTTTCAACTTTGATTTGTTGTAAATAATCACAAATGAATAATTGGGTATAAAAACCTATTGGAGTATGTTGAACAACTATTCAGTTATCTGGGAAACAAATCCCCGCTTAGTTCTTCAAAATTATGTGATTTACAACGCAAAATTGAATCAAGAAAAGAGAGGAAGTATACTTCCTACTAACAGTGAAAGAGTTAAATGAGATCACCGCGTTACTAAATATCTATCGGCCATAATATCATTCGGCCATGACGTCAATCGTCGTTAACGCGAATAAAATTTGAATGAATTTCATCATATTTGCATCATATACATCATATACATGTGTGTATGTGTGTGTGTGTTTAACTTTTACATTGTATTACATGTTTTATGCAAATGATATATTTTGATCTTAACGTCAGAGAGAATTAATTGAGAAATAAAAACGTTCTCGAATGGAATTTTGACGAAAGATTTTGATCATTAAAGTTGTTATTCAGAGACAACGTGTAAAACCGTAATAATGTTACTTTAGTCCTAGCATAGTTAATCCTTTGATAGTCTAGCCTATCTATGGACTAGCGATGAACTAAGGCTATGTTATTCAGAAATTTTTTCGAAATGATTTAAATTTGGTTAATTAAACCCGCACTAAGGAAATTAAATCCATCCGTAATACTCGTCGTCTATTTAATCGTCCTAAATTTATTTTCAGATACCTCGTAGCCAACGCACTCACCAGGAGATTGTCAAGGCTCAACTTTTGAGGTTTGTTTACACTTTGAGACTCTTTTTTCTAATTTGTGACAACAAAAATTAACCTCAATGAACATGTTAAATAAAATAAAACGAAGTAGGAAGGAAAGCCAATTGGATCGCAGAAGAGAAAAGTTTCCCGACGGTTTCGATATTAACACGCGTTATAACACCGAGCGCTTTTTGTTGATCTTTCCGTTTACGCCGCGCGTATGTATATTAGCATTTTAATAAAAATAACATGTGAATATATATTTCTTTTGCATAATCTTAAAACTTTCAATTTTCAATATTAAAATATTATTCAACTTTCAATATTAGGATATTATTTAAATTTAAATTTTGTGATATCGATGGTCACTGTGGTGAGCGACACGGCATTTAACATGTGGAAAAGGAAGAATATTATCGAGAAAAAATGTACAGACACGCGAACACGAAAGACCAAACAGGAATGTTGGAAAGGAATTCTTGATAATATCTATGGGTCATCTATGTCAGAGTATACTCTCTAAAAGTGAATCAGTGAAACTCACTGATCAATCAGCGATTATGCACTGATTGTCAGTGCTAAATATACTAGTGAATTTTTCTGTGGTATACTTAGCATGATTCACTTTTAGAGAGTACATACACGCTGTAGCGGTGAAGGAAAGGTTAAACCAACCTCAGACCACCCCTACAAGTGATTTAAACTCCAGCTGGGATTAACGCAAGATTAAATCGTAAAAAGTGTCTCTGAATAGAAGTGCCGTTAATATCTTCTTAGACGTATCGTTGGACTGCGACTAAATCAAGCTCGTTTTCTGTCTCTGAATGGCAACCTGAATGTCTTGATAAATTCGATAATTATGGTATCATGCCATACACAGTCGAATCTCAAGATCTCAACCCGATCGACGCCGTTAAAAGCTGCCGCCGCGAATAATCTCGGAGACGACGAGACGGTGAAAAAGTGTCAGGCACCTTCGGCACGTAGCAGTAGAGCAACTCGTGCGAGTCGTCCACGAGAATATTCCTGAACGATTCCGGAGTCAACGCGCCGATATCGGCGCCTTTACTTTCCAGCTCGCAATTATACTGCAATCTTTCCTGTCGCTCCACCAAGGCCGACCTGGCTAACGCGTTCGGCCCTGTCCACGAATAGATGTATTTGTTTGGCTCGAACGACTTCTTGTCTCCTTCGTGCGGCGATATTAACGCGGCGTTCGCGTCCGCGGCGGCTGCGATCGCCCTCCACGTCACGGCGATCGACAAAATTATCCTCCACGCTCGACATTCTGTCATCGTTCGTCCACCGCGAGCATTGAACCAGGTCCTCGCGGAATGTCGCGCAAACGACGGACTCTGCAAGACGAGAAAGAAAAGAAGGGAAGAAGAACAAGGTCAGCGAATACTTCGCGAATCTACGCACATCGCGAAGTCTCTGATTCGCCGACGGCGACGTTGCGAAATCGCACGCTTTCTCTTTCTCTCTCTCTCTCTCTCTCTCTTTCTTCAGCGTGCCGTTTCCCGGCCAGAGGGACGCACTCCGTTGTAGTCTACATTATGTTCTTTAAATTGTATTATGCAAATGCAGCAGATAAAATCAATGAATATGAGACGAGCGATTGTGTGATTTCTCTCCGCGTTACAGCGGAAATACACGCCGTCGATTCCGCGCACTCAGCCGTGTCGATCGCGTAAAACGTAAACAAGACTGTCACACAAGAGGTAAGTTTAAAATAGAAATACCTCGTTACAATTTTTTCCTATCACTTTGGCGCAAGATAACTATCTTCCTATAAAAAGGTTATCGCCTTATGAAAAGAACATAATAACATTTTGCACGACTACGGACTGTCTTGACGTAAGTCAAGACTTGTGTCGTATCGCCGTATCGTATCATGATCGCGTATCGTAATCGGCCAAGTGATGTAGCCATGTGAGTGTAGACGTGACTTATCCTGCATCGATTTGCCAGCATCGGATCTCTTGTTTTATTCAGTCGTATCACTTCGTATCTGGCAGTCATGGCTGATGCTATGGAGTGGTCACAAGAGAAACTGATGGAATTAATAGATTTTTATAAGCAGAAAGTATTCTTTGGAATCCAGCGGATCCCCATCATTTTAATAGATCGAAGAGAAATGATGCGTGGGAGGAAATCGCACGTGACACCGGAAGATCAGCTGAGCTGAGTGCAGAGAGAAGATAGAATATCTTCATCATTATTATCGCTATAATTATCGCCATAAGTATTTTCGGTTAATACAAGATGTTTCCGCCGCTGCGGAGCATCCAGCTAACAATACGATCGACTCCAAGTCGATACGCAAAAATGATACAGTGTCCCGCCCACCCTTGCCGATCATCGCGATTATGACACGATAACGGGGGTGCGACACAAGTCTGGACGTGGTTTACGGCATGCCGTTCACGTTTGGCCGATCATAATACGCAATTATGATACGACACAAGTCTGGACCTACCTTTATGGGCTCAGCACTTTTTTCTCAGATTTTATAGCGTAACTATCTTACTATCTTAAGATAAAGTCGTGATATCGTGATTATTTAACTTTTTTCTGTCTGGAAAATGTTTGTCTTTTCATTTATCATAAATCTGGAATAGATGGGCATAGTTGTTTTAATTGAACATCTGTATTATTACAATAAATGATCAACAATATATTTATACACTCAGTAGAGAACAATATTTAAGGTACAGAAGAATTTCTGTGAACAAAAACTTATCGGACGCCAATAATAACGAAATATTAAAAATATTCTGTGAGGAATAAATGGTCATATGTGAAGAGACAGTTGGGCATTTCTATAATAATGTAGAAATTTGTTTAACTTTATTTATTTTTTTAGTATTTTACATCCTTTTATTAATTATTAATCTCTTTACTCGTCTTTTTATTAATTATTAATAAAATAAAATATTTCTACAACAGTTTCTTGTAGAAACCAAGGACAACATCGGAGAGAAGGTTGAAAAGTGGCAACACAGAAAAAAGCTCTATGAGAAAATATTGTTTATTAAGGAGAGAAAAGAGAGAGAAATCTATTCGGCATCTTTAAACGAAACAGGAAGCTGTTTAAAATGTACCGAAGTTTTTAATATTAAGTCCCCAGGAAAAAATGATAGTCGAATAGATACCGGATCGACGTCTTTTATACGCCTAAAGCATGTAGAAAACGTCGATCCGATGTCCATTGCTTGCTATTTCTCGCTGAATAAGTTGCCCATTTAACCCTGATAAAAATGAACCATCTATCCCGTTTGGAGTTGTTATTCTCAGTACTGGCAGTGAATTTCGGAACGCAGCTGTAGTCTCGTTGACGAATTTGGAGACTAAGTACGCAAGTGCGATGTTCTTTCAGTCGTTTTTAAGCTCAGGTTTAATGCTGTAACGCAAAATAAACCGTATTCGCAAGGTATCTTTTCCGACATGTGGAACATTTTGAAGGTTAATAGAAACATAAAACGTGTATTTACTCATAATGACAGTGTTTTTGTGCATCAGGAAGAGACACACCTACTCGCGATACATCCGACTCACAACTGACCGAACTCAGCGCTGACGCCTAGCATATATTAACAAAATTATAGCATATTAACCACCTATCGTCTATGTCCATCTAACCCGGACTATAAAAAAAATACCACGCGTGTTGAGAGAATTCCGCCTCTGAGCAAATTGTTAGAATCGGCCGTCGAAGCGCGAAGCCGAAGAAAAAGGTTTCGTCGGGTTAACAAAACTAGTAACCGCAACAAATGGCTTGTTAATGCGGGTCCGTTGTGGTGATGATTGAAAATGATTCGCGACTTACGATCTGTTGCTCCAACCGACAATTTTACGACGGGAACGAACGTATTGCGTCTGCAGCGATGTACAGCCTGTAAAGTAAGAGCGTGCACGGCATAAATGGCAGTTGGCTTCAAATATCGTCTTGGATTTTTTGTGAGCCGATAGATGAAATCTTCGTCGTGAATGCTTTGTCACAAAAGATTCAGTTGGCGTCGAACTCTAACCTGAGAAACACGTTAACCGCATACGCATCGCGTTACGAGGCTGTGTTCCTTTGTTCCCGCCCCAAAGGACCAAAAATATCATATGCAGTGGCTGCTAAATACATAGGAAAGTCAAAATCGTTCGTCGCTAAGTGGGTTCAGCAATATAAGAAGATGAAAAATGTCAATGACTTGCCAGAACGTGGCTCGATAGGCAAAGTGACGCCGAATATGGAAAAAAGAATTGTGAATTTGTTTAAGCGGAACCCGACCTTAATGCTTAAAATTTATGAAAAGTGTTTGTTGCCGACTGCTGAACGATGCTTCATAAAAAAGAAACGAGGACTGGATCTTACAGGAAGAGACAACGAGCCAAAACACCGGAGCAAGCTTTGCACCGAGTGGAAAGAGCAGTCTGGCATCGTCACACTTGATTGGCCATCGCAGTCGCCAGATGCAAATCCCATTGAAAATGTGTGGGCATATCTCAAGCACAAGCTTCGAGGAAAAAGAGTGTGCACTTTGAAGCAGCTGACACGACAAATTCGTCTCATTTGGAGGTCTTTACCGAACGAATACGCAGTCATCTTAGTGGAAAGTATGCCTCGGAGATGCCAGGCAATTATCAATGCCGGTGGTGACTGGACTCATTATTAATGGTATAGCATTTTTCTTCTCATGGAGTACAACAAATCCATGTACATAAAAATCCTTAAAAATAAAATTTTCTACACATTAACCCGTGCACGCTCTTACTTTACAGACTGTATATTAGTCCAAATAACAAGCAACGAAGAATAATTTGTTGCGCGGTAACTTGACTCGTTCCCCGTTCAACAGTTATCAAAGAGCGAGCGTTCGTCTGCCGTGACGACAACAAAGAAGTCCTTTCCTCGGTGCGCCGAGGCTATCGATAAAATTCCACTCACGGGCGAACAGGAAGCACACGCGCGCGGTTTCGCGCGTTTACTCGGATCGTTAGCGGCATTCGCGGACTATCGATTACGGACACGAAAACCTGGTTTACTTAGCGCACATGAGGAGGCAAATATTGGTGGGAGTCAGCGCGCGCGATGTTTATCCCCGCCGAAGAGCCGATTTTCATGGCTGCTTGTTACACGCGCGGCCAGCCGATGTGTTGCGTTACAAAATGATAATAATTGCCACTGGCGTGCGGACGATGACGTCGCACATCGTATCTGCCGCGATTTAGTCAGTCACTCCAATCCGCCCGGCGCTCTCAGAGCGGCCGATCGCTTCTCGATTCTCGCGGGACTCGCCCGCATTTTTCCGCGATTCGTTCCCATTATTTATTCGTCGAATTGTCCCGCCGCTCGACACGGGAACAATCAGCAGTGAGCTCGCCGGTGTGATTTTCTAGGCCAATGTTACGGTCACGGCGCAAGGAATACGCAGGTGCGCGCTCGCGCACTACAATGTAGAGAAATGTCTCGTTCTCCGCTGCGCGCGTGCGAGCTGCAAAAATTATCCGCTCGAGAAATAATGCGAAATGCGGGCGATCGCGACTTCCGGAGAGCGCCGCGCAACGCCGCGCCGGGGAACTCGCAGCGATGATCGCGCGGCTTTTTGTTTCGTTTTCTTTACGAAAAGGTCATTTTCGCCTAAACGCTTGCGTTCCTGACCGCGCGCTTTGTTACTTCCGGTGCAGCGTCGTCGACTGCGTTGAAGGAAAAAAAAAGAAACTTTGCAGCTGCGATAGCGAGGCGTAGCCTCGCGATACGATGCTGCTTCTCCGGCGAACGACACTTCGCGGTTTACGCTCTCCAGCGGTATTTACCGAGCGGTCCAACGCATTAGAAGCGAGGAAAAATAGCGACCGCTTGGCAAACATATCGGAAAAGAGTAAACCGCTACTCGTCGTTCAGCAGAAAATCTCGCAACGGCCGCTTGCTAAGCCGCTTACTTTTTCGCAGCGCGCGCATATGGAAGTTTTCTTTTCCCTTGACTATTTTTTCCTTGACATTTTTCCTTTGACTTTTCTTGACTAATTAGCAATTGCGCGTGTATTAGCTTACTCGAACGTTAAAGGGAATGCGAATTGTCGAAATATACGTTTGGTAAATCTTGATCATTAGATTACATAGATTACAGTAACAATTAAATTTTTTTATTCGAGCGCCAAGATGGGCGCTACCGATCCAAATTAACATGTTAATTTCGAAGCCTTCCGCGAGATGTGCAATTTTGTCACAATGGCACCGCGCGCATCGAACGCGAAGCGGATAATCGCAGGGACTGCCGTTCCACGCGTGGTGGGAACAAAAACGTAACGAAGAATAATCATCGCCAGTGAGAAATGTGCTGAATAATCAACATAACCAAAGGCAATTCGAGACGGAGCAGCGACGAGACACGCGCCGGGCAGAAGATTATGATCGTGCTTCGTCGTGTTTTACTCATTTCAAGGGTGAAAATTGGATTGCCCTTGATACCCCTGATGTAAACTCCACAACCATTTCACATAGGTCGTATACGATATTTCGTAGATACAGAGAGAATATTTTGTAAAAATCTGTAGAATTTCGCTTCGATCGATCCTGCTTCGATTTGTTACTCTCTCGTTTCAGATGTGCCATTTATTATATAAGTCCGAAATAAATGGGCATACACTGCAAACCCGAGTGTGTTATTTTGACACTTGTAAGCGGAAGCCTTCTTCGCGCGTTTCTTGTCGTCTTAAATCACGTCGTTTAACGCGTTTAAACGCGCTAAGTGATATCGAAATGTTTGCAGTCTAAACAATAGATGATTCTGTAATTGTTATAATTTTATTAATATGTGTTATACGTCAGCGCTGATCGGTCGGTTGTGAGTTGGATGTATCGTGAGTAGGTATCTCTTCCTGATGCACAAGAACTGTTATTGTGAGCACTGTTATTGTGAGTAAATAAATGTTTTATGTTTCTATTAACTGCCAAGATGTTTCACACATCGGAGAAATACCTTACGAATACGGTTTATTTTGCGTTACAACATTAAACCTGAGCTTAAACGACTGAGAAAACATCGCATTCGCGTACTTAAACTTCAAATTCGTCACCGAGACTACGTTTCGCGCGATATGCGCATCTTTACGCGAACAACTCCGAACGGGAGAGATAGTTCATTTTTATCAAAATTAAATGGGCAGCTTACTCAGCGAGAAATAGCAAATAATGGACATTGGATCGACGTTTTCTAGATGCTTTAGGCGTATAAAAGTCGTCGATCCGATATCTATTCGACTATCATTTTTCTCTGGGTGCCTAACATTAAAAACTTCAGTACGTTTGAAACAGCTTCTTGTTTCGTTTAAAGATGCCGAGTAGATTTCTTTCTCTTTTCTCTATTTAACCCTTTATATCCTAAATTAATTTACCCAAGACCTTATTAAATTTTTGCGTAATTAAATAGCTCTTGGCATATCATAAACATAAGAGACAGGAAAATAAATTTTGTAACAATTCAACGATTAAAGTTTGACGTGGTACTTGTAAGTATCGACAGGTATGTAGGGTAAGACACGGGAAAAAGGTTCAAGAGCGCATATATAGAGCGGTACTTTGAAGTACCGTCAGGATACAAAGGGTTAATAAACAATGTTTTCCTATAGAACCTTTTTCTGTGTTGTCACTTTTCAACCTTCTCTCCAATGTTGTCCTTGGTTTCTGAAGAAACTCGTGAAAATGTTTTATTTTATTAATAATTAATAAAAAGATGAATAAAAAGGTTAATAATTAATAAAATGATGTAAAATACTGAAAAGATAAATACAGATAAACAAATTTCTACATTATTATAAGCATGCTCAACTATCCCTTCGTATATGACCACCTAACCCGGACACCTGACCATCTATCTTTTGCAGAATATTTTTAATATTTCATTATTATTAGCGTCCCAAGAATTTTTTTCACATAAATTCTCCTGTAAACCTGTGTACCTTAAAAATTATCCTCTACTGAGTGTGTTGTTGATGATTTATTGCAATAATACAGATGTGTTATTTCCAATTAACAAAACTATGCCCATCTTTATCCCGGACTTACCCCATTATGAAAAATTGTTTACCGTTAACAGATCCACGCCAGAAATAAATGCACCTTTAAAGAATTGACACTTATAAACTTTGCACGTGATAAAACAAAATTTATCTCTCAATGTGTCTCTTAATAAAGTAAAACTCTGATAGTTTGTACATTTTTACATTACAAAAGACAGGAAAACATTTTGTGTGAAGAATGACGTATATATGTCCGTATAATTCGTGCATAAATGAGACGTTTAATCCAACACCTCACGCGATACAATGACGACGCGATATTATTATGCCGCCGCGTACAATAGCACAGCGTACAAAAATAACAGATTCGAGTGTGAATTGCATTATGTAGATAAAACACAATTAACCGATGCAATTCGAATGAATTTTCGCGAACGAGCAAATACACAAAGATACAAGTCGGAACTCCAGTCGGGACCCCGACCAGCCAAATATTCATCGATTAATTAATCTCTATTAATATACTATATTATATATCTATATCAATATATCATTTTATATTATATATTATACAGGGTGTCTGCGATCTTTTGAAAACGAAAAATTGTGAAGATTAATCAGATCAAACTGAGAAGAAAAGTCAAGTAACATTTTGCAAAAATTGCAGTAGTTATTAAATTATTAATGATTGAAATTAATCACATCTAGAGGTTCTTTTAATTAAAACTTGAAAATTTGCATATTTATTTGCAAAATGATAAAGGACTCTTTTGTTCAGAATGACCTAATCTACGTACAATTATATGACGGCTACTGTGTCCAGCGATAGACAGTGAGTATTGATTGAATTTTGAACCTTGAATCTTGAAGCTATCACCGGACACAATAGCCATCATATAATTGTAGATTAGGTCATTCTGAACAAAGAAGTCCTTTACCATTTTGCAAAGTAGTACGCAAATTTTCAAGTTATCAATTAAAAGAGTCTCTATAGATGTGGTCATTTACAATCATCAACTATTGCGACTTTTGCAAAATGATACTTGACCTTTCTTCTCAGTCTGATCTGATTAATCTTCACAATTTTTCGTTTCCAAAAAATCCCAGACATCCTGTATATTATATATTATATTTTTATATAACATATTACATCTATATTAATATTATTCACCGATTATCCACCATATTATCCATCAGTTAATTAATATTTATTAATTTATTATATTAATACGCTGTATTAATATTTCTAGTTCTATTAAAAGGACTGGAGGGTCAGATTGCTGAAAAATTGTGCTTGTTTTTCATAATATTTTGTGACGAATTGAATAAATGTGCAAGAATGAAAATTGTAGGTATATACAACATATGAAGAGTAGAAAAACTTTGTTTATTAACAAATATTCGTATAAATATACGATATATATAGCTGAAATATACTCTCCTTTTTTTCTCAAGTTATCGTTTTTGCAGTAATATCTCGGCTCTCGGTGGTCCGATCAGAGCGAATTTTAGCTAGAAATCTTGAGCAGGCTTATCATTATCCGGTGAACCACTAGAAAAGAAATCGAACAAAATTAACAAAATGGCAGCTATTATTAGGAAAAAATAAAAATTTTTAAGTTCTTTTACAATAAAAAAAATTATCTCGAAATGAAATATTTTGACGGAGTTATCCGTGGTTCACCTGAGAGCCACATGAACGGATATTATTGCTTTAAAATTTCAAATCGATACGACGCCCAGTTTCGGAGAAATCACTGCAAAAAGTTGAACAATAAAGTTTCGCGAAAAACGCGTTTGAAATTTAAGTCGATGTATATTTATATGAGTATTTGTTTAAAAATAAAATGTTTCTACTCTTCGTATGTTATATATAAATATATGTAAAATTTTCATTCTTGCACATTTATTCAGTTCGTCACAAAATCATTATCAAAAGCAAGCACGATTTTTCAATAATCTGACCCTCCAGTCCCCTTAATGTGCAACCAGTGAATCTCTATCGATATCATCGATTAAAAAAGTGAAGCCCGCTCTCGCATCGGTATGCGCGACGTCCTCGACGGCGCGAACCAACGCGAGCGAGGTCACTGTACGCGAGAGAGCAATCGATCGCGATCGCGATCAACGGGCGCGTTTCATGCGTTTCATCACGGGTTCGCTTCGCGTGGTTACATCGTCGGCCCATTAATGATAAAGCAATAAATGAGTCGCGATGAGACCGTCGTCGTCGTGACCGTCGTGACAAAGACACAGTTGGTCTCCTGGAGACTCTTAGCCTTCGGGCGCTGTGAACGCGGTCTAGGCTTCCGGTGAATTGAACATCACCGGCGCGGACTATGGACGCGCACATTCGTCCGCCGAATCTCCTCGATTTACCTCCTCATCGCGACGCTTACGATTCGGCACTCGCAGTCGCGTTCGCAGTTGCTGTGTTACACTTACGTGAGCGACGACGAGAAATTAGAACGCGGCGTAACTACGCGTAGACGAGCTGCGCGCGAATCCGGGAAAACACGCAGCTCGTGCGTCTCATCGCACGTTCGAGCATTATTATCCTGCCGTGGCTTGAGGAACGCACTAACATCCAGCGATTGACTCTTACAGACCCCTTTATTCCTCTGAACTTCCTAACACAAACAAAACCTCGAGCCCGACTTTTCAACGAGTGACTCTCTCACCGGCTCACTTACGACAGACCGAGATGTGTTCCGTCTTCAACGACCGTTAGCAGCTCCGAGGTGCTCCACACTCCAAGGGTGAGTAGTCCGTCAGCTGGACACCACGAGACGCTGGACGAACGATCGAACGGCAGACGGTCCTCGAGCATCGAGCACCGAGTGCGGGGCGCGCGTCGACGTCCTCCGAAACTTCATGAAAATCTCCACCGGTCGCGGCCGCAGCGGAAGATCCCCCCCTCTCTCTTCCTATCTCTCTCTCTCTCTCTCTCTCTCTCTCTCTCTTCCTGTCTATCACCTGTTCCGCGGAACTTTGGGCGCACGTAGCGTTCGACTCGCTGGACAGCGCGTCCGAAGCGCGGCTATCGTGCACCGTAAGGAGAACACGGCGAATGGTCAAGCGCCGATTCGTGGCGACCGGCGATCGCCTCAGGTCGCCCGGAGGGCCCTCAGGAACGCGAAGATGTGTCGGTGTGTGAAGTGAAAGAGGCGCTGCGCGCGCCTCCGCTCGCTCGTCCCCGTTTGCTTTTCGGTCGGCCGGTTTGCTCCCGCGCCGTCCTCCTCCGGGCCGGGTTCAAGCGGATTCCCCACCTCGTCGTCGTTCGTTCGCCCGCTCGCTCTCCCGTTGCCCGCGTGGTATTTGAAAGGATCCAAAGGCTGCGCCGAGTAAATTCATACGTCGTCTGCGTAATTGATCGGCTCGACCTCGGCGTCGCGGGAAGATCCGAGAGTGGGACCGGAGGATCACATGTTATCGACGAGTGATTTTTTATCGGCGTCCGCGTCGCTTCGCCTTTGACACTTCATTCGGCTTGACTCGGCTCGACTTCGACCTTGACTCAAACGGAATATCCGAGCTCTATATATGATATCGCGAGTAGAGGCAGATCATGACCGATCGCGGGACGTCGCGGGATATTAGATGTAAAGCCGTTACGGTATTATTTCGTTTCTAACGTGAGCGTGTTGAAGCAAGATGAAATGTCTCTTTCGATCTTATGGCTTTGTGTGTGTGTGTGTGTGTGTATGTGTGCCGTAGCACACATACACACATAAACCCAAGATGGTCGTAACCATCTTGGGTTTATTTCCGACGTTTCGTGAATATTTCAGTTCCCTTCCTCCGGGTGGTCTTCTCCCTGAAGAGGCGAAGTGCAATGTTCACGAAAATCCCAGATGGATCAAATTAAAAACTTTACACCGCGAAAACCTGAAATATCGGATGTAAGATAAAAATACACCGAAAAAGAAAATAATTTCAGAACAAGCGGAATCATTTAAATTTTAGAGGATTTTATTCTTATATATGGCCTCAAGAGGATTCCTTTAATGTAAGATTGAGAGGAAAATATTATAAACACATTTTAGAGGATTTTATTTTTATGTATGGCCTTAAGAGAATTTCTCTAAGATTAAGAGGAAAATATTATAAACATATTATTCTTGACGTTAGAGGGATTATATGTTATATATATAATGCAAATCTTATTGATTTTAATATAAATTTTCTCTTATACACAGATTATTTAATCTTTCTTTAAGAGGATTATTATTTATTCTTACTGTACTTTATTCTTACTGACTATACTGGTTAATTTGAGAAAATTATTATAATGCATAGCGAAGAGTAATATATATATAGATGTACTTCTGGCTCCATTTCTACAATAAGTTGGCATGAATGAAATAAGATCATAATTACAAATAAATTTCCAATCAGGTTTTTGTTATGAACTTCATAGCTAAAAAGATGTTCATCATAACGAATTATATGAAATATAATTAAAGGAAAGAATATATTATTCAACTTTGTTCAAAAATCTATTTTAGAAATTCGGTAAGATCGATCAATTAATCGAATCGCAGAATCATATTTTTTTGAACGCGATATGAATATCTTTTATTTAACTTTAACAAGTCTGTTTCGAGGCAACGCTAGGCGAATGTCAAACACGAGACGAATGTCAATTTTCTTATTTTCAGGAATTCATTCCTTCTGCGAGCTCGGACAATATTATATATATATATTTAGAATCAGAATTAAAGATAAAAAGTGTGAAGTTTTACAAAACAAGGTAACATTTTGAAAATTTCATAACGATACTCCCACGATGGGAGAAGCGATAAAACGATTTTAGTTACGAAAACTGCCCACGAAGGGTGAAAAGATATTTAATTATCTTTTAACATATCGAATATCTCACGATGAGAAAAAACTTTGTTTAATACATAATTAAAAATTCCTCTTATTCGAACTCCTACGATAGGAGAGGAGAAAGTTGTTCCTTTCAGAATGAATATATTCATCAGAAGGACTATTTATTAATTCTTTTCTTAATTTCAGATCTTAATCCAAATCTAGAACTTGACCAAGACACAAAAAGATTCTATTCATCCCTAATTCCTGGATTCCTAGACTATCCAGACTGAATTTGAGAGACTTCTCTTATAGCTGAACCCATCATAAAATTCAAAAGAATCTACTATTTCATCGGATGATATCAAGACCTTAAAATTCAGATAAATATTAATTTTTTCTATAATTATAAGAGTAACTCTATTTCGTTTTAATTAATAATACTGTTCCTTCTTATTGAGTTCTTTTTTTTTATTTTTCCAATTTTTAAGAATTAAAAGATTTAAAGTTTTTCTAAAAGCGTGAACCAAAGAGATTTAGTTTAAAACAAATTTCTTGCAATAGATAATAAACTGTATTTGACCAAATATGGGAAAATTATCTGCGTTATATGTTACAGTTATATGTTACAGCAACACACATATCGTTTTTTTAAACAACGTTCCAAATATTCTGATCCATGAGCATATGATTATTTTTCCGTTCATATCTGGAAGTAGAGCATGACTGAACAAAAGAAGCCGACGTTCAAATCAACATATTCCTCTTCATACAAGAGGAAAATTAATTAATATAACAGGGAATCCTCTTGAAATAATAGGAAAGTAGTTAGAAAAATATCTAATAAATTTTAGATGAATGGTTCAGTTTAATCGCTTCATCGAAAGAGGAATCATTTTTCTGTAAAAAGCTTCGCTTAAAATATGAGACTATGGGAAAATTCACTTTACAAATAGAATACTTTTTTTGGAGTGTAATAACGCCGGAGCGCATATTTGACTCCGGACATTTTGTTGTCGCGAATTATATTCTATGTTGACGATTTGAATACTCCAATTTAAAGACCAAATCGACAAAAGCGTCCTTGCCGGCATTTCCGTCGGGCGCTATCAGACATTCAGATTTTTATCTAATCTTAGCGGTAGATGAACATTGCTGCCGCGTTGCCGCTATCATTATTCTCATTATCGTTGTTATCATCGTCACGGCTATGCTATCATCGTCTCTTTCATTATTCAGTCATTATCGTGTCATTATCATCGTCACTGCCGCAGCGAGACGTAAAACAACTCGCACGTAAGCCGCGGTATTTTTTCATTGCGCAATCTTAATTCCGCCGACCGAGACTTTCTCTTTCCTCGGTCCCGCGTAAGAGATGTGTGAATCTTCACTTTTAAAAAGAGCAGAGCAGCGCTCGGTTTGTACGCTCCGGTATGTAATACATGTTCCAAGTTGTGTAACTCGTTTTTTGGAAACTATTAAAAACAATTTCCTGCATTGTGCTTCAATCGGCGATTCTTTGATTTATTATCTTATCTATTATTTTCTTATTTTATCTAATCATACTCTTTACTTTATACACATGAGAGCCAATTTCGTCATGGCAGCCAACTCGCCGTCTCTCATACGCGCAGTCTCGTCTTCCTCTCGCGGGAGACACATCGATTATTTATCGCACGGGAGTGTCATAACTGCAAAAGTGCCGCGAGAGCCAACCAGTGTGTTTTGGAGGAGAATCAAGGATCGCCTGGAAGCCTGCGCGCGTTTTTGCAGCACTTCCAGTCTCGAGCAGCTGACCTTTGCGAGCACCGAGTTGGTAGAACAAAAATAGATCATCGCGGGACAATCGAGCCGGCTGAGAGTAACAAGTTGGTTCGATATTATGTTATTCTTGTCTCCGTGTTTGCGAGGTCAACGATGACCAATAATGGCGATTTCTACGCGAGCCACGTTTCGAAATTCGCCGCAACTACAAAGCGGCGTACGCAGTTCGACCATTCTTTCTCCGACGACGAGTTTCGGGCTCAGCCGATGTCCAATGGGAAGATTTGTCTCTTCGTAAGTAATTCTCACGTATACTCGAGAGACATTACGAGTATCGAATCAACAGCGGGGATAATATTACGACACCTCGAATACTTTCGAACTCGGCTTGTCAGTCGATTCAAGCGTGTACTTTAACCTCGATGAGTTTCGTTGTGTATCTAGCAGCCAACTCGCGTGGAAATCCATCTCTCGTAGGAATTACAAAGAAATCCTCCGATTGGATGCGGGACGCGCAATCGGTCGCGAAGTTAAAGCGTTACAATCTTTCATCCACTGTGACCGCATTTCTAGCACTTTTTCTTTTTTCTTCTTTTTTTAACAAGGTACATCATTGTACATCGTCGATGTATTGTGACATGCACGCGAGCGAAGCGAATACATGCAAAGCGAATCACGCGAGCCGTCAAGCCGAATGACTCAAAACGCGTGATTTTGCTTACGTCGCAAAAATTCGGCCGCCTCGCTCGTCTTAATTGACGGCGCGCGTGCTTTATTCGGATATTCATAAGCTGATGGAAAATAACTCGACGAAATATGTAATCGTTATCAGAACGTTCGATTCACACGCGTTATTGGAAAATTACTAATCGCTTTGTCGAAAGAAAAATGCGTCGCTGCAATAGCTCTATCGAAACTTGATTAATGAACTGTTTGAACTCTAAGCGCCACAGCGAAAAATGTTCGCTTTCGGAAACAAACAATGTTTCAACTCGAGCAAGGGCAATAATTCACGTTTACGGTGAAATACGCACGCTATCACCTTTTTGCTCGTGTCACTCTTCTGTTAATGTGCGGTTTGAATTTTAGCTGCCAAACTTGCCTCACAATTTGCCTGTAATGACAAAACGGCTGGCCTTTCAGCCAAGCCCGAGTCAGCTACTTATCGGAATCAGATTTATCTGATAGTCAATTATTTTCCTTCTCACGTGAAGAAACGAAGTTGCGCGGTTATGAAATCTAATTATGTTGCGTATTACCGCCATTTCGCCAGCTCATTCGCCCAAGATTAAACTCTCGATGTTGTAAAAAATTTGTATGAAGAGAGGGAAATTATATTTGTTCGTTCTGAAAATTCAATAAAAAAGAATGTTTATTTTTCGTTTTTCAATAACGAAATTTTATTGCGGCTTACCGGATGGCTCTCAAATAATCTGAAGAGCTGAAAACAATTTCTTTTTTCCGGAACCATCAGTATTCATCTGAGTTATCTGACTCAGCGCAGGGATAAGAATGTAAAGGGTGTTTATACCGACGAAAATCAAGTCACGCTGACGTTGCTCGCGCGACTGCACGCTTCTCAAATTTTCCAATTCCGCGATGGTAAATTGTTGCCCGTGGTATCAGTTTCATAACTGCAAAGTATTCTTCGGAATTCGAAAATCGAAATCTTATCCTAATAAAGACGGATCATCCGAAAGAAAGTAATTTCAGAAATTTTAGAGAATTTTATTCTTATATATGGCCTCAAGAGGATTCCTCTAAAATTAAGAAGAAAATATTATAAATTAATATTATAAACACATGATTCTTAAAGTTAGAGGAATTATATGTTATATGTATAATGCAAATCTTGTTGATTTTAATATAAATTTCCTCTTATACACAGATTATTAAATTTTTTTTTAAGAGGATTATTATTTATTCTTACTGTACTTTATTCTTACTAGTTATACGTTCTTTTATAAGGAAAACAGAGAAAATTATTATGAAACTGTCCGGAAAAAATTCTAATTTAATTTTTTTTATTTCCTGCTGGAAAAGTAGGAAAAACATAAATTTATAATTTTAAGTACTCTAAATGGCATTTAATGTAGTGTCTAATGCGATATGATAAATGGATATGTGTATGTGTGATATGATAAATGGATATGTGTATGTGTATATACTTACGTTGAAATATGGGCCAGTATGTCTTTAAATTGATTTTCTCCAAAAGTTCTTGGACTTCGTTCATGACGAAACAACCGAGAAAAACAACACAAACTAAACAACATAAATTAGATTCTAGAGCAAAGGAAAAAAGAAGAGAGATTGTTATTCAGTTTGTGTTGTTTTGAACGAAATTCAAGAATTTTTCTTTTTTAGAGTCTAGATGTTGTCCATAAAATAAATGTGGCGACAGCCGTCATATGCAGAGAGAGAGAGAGAGAGAGAGAGAGAGAGAGAGAGAGAGAGAGAGAGTGTGTGTTTGTGTGTGTCTCTGTGTGAGTAGATGGAAAAGGAAAAACGCCGACGAGCGTTCTTCTTGATACAAGAGGAAAATTAATTGATATAAGAGGAAATCCTCTTGAAACAGGAGGAAACCAGTTAGAACAATAATAAATTTTAGATGAATGGTTCACTTTAATCGCTTCGTCGAAAGAGAAATCCTTTTTCTGTAAAAGGCTTCGCTTAGAATATGAGACTATGGGAAAGATCACTTTACAAATAGAATACTTTTTTTGGGTGATATCTGTTCTCTAATACGTATCTCCGCAACGTACCTCCGGCACGTTTCAATCAAATCAAAGGTGAAATTTTGCAAATCGCTCGATCGATGAGTCGCACGACAGACGGAGACGCGTTCGCAAAATCGGAGCTTTCGCAGGTGGAAATGCGTGTCATCGAGTGCGTCGACATCCGTGTAAGTCAATGAGCTTTGTCATTGACCAATAACGCGTCAATGTGCGGCCTCGATCCCGAAAGTGAATGTAAGAGCTGCGAAAGGATCATTAGCGCAATTGCCCGTGATGCAAGGTGCCGTAATAGTGCCTGAAGAACCCCTCCGGTCTCCGTTAGTATTAGTATGTAAAGTTACACCGCTGTTCAACCACTGTGTTGCAACGTGATATGTGTGAGAAGCATTAGTGGGCGAATTTACGAAGTGGCAAATTAAGTAACGGACTAAGTTACGATGCTTTATGGCAGCGAAGTACAAATGACGCGTGATAAATGGGACTGCGGTTTGTGAATTAATAAAACGTGAGCGTTAAACGTCGTGAGTGCTAATTACGGTAACATTGATCGAACTGCTTTACGGGACTTCCATTCGCAAAATTACGCATATCGCATCCAGTTTATTTAAAATCAATATATCAATTTAACGTAACGTTAATGTAAATTTTAAAGAAAATCATTGAAAATTAAAATTAATGAAATTATTGAAAATTAGAACAAAGTAGAAGTGGCATATACATATGTATGTATACGCATGTTAAAAATTTATACGTTAAAGTAAACGGAAATAAAACGTGTAGACAAAATTAATGTATAGATTATAGGAGGAGATAATAAATAATAATGGTCAGGCAAAACGTATATTTATTTTGTTATTCGATTGTTTGTTCTGTCGCTCTGTTTTTTCGCTGTTACACCGCTTGTGTGCATCTAGCTTATGCAGGGTGTCCGGGATCTTTTGGAAATTGTGAAAATTAACTGTGCAAATTAATCACATTACACTGACAGTGAGAAGAAAAGTCAAGTACCATTTTGCAAAAATCGCGATAGTTATAAAATGATTAGTGATCACGATCTGAGATTGAAAGATCTAATTGAAAATGACCACATCTAGAGGCTCTAGAAGGATTTTACCTGATAACTTGAAAATTTGCGTACTTATTTGCAAAATGGTAAAGGACATTTCTGTTCAGAATGACTTAACCCACAATTATATGAAGGCTATCGTGTTTAGCGATAGATATAAGTATATTGAACTTTGAATCCTGAATCTTGAAGCTGTCGCAAAGCACGCAAATTTGCAAGTTATCAATTAAAAGATAACTCTGCACACGTGGTCGTTTTCAATCATTAATAATGTAATAACTATTGCGATTTTTGCAAAATGGTACTTGACTTTTCTTCTCAGTTTCATCCGATTAATCTTCGTTTCTGATTAATCTGATTAATCAATTTTCCGTTTCCAAAAGATCCTGGACAAAAGAACACACGTAAGACAAGCTATTCTCGAAGATTCTCGAATGTTCTCACGCGAGTCTAAGGTCACTCGCAAATCAAACCAGACAACCGGATTCAAACAGATATCCACGATCAAACATCGATCGCCGCTCGACGTTTCGTCTTAACGGACGGTTTCGCCAGCGGAAATTCCACGAGATATTCTATTCCTATTTTTTTCTTTAATTCATATTATATTCTTGCGTTACGCCATATGTATGTTTGAGTAAATTTCCGCTTGTACCTTTAAAGAAGCTACGTTTAATTTATCTCACACCGCACCGTTCCTTCTAGAATTTCGTCCGTTCTAGAATTAAGCTGTCGGAGATCAAATTTCCGCTGATAGGATACATACTTAACGTTGCGACTTTCTCCATTCCTGACCCATTTTTCGAACGCACCGCGGCTGAGAATAATCGTTCAGCAGGCGTACGTTTTAGGCAAAATATTTTGATCAAAACACAAACACGTCCGTTGCGTGACAGGCGAATAGAAAAATTCAGCCACGGAAGATCATCTGACATAACGCGTAGAGAAAGTACCACCGCGGGACTTCTCGTCGCTGGTCTTATGCGTAATTGCACCAACGAAATGTCGCTTAGTTTCGCTTCGGCCTTCGTTCTCCGAGCATCTCCTCGAGCACCGGAGCTGCGGAGAGTTCTCACGAGCGCGCGCTGGCAGTAGTCGGCCGAAGGGCGCGCACAAAGTTGCACGCACACGTGTGATCGCGCGTGCACTTCTACAACGTGCACCGAAATATCTGGTAGCGATTGCCCAAGAGAACTTTCACGCTCGGAAACTCAAACGTCAGCGAAGTGGACGAAATTTCACGTACGCTCGTAGCACGCGCGCACACGCGACCCTTGAAGTTTTCAAGTACCGCGCCGCGCCGCGCCGCGCCGAGCCGAGCCGAGCCGAGCCGGGGTCTCGGGTGTTCCGCAGCGCCGGATTCCGTCGGACCAAGTTCGCTCCTCTCCCCGTGTGTGAACGTTCATTCAAGTGAGTAGTTTGGCTGGTGGCCGCGTAGATGCTCCACGACACACGCTCGTCGCCAGTGCCATTGACGCAGCGTATTCTCATATCGTACGTATGACAGCGTTCGCTCGGGGATTAGAGGATAACGAGGATCAACCAGGTTACAGCTAACTGCGCTCGTTCGCTGATGTTAATACGCCCTGCGTGGCCGGAACACGCGGTATAATGATCGTCGTTGTTGTCGTCGTCGTCGTCGTCCAAGACTCGACCTTGACCCCCCATTCGCTGTTCATCCGAGGCTCTGCGAAGATCCACATTAATTTCCACGTTGATTTCGCGTTAATTCACGTTCAAGCGAAGTCGCGCCTAATCACCCAGCTGACCTCTCGCTGACAATTCAAATCTGTCCGGTTGTTTGTCACTGTTACACGAACATCGGCTCGAGATTCGCGCCTCCGATTTTCCACTCGTCGGTTTCTGGTTGGCCACGCTAATTCGACGCTTGACTCGATTCATCGTGAAAGACTCATTCATCATCATCATCGTCCCTGGTGCGTCGCGATTTTTATACAAGGATCGATTATTAAACTTGATTTATTTATACGTATATACTTGACTTCCCGTTCTCTCGTCTGTAGAAAAATCCGAGCAGAGTCGCGTGAATCTTCAATGCACCCCAAAAAAGAGTAATTTCAGGTCAAGCGGAATCATCTAAATTTTAGAGGATTTTATTCTTTTGTATGGCCTCAAGAGGATTCTTCCAAGATTAAGAAGAAAATATCATAAATACATTATTCTTAGAATTAGAGGGATTATATCTTACGTATATAATGCAAATCTTATTGATTTTAATATATAAATTTCCTCTTATACACAGATTATTTAATCTTTTTTTAAGAGAATTATTATTTATTCTAACTGGCTGGTTAATTTGAAAAAATTATTATAATGTATATAGCGGAAAGTAATATACAGGGTGTTCATGTGAAAACTTTCCAGCTAATTATCTCGAAAACTATAAAAAATATTAAAAAAAGCTAAAACACACACGTGTTCCATGATTTCGAAGAGGAAAGAATCAGTTTTTTATTTGGAAAGTATTTTCAAGGTCAGTTAAAGGTCAACTTAATTTTTTTTTTATAGAAAACCCAATTTTTTATTATATCTTCTGTTTCTACCAATTAATTTTAACAACTTTTGTCTGGAACATTTTTTTATTTGCCTGATATTTTTTGAAATACTTAAGTAAACTTGGTAACTTTTTCAACATTTAACTTACGATATCCCGCTAACTATTCGTCGAAAGAAAAAATAATATTAGACATTTTTACTTTATTTACTATCAAGAATATGTTACAATAATAGTGCCCTAACTTTTGCTAATTTAATAATTTTGAAATTTCCAAAGGTCGATAATGCCATTCTCTTTCCCCTTCGAAATCATGGAACACGTGTTTTAGCTTCTTTTAATATCTTTCATAGTTTTCGAGATAATTAGCTGGAAAGTTTTCAAATGAACACCCTGTATATATAGATGTACTTCTGGCTTCAGTTCTACAATAAATTGGCGCGAATGAATTTCAATTTTCGCCCATCTGTGAGTGCGATAAACTGAGTCAATTTTAATTTAAGGGAAAAATTAAGTCGAGTCTTCAGCTGGTAGTTTGCAAAATCAATTGTAACGGCGGAGATATGTCGGACGTTGTCCAAGACTCGATTTTTCCTCCTAACATTTTATCCGTTATTTTTCTTCCTTAGTTTACGCTAATTTAGAATCGCGTGAAATATTCAGCGAATCTTTCGCTTAAAAATGTTTTATTAACCAATATAAAGGTATTGAATATTTACTAAGACCAACTCAAGTTGCTAATGATTCTTTGATGACTTTCGAAACGCGGAAAGAATTGAAAGGGGTTTTTACGCCTTAGCTGCCAAGAGGTACTTGGGAGCATTTGCATAAAGACGGAGATGAAGACTAGGAGATGCCGCCTTTCGCAATAACTTCGCCTCAACTCTGTCCCTTAAATTGAAGGTGACGAAATTGCAAGAAACGGAGCAAGATGCTGCTGCAAGCAGTGCTCTGGCTGCTGGTCTGCCTGGTCGCTTTGTGTATCCTCTCGGAATCCATAGACACGATCCTGAGCATCCTGTGGGAGATGGTCGCGACGATATTCGGCGGCAAGCAAATCGACCTGCGAAAAACCTTCGGCGAGTGGGCTGGTAAGAACACGAGATTCGCTTCTTCGTCGCACTTTGGAGCGTTTCTAGACAGCTCCGCTAAGCTTCGATATCTAACCTTCCTCTGGCTGCATAATTTAAGTCAATTTGCATTTCTACTAACTCGCAATGTGAACGACGATAGGGAAGGAATACGTTTCCGCGATGTTCCAGCTAGATAAACACGAGAATCGTAAATATTCCAGTTGTCACTGGCTCGACTGACGGCATTGGCAAAGCATACGCGATAGAATTAGCGAGGAGAAACATAAATCTGGTTCTGATCAGCAGAAGTATGGCAAAACTCGAAAACACGAAGCAAGAAATTATGCAGGTGAATCCGCAGGTCAAGGTGAAGATTATAGAGGCGGATTTCAGCGTAGGAAAAGATATCTACCATAAGATCCAACTTCAACTAAGCGACATACCCGTCGGTATCCTAGGTAATTAAACGCACTCGACTTCGTTTCACTTCTTATATCCCCCCTCTGTGATTATTATTCTATAAAAACTACGCGAGCAACTCTCTTCAAGTGGAGGCACTTGAATCTCGAATTCGAGCAGAAAATCGACTCGTTCAGTCAAGTTCGACGAGAACAATCGGACTAGTCGGTCGAGGAATTCAGTTCGACCTGACGGAGACGAATTATTCATTTGACTTCAACCGCCTTCCTCTTGTCTCAAGTTAACAACGTGGGCAAGATGTACGATTATCCCATGTACCTCGACGAGGTGCCCGAGCAGATATTGTGGGACATAATCAATATAAACGTGGGCGCAACCACGCTGATGACACGACTGGTCATCGGACAGATGCAACAACGCAGACGGGGTGCTATCGTCAACGTCTCCTCAGGGTCGGACCTAACGCCACTACCGTTGATGACGGTGTACTCCGCTACGAAGATGTATATAAAGAACTTCTCCGAGGCGATCAGGATGGAGTACTCCAAATTCGGCATAATCGTGCAGCATCTGTCGCCGTTCTTCGTCGCTACCAAGATGAACAATTACAGCCACAGAATCAACGTACGTACACGCAACCCCCGTTGCCTCTGTCTTTCTCTTTCGCTCTGTTGAGAGACCAGAGACTTTGCTTTTCACTTCGAGATCGAGATGTCGTAATTATAAAAAAAATAAGAAATGTTCGAAACGAAACTTGGCCAACGAATCAGACGCGTAATATTTGTTTCGCTATTTGAGCACAAACTGTTTAAAGTATCGCAATTATGCAAAAATAGCAATCAATACATACGTTTCATTATTCTCTCGACAAATGCAGGTGAAGAGTCTCTTCGTGCCCGATTCCACGACTTACGCGAGGAACGCCATCGCCACCCTTGGAAAGATCAACAGCAGCACCGGGTACTGGGCTCACAGTATCCAGAAGCTTTTCGTTCTGGCACCTCCCACGTGGATCAAAAACAAAGTCGCTTTATTAATTTCCAGGATACTCAGACAGGATCACTTTAAACAGAAAGAAAAGGAAAAGTTGTGAAATGTGTATGAGAGCGAGTGTAAATAACCCGGTAAACACCGGCAGGATTATATCAACATTATACTAAAAAATGCAAGTACAATTATATAACATACAGTGTAACGGTTAAATATTTAAAAGTGATAGATTATAACATTGATGTAATATTATCGTTACTTGATGTTTGCTAAAAATATATTCTTGAAACTTCTGTTCTCGCACGCAAGAGACGAGTAAATTTTGGTAAATGATTGTTGTAAGCATTAATTGTTATTTAAAATAATGATACAAAATTTCAAAATAAAAAGCGATCTGTAACCTATCACTGGATCGTATCATTTATATTAAAAGATGGTATAACATACATACGCAAGTCCGCAAGACGCAGATATTCGAAAAAAAGTGCTTCTGACTTATCATGGAGTCGTACTACAACCTCAATTCCTCATTATGGACGGTGGCGGCTCGTAGCGGAGACTTTGGAATTATATATTAGAAAATACATAGCCACATACACATTCACGCAATTCATTAGGTTTTGTAAGAGATTGTTAGCAGGCTATTCGATATCCTGATTAGCAATGTGTGCGAAAAATTCAAACGACTAATGCGGTGCCATCTAGCGGGATTGTAGAAAAGCTCGTCGAACTCAACTGATTCGAGTCTCGGCTAAGTAGATTCGAGTCTCGGCTAAAATTAGCACTTTGACCCTTTACGATTATTCGACCCGTTATTTTTGTTAGCGCGTCTTCGCTATGCTGGTTTGAATCTCGGCTAAGTAGGTTCGAGTCTCGGCTAAAAGTTAGCACTTTGACCCTTTATGATTATTTGATCCGTTATTTTTGTTAGTACCAAAGTCTCCGCTACGAGCCGCTAGTATCTTTAAGCATGTAATGCGACTCGAGGACAGGATAGATTTAGTATTTTTTTCTTTTCAAGTAATAGAGTACAACAACTGGGCAAATGTTTTTTTTATTTTTCAAATTGCACGAATAAAAATTCAATGCGCTCCATCTCCGACGAAAATAATAATAATAAAGCCGTTCGAAGAATATTTTGCTGTGTTTTCTAATTTAGTGTTTCTAATTTTGAAATATATCAAGTTTATAATTTTGCTGTTATTTTGAAATATATCAGACTAAATAAAAAAATGGCAAACTCCCGATTTTTTACCTCACATTTTCACTGGGTCTTCTTACGTCGAACAATTATTTATTCAGGAATGCAATATAGATATATTTTAAAGAGGAAACATTTTGAACTCGACAAGCTCCGTAAGAAAAGTTCGGCAACCGGCGAATTTTCACCAGCAGCAACGTAGAAAACATATAAACTTTATATCCCAATGCATATTTGAATATTAGAAACAAGTTACACAATTCTTCCGGGATCACTTTATTTCTATTGTTTTTGCGAAAGTCACAGCTCGTTGAATTTCGCGTCACGATCGAGTAAAAAACGGTCCTTGCTTTCCTCGTGCATAAACTATACATAAAAAAATGTACAGAATTAGCAAATTGCACGCACTCTTTTCCTTCGTGGCGAGACAGAAACGATAACGTTGCGTTTGCGACTGCAATGCATACTTTTCTTTTTATTCTCCTGTGTATTCGCGGAAGATTCGCGGTGCCCTCGCGCGAGGCGTTTCCGCCGCCGTGCCAGTGCAGTATCAACGCAGCTGGAGAGAAATAAATCGCGCTGGCCATGGGGACTGCGTAGCAGTCGCTCTCGGTGCTCCGGTCGCTTGTTTTCTTTGTTTGTTTTCAGTTTCGCCCAGGATTATCTGTCCGCCGTCGAGTTCCCCGGAATTCGATTCGATTCGCGACGCGACATGGCCACGATCGATTCCACGAGCTTTCTGCTTTCGTTGCTTTGTTTCATTACGCTGTTAACCTCGTCTGTCAGTGCTGTCGCTGAGCCAGATGGTACGTCTTCGGCCTTGCAATCTCCGAGCCAGGACTCTCTGTCCAAATCGACGACAATCGGAGGACTCCTACGCAGTGACGTCGTCGACGATGAAAAGCTACGGAAGGCAAGTACCGAAATACTCATGTTGCGTGCATGTGTGTGTGTGTGTGTGTATGTGTGTATATGTATGTGAGAGAGATGCGTTCTGAATTTATTAGCTCTCCCTTGATCTGTGTTATTTATTTTGTTTTATCAGCTGATTTTGCCCCTCGTTTTTATCTAGCGAATATTTCCATTTGATGCTTCTGTATTTTGTTATAGGATCACAGTGCAGGACAATCAAGTTCCTCACGTATTTTTAGCTGTGATTCACCTTTGACATTTTATTCTTATTTTCTGCCTCGTGTATTTTCCTGCTTCCTGCCTCTTCCCTCATATCTGTGCAAAAGTATTTTGATTTTATCAGCAATAAGAAATGAATTTTTGTCAGCAATAAGATTGAACTTTTGTCCGCAATAAGATTGAACTCTTATATTAAAAATCAACAGAATGACGTGAATACATCAATGATGGTGGAAGGAGGACCAATATTGATATCCACGAGCACCCCACAACAAGTGGACACAAAGACTGCGATTGAGCCAGACATCTCCGATGAGACTACAGCGAGAGAAAACATGCTTAAGGAAAGAAACGCTGCACCTTCTGTAGTCCCGAGAAAAGGAGTCCAAGAGAAAAAGGTCAAAGCAAGGAAAGGCGTGAATCAGTCCAGCCAGGAACTGGAACAAGTGACCATGTCGATCAGTCAGACGACTCTCGAGGATATAAAACCCATAGTGGAAAATACTGCCACAACAGCACCTGCTCATACCAGTGATCAAGCTGAAACTTCCAATGTTGACGCATCAAAATTAAACAGCACTACTTCATGGCCTAATGACAACTTAGATCATCACAGTGTGAACTCCAGTTCAATTCCAATGCCAGAGAACATAACTACCTCTCACACGGAGGCCATGAATGACACAACGGTGCAAAAGTCTTCCTCTCCAGTAGAAAAGAAGCATATACCGAAGCCTAAACCAACAGTAACGACTGTCGGCAAATCGGAAATAGACGTATCCAGGCTACCTTCGCGAAACAAGAGTTCTCCGTTAGGCACGCCGAAAAAGATTGATTATATCATACCAGTCATTATAACGATTATCGCTTTACCTCTATTGGGTACAGCCATTTTTGTATTGTACAGACGCGGTCGAGATTGCTGGGACAAGAGGCACTATCGAAGGATGGATTTTCTGATCGATGGAATGTACAACGACTGAGAAAGAGAGAGAGAGAGAGAGAGAGAAAGCGCTGCAAAATCGAAAATTTGCATCACATGAGATTACACGGGCGTGTAATGCAAGGAGAAATCAGTCGTCCATTTTCCACGTTCTTTCGCGGATGCAATTTTATACACGTACTTTTGGAGTAATTGTTACCAAGCGATATAGCGTTGATTTCTTATCACCTAATAACGTCCAAGCGAAGGTTACACCTGTCACCGCTCAGGCCCGTTAACACGCTCGTTATCAGCGTCACACATATACGACACCCCGATTTCTTATCGAAGACATCAGTGTCACACATGTGTCACATATTATAGAAAATACTCAATGTGCCTATTCAACATATTTCATGCGTGCGTAATTGCGGACATGCATTATGTTAAGTGCAGCTACTGAAAATGTGAACGACTTTCAACCCGAACGCATAACGAGCGCGTTAACAGACTCGGCATCTTACTACGTAGTATAAATATATCAAATGAAAATATATATCGCGCTACACACACACACACACACACACACACATATATACATACACATATCATGCAACGATATAAACTTTTACAACCAGTGACGTCCCAACTTGCTGTGCAATATCCTCGCGTCGTATCGTTGCCTTCTTGATAATAACGCGTCAAGAATTTTGTGATTTCTTTTACACAGCGGTCAACATGTTTGACATCGCATTTTGTATGCTGTTTGGCAGCTTCTGTTAATTGTACTTTTAGGACAACGAATACAAAGAATCATATCGAGGGAGGAACGTTGACGGCGACATTGAGACAACGATCCTGTAAATAATTCGCGCGATATATAATTACCGCATCGAATACACTTTCCTAAGATAATGCATAGCGGTATATCTAGAGTAAATAAATTATTATTTACAAAAGTTTACACTTCGCGGATTGCTTTGATCTTGATGTACATATTATACGGAATAGAATCCCAAGTCGTCCCGAGAGTTGCATGTGATAGTCGTGAAGTGAAAATTATCCAAAGAATTTCGCTCTCTATATCGAAACGAAAAAACAAAAAGAAAATCCGTGAGGTGTAATCTCTTGCGAATAATTACCAGAAAATTTCTCCTAGAAATCTTCGCTTTTATTCGTGTAAGAGGATCTTTATGTAAGAAAGAGACGTCTTCTTCCATCGCGATCTTCCTCCGTGAGTGGGAATCTGTGCGTTATATTTTGATGCCATTTAGAAGATGTAAATGAAATTCATCAAAGGGTCCAATTTTGCCAAGTCCGACAATAACATATTAGCAAACCGAATCTCTGTGGAATCCCGGCGGAACAGAGAGAGATCGCGTTTTGAGAGAATGCTCTTAGTGAATAACAGTTGCGCGATTCTTTTTGCATAAGAAAGCCCTATATAGTTTGTAAGACGACGCTTAACTATACGAAACGCTAGAAGATACACAAATTTACCAAAGAGTTAACCGAGTTTGTGTGACACGTCGTGCGTTACTTGTACTTTGTTCATACTGTATTTAGATAATAATGTTGCATTTCTATTTCGCAGGATGATTTACGAATCTTGAATCTATTTAAGCTCACTTAGTAAAGATATTTTTACCGATACTTGCCATATCGGAGTGGGCAGCATGACATACGTCTTCTCTCGCTATGTAAATACGATGAATAATGATTTGTGAAAATTATTCAGTCTGTGAGACTTTTTGAGATTGTGATTTTTAAGAGCGAAATTGCGTTTCAGGCTTTCGAAAGTGTATATTTTATTAACGCGCGGGAAAGCAATAATAATAATAATATAATTATTTTTATACGTCTATGTAAGAGAGAAAGATTATCCACATATATATATATATATTGTTACGAAATATACGTACTTTCAAATCATACATTGTTACATATTGAAATTCAGCCGACAATAACATCACAGAAAAAAGGAGAATAATATTTGTAAAGATTTTATTAATAAGCCTGTTATATAGATACATAAATACAGAAATATTAGCGATATACATACATACATACGCACACGCATGTGTATATATATATATATATATGCCTGTGTATACAGGGTGTTTGATAGCTGATCATGCAGACGAAAGTTGGGGATAGATTGGGTGTAGCCGAGAAGAAGTCATGTACCATAATGTCAAATTGCTAATAGTTATCGAGTTATTAATTGAAACATGTGAGCCAACGAGCGCGTAGAGAGCGGAGGGCGACCGCAGTAAGCACATAGACTTTTGATACAGGCGGAGTCAGCGAGTGTCGTTAGACGAGGGGCAACGTAAACAACAAGAGGCGAACGCGCGCAACGAGGAGCTTGCCTACCGCCATTCGCTGACTCCGCCTATATCAAATGTCTACGTGCTTACTGTGGCCGCCCTCCGCTCTCTACGCGCTTGTTGGCTCACATGTTTTAATTAATAACTCGGTAACTATTGTCAATTTGACATTATGGTACATGACTTTTCTTCTCGGCTACACCCAATCTATCTCCAACTTTCGTCTGCATGATCAGTTATCAAACACCCTGTATATGTGTATGTACATATGTGTGGGTGACTTACCACTTGCAAGCCACCCGTTAATTTCCTGAGGACCTTTTAAAATGAAAAGGTCAAGGATAATGATCATGTTTAGATGGGAAACGTCTGAAGATGACCGTTAAAAATTTACGCGCTCAGACATACGTGTACATTGCATAACAATCGCCTGTCGAAAGTCATTTTTTCGATAATGACAATTCTAGGTAGAATATGAGTAATATTGCTTCATAACTTCGTCATATTCAAGAGTTATCATCGATCCGCTGAACGTTGTGCTAATGAGGAAGTAGTGTAAAAGTGTCACAGAATATTACCGAGATGCGCGTCGAAACATCGGAAAACTGCCACATGAAGTATATCTTTGACGAATAACGTTTTCCTGCAGTAGAGATGTTCAAATCAATATCAATCAATAATATGTTATTATTATTAGTACTCTACTGCTATTATTATTATTATTATTATTATTATTATTATTATTATTATTATCACCAAGCTATGAGAGTTTGATCAATAAATCATCATCGTGTTTTATATATATTTATATATATATGTGTATATATATATATATATATATATCGCGTCAGAGTCATTGGTGTTAATATATGTCTACCTCTACATAGTCAGTTTAATTTCTTCCTTGAAATACTTGAAATCGCGCTAACGTTCTGCCCTAATTCTATAACGAGAGTTATACTTATCCTAAAAAAAGTACAGTTACTTTCCCAGTTCGATCCCGACTTGAATTCGAAACTAAATCAAGTCGTTACTCGTCGTCGCGCTAAAGTATCATCTAAAGAATTAAATATAAAAATAGTATTTCCTCTTGACGCACTAACTTCATGCCGAGACTACCATTACGAAATCAATACACTTGAAAGTATCGCAAGGGTAATGCAATTCTCCGAGTAATATTAAAACATGTGTCTAGCCGCAATGTTCCTACATGATACGTGATGATAAAAATATATTATTTTTTTATTTTCATCTTGCATTAAAAAAGGTAAATTAATATCTAGAGGCCTGTCCGATTACATCGAAAAAGCTTCAGAAATATGTGTGTGTACATCGTGTGTAGTGTATATGTGTGCGCACGCGTGTGTTTGTATCGTGTGCATCTACTTACAAATTCATATATATATAACATATTACCAGTCTACTAAAATTAACGTAAAAACTTGTGCATGAATGTATAGCTTAAATACACATATCACCTTTAACATCGATGCTAAAAATATTATAGAAAAAATATGAATCAAGATTGAACTGAAAGAAAAATCCGAGAAATAATTATCGGAGGACAATTTAATGGAAGTAATTATACATGCGTATAATTTCAAGAATGCAATTTCGTTACCTTTAATGGAGCAATACGTACACACACGAGTAAACGCATGTAGACAAAAAAATGAATGAAAATCGAGGGCTATTTTAAAAGGACTGGAGAAAAGAGGACGCGCTCGTTAAAAATCGATCAATATGCAGACAATGAAAGCCTCATTCTGCTATATCCGAAGTAAAATATAAGGCACTCTCTGTCATCAATTTTACGAATTTCCCTCCGGCACTTTCCCGATACTTTCTCTACTCAGTCCAACCTTGCGTAGCATTTATATATACAATCATTATCACACCAGGTCAGTGAGCGGACAATAGAGTTGCTTACGACAGTCATCTAACCGGTATAAGTTGCTCATATACTCTTGGACAACAAACTTCACGACAAACTAGGAGGTATTAAATTTCGACGCCATAGCGAACAGAAGATAAACGAGAGAGAAACCCTAAGAAAAAAAGAAAATAAATGTATCAAGTATTCGACAGAGTAGCACGAAAAGAAGAAGAACTGACGACCGGTTAGAAGAATGACGTAAACGTGATTGTGCGTCCGCTGAAATTTATCCGATTTTATCAAAGTTTGCACCGATCATATATACATCGGACCGGAAGCAAAATCGATTAAATTCACGATTCCCTCCACCGCGTTCTCGAACTTGGTCGCTAATGCGGAGAATTACGTTGCACCTCACGGAAAATTTCTCCCTCCGGAGATTCCCCCGATGACTTTCGCGCGGCTCGCCGAGCGACTGTTCTACTTTGATTTGTACTTCGCCTCGTCCGGGAAGATCTCCCTCAGCGGCACGAGGCTGAGCATCATCACGTGACGCACGTAACTTCGCGAGTTGCGGAATTGCGTGTCGGTGCCGTGGATGCGGTCCAGAACTCCTAGCACACCGTAGCATTGGTTGAATCTGCAAATATTCATTTGAGCTACGATTCTTCTCTTCGTCATTTGAAGGTGCGATAAAATACAAATTCGTGCGAGAATGTCCGTGAAAATAATCCCAAGCGGCAAGGTGACCAAAACATCAAGTGACGTCTTGGTAACGTCCTAACAACGTTCCTAACGTTCCTCAATAAAAATGTCATTAAAACGTCATTTGATATCACCTTGCTACTTGGAATTAAATACAACAAAGTAGATACAACTAAATTGAATATACAATTAACAATTAAATTAATAAATAATCACAACAAAATGAGACGCCAATAAACAGTTGCAACAAAATTGGACTATATCGACGGAACGGGCATTACTTTAAATGATGAAAATCGTGTGCCTCCGGCGACGGGAGGAACGGTAGGTGATAGCCGGAGTGTGCGTTCAACGTCGAAAGAATCGCGAGCGAGAACCAGAGCCAGGCGGTAGCCACGTGGGAGCCCATGAGGAACACGCCGAGGAAGGGCGGAAGTAAATTCGAGCCTATGTTCTCCAGAGGATGGCAATACATCGCGGTGACGGCTACGGGTGCGGTCCACTCATGATGCTGCTTATGTATGTACTTGTACAGAGTGCCCTTGTGGAGAAATCTGCAAGATCAAGCAAGCGATAAGTAGCGATTCGCACCGACGCAACGCGACGGTGATCTCTAGACGGAGAAAAGTGGGATATACCTGTGCGAGTAATAAAAGCCAATCTCCTCGCATAATATGTGAATCGCGATCTCGGCGAGCACCCAGTGGAAGGTCGGCAGCTCGCGCACCGGGGGGAAACCGCGCCATTCCATGATGTAATAACTCACATAGATAACGGGAAACCCGACAATAGTCTGATTGAATAGCACTTGACCGATCACTTTGCATAACTTCCTCTTGTCGACCGGCTCGTTCGTGCCCGGTTGTATTTTGTATCTGCGCAGTGCCGCCGGCCGATTGGTGATGTCTAGGATGGTGTAAATCCCACCGACCATCCAGTAGACGACTATCATCAGCAACCAGGACCCTGTACCGATAAATGTGTGATAAATATGAGAACATTGATGATGAGGTACAACGACATGAGTCGCGAGATCGCTGAATCGCTTCGAAGGAGATCTCAAAGTGTACTTTAGACGACTTAAATTTCGAAATTTCCAAGTCTATTCCTCAAGTTTCATGACAGAATTCTCACGATATAATTTCAGAAGAATACATGGAATTAGTTGCGGTGAATGTAAAGAATATTATGTTCGTACAATTGTATATTATAATTTATATATTTATACCACATGTATATATGTTATTATAATTTAATGTTATTATTATGATATCGATGTATTACATATATTCTAATATTAATATTAATATTTTAATATCAATATTCGCGAACTTACCATAAACCCACAAGGTAACGGAACCATCTCCGAATCTGTCCAAGATCTTGTCCCACTGGGCCTGCCAGAAATCGCCGGATGCGCCCCAAAATCTTTGCAAATGCCTGCGGTAACACACGTCAATTAGCGAATTAATTCGTAGAAAAGAGAAAGCTCTCACAAGTACCGTTGCGTATTCAGTTCCACATTTAATATTTAGCTCCACAGAGTGGAGATGAAAGAGAGAACTTGCGTACACAGCCAAATTTGTTTCTCGGGTTGCGCAAAAGAGAATAATCAATCGACAACGACGGCAGATAATTCGTCCCTCGATAAATTTTATTCATACGTATCATGAATGGACACTGACTAAAATGAACGTCACAGGATACAGCTTATCAATATCTCCCTTTACGCAATTCTAAGAAAATAATACGAAAATTTTCAAGTAGCTTCTCACCATGTCAACGAATTGCAGAAAGCGGCGAATCCGATCACCACAGTCCCGATAACGAAGAGTACGCTCCTAAGACTCGAGAGGAGCGTCGGTGGAGTTTGATTCTTCGAGGCATCGTTGGCAGTGGAAGTTGCTGCGAAAAAAAGAACGATTGAGTCAATATCGGTGCAAAACGTAATGTTAATTCCTCTCTTTCTCTCTCCCCCTCCCTCCCTCTCTCTCTCTCTCTCTCTCTCTCTCTCTCTCTCTCTCTCTCTCTCTTTCTCTCTCTCTCTCTCTAAACATTCCTCGTAAATCAGCAAATTAGTCAGCTGCGCAAACTCGAGATATCGTAACATATTTGAGATAGCACCGAGAAGTGCTTGCGGAAGACGATCCCGTGTTTTGTATAAGTACGTGCGTACTCAATGACGCATCGAGTTACTATCACACGCACTCGCATGCAGAAGAGCTTATTTGACTCTTTGTTCCTCTTCCAAAGCGACTCCGAGTGTACACCGGGGCGGTGTCAGTAAATGTACTCAGCGTTTAAGGGGGGAGTTATATGCGGAGCAGGCTGTTTTCAAGGCTATTTTTGTAAATTTTTTTAATAGAAACGGTAGGATCAATAGACTTGAAATTTTCACAGGGTATTCATTAATGTTCAAAGTAAAAAATTAATTTGCTACTATCTATATGAAAAGTACGCACAAAGCTTTAAATGTGTTTATCTAGAAACACCGTTTTCTTAAACTGTCGACACGATTACGCAAAAACTAGTGAACCGGAAAACTTGAAATTTTTACACAATATACAGTGGACATGTAGTTTTCGTCCCTACCTCGAACACAGTTATATGTTATTTTATTCGTTTTTTTAAACATGATTGCAAATTGAAAAAAATTTCACTTTCGATATTTTTTTTTGTACAGTCATTATTTTTCCAAACTTGGCTTCACTGCCTTCATTTTACGTACGAGCTATAATGGCAACCGTATATTTTTAAAATCTTTCTCATTTTTTGGTTTCAGAGTAGTGAAATTAGCCAGCCCGGAATTATTTCGACAGTCAACATAGAGCTCGCAAACGGACGACTGCATTTTTATCTATAATTACAAATCGGATTGGTTCTTGTGATTCAATAAAATTTCTTTTATACTTTAAACATCAATGAATACACTGTGAAAATTTCAAGTCCATTGATCTTACCGTTTCTGTTAAAAAAATTCGTAAAAATAGCCTTGAAAACGGCTTCCCGCATGTAATTCCCTCCTTAAAATGGAAAAAAAGCAACTCACTCCCGATTTTTTATCAATCACGAAAACATGACTGCATGAGGAACAGAGAGATTTCTATTCGGTCACGGTTGCTCTCAGTTACCTCACGTGGAGTTTCAATTTTGCCACCAAGCGGTCAGAAATCCGATTTTCGCAATTTCTTATAAAAGATTCGGATTTCTTTTACATAAGAGTGCATAAGGATTTAACTTTTTAATGGACCTTAAATAAAGGTGAACGAAATAAATAAACGTTATTGCCGTCGTGTGTATTCTGCAAAGATCTCCAATGAGAGCAGTCGTCGAAATTAATCATCGATAATTCCTAATGTTAAAGCAATCAGATTTCGGACGAGTGTTTTCGGTCGCGCTAACCGAGATATCGTTTATCGTCACTGAGATTTTGTCCAGACATTCGGTCCTCGACCTCGCGATGTCCGCGACCTTGATATTCCTTTCGATATATAAACATGCATCGTCGTATCCATATTTCCTAGCGTGAAAACGCTCGAAACCTCGAGAGTTGCTCGCAAAAGCGCTATGTCGACCTATTGCGTAAGAAAAATTAGTATTCTCCATTTACAATTTGCTCGTCGCCGACAGGTGCACTCGGCTCGAAAGCAAGCGGAAATGGTCAATCGCCGCTGCGCATAAAATCATTCGCTCAACACCTGACAGCACGGCACGAAAGTAATTCGATTTTCAAAGGATGATGAGTTCCGTTGTTTATTAGCGGACGTGCATTGTGACATTTCCCTCCGATGATAGCTGCGACTCAGATAGAGGGGCAGCAGATTAAAGAGCTGAAACGAGTCTGTACAAGAGAATTTTATAATCAAAATTATCGTGCAATAGAATTTTGCAAGCGACGAACTTTGTCGACCTTTCTGCCTTGATTTGTTAACCGCTTCGTGTATGTTTCAACAATTGACGTTTATCGAGGAGCGATACCTCGTCTCTGCAAAAATGATCATTCTCTGACGTCTGACGAGTTCAACGAATTCAAAACCTTGTTTTCTCAATTTGTAAGAGAGTCCGTATCTGAGAACAGTATTATTTATTATTGGAGAATTTATTATTATTATTATTGGAGAACAGTATTATTTATTGGAACAATATATTATTGGAGGACTCGATAGAAAAAAGCGATATCTTGTATGACGGAACCGTTTAGAACCAAGTGGATTTCCAAAACAATTTCTTCTTTCTATCAGAAACTTTCGATTTCGCGCATACGAGAGAGTTATCTCTTTTTAATTGCAGCTATTATGTTACTAAAAAATACATATTATTACTATATTATTAAATATAGAACTACTGTACTATTAAATATAGAACTATATTATTAAATACCATATTATTACAAAATTTATTACGTTTCTTAGAGCGAAGTAAACTCTCTGCCGAAAATCTGCCTTCGCACTCCCCAACGAAGAAGATGATAAAATCGAAAAAACTTGTATGAAAAGAGCTGTATAATATTATCTCCGAGAGAAGCGCCATAAAAGATAATAGAAGAAATAAAGAAAATATTTATGAAATATCCGAGTAGAATCACGCGTTATTTCGACATCGGTCTTTATCCACGATTAGATAATGAGTTTAGTAAGTAATTCAACAGCAGCCGGTAAGCGATAATATTCGTGATGTGATTTCTCAATCCGCTTGTTATTGACGAATTTATCTATCTACGGTAGATAATTAGCGGTGTGAAGAGAGGGCGAACGTCGCCGTCCGTATAGTCATCCTTGCGACGAATTTTTCACCGCGTTGTAAAACTTTAATGAGTCACTCCGTGCCAACTTTACACACTTGCTACGCAGTTTCTTCAGCTCGCACAACCTGTCGTCAGATCGCGATACTGCGACAAATTCGCGAGGTTGCATACTCGTCGCATCCAATGATTATTTATTTTTATGAAATTAACTATTAAAAATTAGCACGAGTTCCGGCGAGATGTTTCGACGGGGCGAGCGCGCGAGAGCGAACGATCGTGCAGACAAAAAATTATTATCGCTAACAAAAGCGATTGTTCTATTTATTTTCCTGCTCTCAAGTGGTGGTTACCTTCAACAAAGAATGTTGAAATATTTCCTCGATAATAGTATCAAAATGTATTCGCTCCAGATTTTAAATAAGCTCATTATCGTATGCTGAAACAAAGAATTAATTTCTGCTCGCAAGATTATTATGAGACTTATTTTTAAATATTCTATATCTGGTATGCCATTTTTTTACTCTAATTTAATATACTTGTATATTTGTATAATATCTTTAATATAAATTCTCGATTAAAAGTGTTAGATAGAATATAAATTTCGAGACTCGATGTTCATGACCTTATATCTACTGTCTACTCTAAAAATCTATGTAAACTTATGAAATGAATGCATTTTTTAAATGCTTGGGAAAAAAGCAACTTTTGAACTTTAACATAGCACTTCTTTTGTATGCATTCATGCCGATCAGCCGACGATAATCCGAGGTCTTCTCCGACGATTTTGCCTTTCTAATTCCAAGTTCCAATTGCTTTAAATGAGCAACACGTACTATGTTCCAGCTTGGGAAGTAGAAAGAGACATGTTTAGCACTCGTTAGGCAACCCGAACAGGACCCCTGTGCCCGTGCGGTATTCTCAATATCCATTTCTGATCACCGAGTTTAAAAAACACTCGTCGTGTTCATGTTATCGAGACGACTGACCAAGTTTTTGTGCTCAAACGCGTTCGCGTTCTTCAGCGTTAAACGCAGCAACGTCTTGCGCGCGCGGCCCAGCGGAACAAAAACGAAAGCGTCAGGGACTTCAGTAGTCGATAGGCGCAGTAGCTTGCGCATCTATTAAGATTGATTGTGCGCGCATGTAGAGCAATAGAGCTGCTTCGCAGAACACAATGCAATCTTCTCGCGGCGAGAGATCACGTGTGACCCGCGGAGACGTCATTAGCATATATATGTTACAGCATGTAGGAAAATTCTACGGCCGGCCCGATCGCTCGTTATCGAACGAACGTTATCTGTCCGCGAAGCGAACATCCATTAGCTAAATTAAAAGGAAAAAAAAAAGATCGCCAATTGTCGGTCAGACGCGCGCATAAATGTCACATAGATGTAAGTGTGCCTTAACGATATATTATCGCAGTTTAAAACATTATCACACCGAAAAAATCGTATTCTTAATTTTAGAAAAATTCCCTCTAAAGCTTTCTTCTAATCGAATATTGTAAAAAGTTCAGAATATTCCCCTCTAAAAGTCTTTTATTTAGAATAACATCTAAAATAAAGAAAATATTCTAAAATATATATATATATATTTCGTCGCCAGTTGGTTGACGAACGACACTCGCGCTCGCGCATGCGTAAACTATAATCTACGCAGCTTTTATTGCGTTGCCGTATCGTGTCCTGAACGTGTCCTGAACGTGTTTCGAAAGAAGTCTAATCTAGTGATGTAGTGCTGAAACATGGAAGAAGTGAAAAAGTGGCTGCTTGAACATAATTTATCGGAATTAGTCTGCCGTTTTGAAAGTAAGTACGAATTATTAAAAAAGTATATGAATATTACGTAACCTAGACTGAAATGATTCGTCAAAATAATAGCGAAACAACGTTGAAACGATGTCGATGTTGTTTCGACACGATGACGTTTCTGACTGAGAAGTACTGATGCACACTCAAACCTCGTCGACAGTCTATCCAACAGCCGAGCATGTGTCGCCACGTGAATACAACGTGCATTCCACGTGGATTCGACGTACGTTTTTGTGAGGCTACTACTATTTATCCATATTAGAGGGATATTCTAACTCTTATTAGAATATTTCATTAGAATATTTTCTTATACTTATATTAGAGGGAAATTCTCTCTTTTTTATAATATATACTTGGCGCGTATTTTAGTGGCAAATACTCTATACTTTAGTTACTTTTCTATAATGTAGAATAAAATTTTTTCGGTGCACTATTATTATTGAAACTATTGTTACTGAACTATTATTACTGAACTGTTATTACTGAACTATTATTATTGAAAATATTAAAATTACTAACGCAATTCATTCAGCGCTCTCGGAGAGATCCAGCGGAGATCGGTGCGAGTACAATTTATTAAGATTTCCAATTTATTAAGATCTCCAATTATTCATATGACTAAAAATTACGAGAGTAACTCTTACTAGTTATCGCGTTGAGTCTGATTGCAGTAAGATCAAGACGCACACGTGATACTTCAAATCGAAAGAGAAAAGTCGGAAGAAACGGCGGTATAATTATATACACTTATTGATGACGGTGATCTTTTAGAATTACAAAAACTACTAATGGAGCACTTGGAATGACAGAAAACCGTCTCCTTAGTCTTTCACACACGGTAGTTTTCCAGATTGATGTAGATCCAATCATGCAGAAAAACGATTGATCGAGTTGCTTCGTCAACAACAAATTTTTTTCGTAATGGCAGCTGTTTTTTTCGCGCGCGCTCGACTTTGAGCAGCTCCGACAAGAAATCTTCTGCTGCATGTGACGTAGCGAATTTTGGTTAAATATAGAAACGGCTGCATTTAATAAAAAATATTCTGGTTTTACACCGTTCATCAGAAATGATAATTTAATCATCGGACGTTTGTTAAAAACAACATCACTGTTCATTAAAAATAAATAAATTTAATAAAATCAGAATTCAAACTATCTTGAAAATGTTCAACAAGTATCTAACAAGTTATGATCCTTTAAATTCACACTTAAATCCTTCTTAATCTTCTTGTATCTTGGTCGGTTAAAGAAAGATAAAGTGAAATTGTAAGCTATCTAGCTCCAGAATAATAAGGGTCATCAGCACCGGCCAATGGCCGTGGAAAACCAAATAAAGAATATCTATCTAATATAAAAATAAAGAATATCTATCTAACCTTAAGAGGATCATTAGCAATGTATAAAAAAAATTGTATATAAATGAGTATCTACTTCAATTATCGTAATATCATTAATAAGAGTGGAAAGTTTTACATTGTACCAAATATCTACCTCGCCTCGTTGAGAACGTCATCGGGGAGGCCAGAATGTGAACAATATAATCAAATATCTACTTCGCAAAGAGTCGTTGGCAATACATGTAACCAAATATCTAGAAAAGATCATCGGCAACTCTCGGAATGGGAATTAAATTACCTCGCCGAATAGGGTCATTAGCAAAACTAGGGTCGTGAAGGAGTTAGTTCGTCTAAATCTTGTTTTCGTCTTAGAGGTGGAGCCAATAGCGAAATTCTTTGATATCCACGAGGACACCGTTGAGATCTCGCTATAATCCTTTGAAACGTTGTTCCAGATTGTGTGAATGAAAATCTTTAAAATCAAGCACATCGTCAAAACTCATCTGAATATAATCGAAGCGTTATTCACTCGTTCGCTTTCCTCGGCAGAATGAAATCAATAATAAATTGACCCGTTGTTTTACGTTTCCTTCTTTTTTATAAACAACTCCTTCTCACTTTTTTGAAGTCTTTGATGCTAACACCGCGTCAGCTCCTTCTTTTTCGCCATCGTCAATTTCCGAACAACGCCAATTCCCGATCGTTGCAGCTTCGCGCTGATTTATCCGCGTTAGCGAGAAGACGCGCCTGGCCGCACCGGGTAACATTAATAATATCTGTCTATTAATAATATCGACCATCGATGTATCATTTAACACTCACTCTGCGCGCCGCGCTTCAGTGCCCTCCACAGTATGTAAAACATCGTCCTAGCTGAGCAACAACGAAACTGGCTCTCCCGTGAAGTGAGATCTCGGCGTGGAAGAAAAATAAGCTACGACATTCACCGTACGCTGTATCTCGCGTTATTAAACGAACACCACTGACCGGCGACTCAGCGAGCCGAGTCGAGAATGCACACTGTCCCGCGTTCGCGTCCGCGTCAACTATGATTTCCCTTGTTTACGCTACCGCGTTAGAGTAGGGACGAGTGATAGCGTTTTCGATCGTAGTAGATTTTGCCTGTTTGACCGCCTCGCCGATCCGCACTAAACCGCGGCGAACAAACGCCGAGCAGCCGGACGCTGCTGTCTCTACCGTTGCCGTTATTATCGCCGTTATTAAAATGTGCTCTGGAATGTGGGTCATTCGCACAGGCAGCCCGAAGTTTTCAACAGGATGTTTTGCAAAACTGTCTGAAAAAATAAGATATCCTTTAGAAGTCGCCGCTCTATCCGGGGAGGGGGGGGGAGGGGGAGCAGACTCAACCGCTTTAGGCTTGGATTTATCAGAATCGGAAGAAAATGACTTAATTTTATTAAGGGGACTGGAGGGTCAGATTGCTGAAAAATCGTGCTTGTTTTTGATAATATTTTGTGACGAACTGAATAAATATGCAAGAATGAAAATTTTAGGTATATTTATATAACATATGAAGGGAGTAGAAAAATGTTTATTAACAAATATTTATATAAATATACGTCCACTTAAATTGTAAACGCGTTTTTCTCGAAATTTTATCGTTCAACTTTTTGCAGTGATTTCTCCTTCGAAATTAAGCTTCATATCGATTCGAAATTTTAAAGCAATAATATTTGTTCATCTGGCACTCAGGTGAACCATGAACAACTCCGTCAAAATATTTCATTTCGAGATATTAATTTTTTTTATTATGAAGGAACTGAAAAATTTGAATTTTTTCCTAATAACTGCCATTTTGTTAATTCTGTTCGATTTTTTTGGAGTAGTTCACCGGATAATAATAAGCCTCCGCAAGATTTCTAGTTAAAATTCGCTCTGATCGGACCACCGAGAGCCGAAATATTACTGCAAAAATGACTTGAGAAAAAAAGGAGAGTATATTTCAACTATACATATCGTATATTTACATGAGTATTGTTACTAATCAATTTTTGCTCTTCATATATTGTATAAATATATATGTAAAGTTTTCATTCTTACACATTTATTCAGTTCGTCACAAAATATTATCAAAAACAAGCACGATTTTTTAGCAAACTGACCTTCCATTCCCCTTGAGGGGGGAATTATATGCGGAGCAGGCCGTTTTCAAGCCTAGTTTTACGAATTTTTTTAACAGAAACAATAGAATCAATGGACTTGAAATTTTCATAGTATATTCATTAATGTTCAAGATATAAAATAAATTTGTTACTATCTATATGGAAAGTACGCATACTAAAACATAAACATAAAACTTTAAACATGTTTATCTGGAAACACCTTTGTCTTAAACTGTCGACACGATTACGCAAAACCTACTGAACCGAATAACATGAAATTTTTACACAATATAAAGTAGACATATAGTTTTCACCCCAACTTCGAGCACAGTTATATTTTATTTTATTTATTTTTTTAAACATGATTACAAATTGAAAAAGCTTAATTTTCGATACTGTTTTTTTGTATAATCACTATTTTTCCAAACTTGGCTTCACTGTCTTCATTTTGATACGGGCTATTATGAGCAACCGTATATCTTAAAAATCTTTCTTATCTTTTAGTTTCAGAGTAGTGAAAGGCCCGGAATTATTTCGACAGTCAACATAGAGCTCGCAAACGGACGACTACATTTTTATCTATAATTACAAATTGGATCGGTTCTTCAATGTGATTCAATAAAATTTATTTTATACTTTAAACATTAATTAATACACTGTGAAAACTTCAAGTCCATTGATCTTACCGTTCCTGTTAAAAAAATTCGTAAAAATAGCCTTCAAAAAGGCCTTCCGCATGTAATTCCTTCCTTAATGATGTTAATTTAACATTTGACGATTATACAAGGTGTTATAAAAGTCCCGGAAGAGCAGAATAACTCGAAAAATATGAGTCCTAGAAAAAATGCGAAGTACTGGGTTTTTATGATTTTTTCCTGGCTATCTGACGGTGACCTTGGATTTGACCTTGACGATGACCTTGAAGGTCATTTCAAGGTCAGGTCAATTTTTTTAAATAGGACCCCATACTTTTGACCCCAGAAATGAAAAGAGCGGAAAATTTTACGTTCGAGTATGACCTTGAACACTGCCAAATTTGACTTCTGAAGGTCACATAAAGGTCTAAGTTTGTTTTAGGCTGAAAACGCGAATATCTTCGAAAATGCACCTACTAAGGAGCAATGTTACGCATATGAATAAAAATGTAGAGGTCAACGAGGGACATTCAACCGTGACCTTGCCCTTATTCTCAAGGTCATGAGTTAAGATTATTATTAAGGTCAAACCGGACTTTTTTAGGACTGAAAATCCATACTTTTGACCTAAAAGTGTCAAGATTGAAAAATTTTACGTTCGGATATAACGTTTTCAACCTTGACCTTGTTCTTAAGGTTATGTGTCAGTCATATCAATGACCTCGTACGTAACGTAAAATCTCACTCTTCATATTATGGGAGGGGGGTAAAAATGTTTCCAGTCTAAAAAAATTAATTGACCTTGATATGACTGACACATAATCTTAAGAACAAGGTCAAGGTTAAAAACGTCATATCCGAACGTAAAATTTTTCAATCTTGACACTTTTAGGTCAAAAGTATGGATTTTCAGTCCTAAAAAAGTCCGGTTTGACCTTAATAATAATCTTAACTCATGACCTTGAGAATAAGGGCAAGGTCACGGTTGAATGTCCCTCGTTGACCTCTACATTTTTATTCATATGCGTAACATTGCTCCTTAGCAGGTGCATTTTCAAAGATATTCGTGTTTTCAGCCTAAAACAAGCTTAGACCTTTATGTGACCTTCAGAGGTCAAATTTGGTAGTGTTCAAGGTCATACCCGAACGTAAAATTTTCCGCTCTTTTCATTTCTGGGGTCAAAAGTATGGGGTACTATTTAAAAAAATTGAAATGACCTTCAAGGTCATTGTCAAGGTCAAAATCCAAGGTCACCGTCAAATAGCCAGGAAAAAATTATAAAAACGCAGTATTTCGCATTTTTTCTAGGACTCATATTTTTCGAATTATTCTACTCTTCCGGGACTTTTATAACATCCTGTATAACGATATTTCTATTTCCATTATGTGCTGGATGTTCATCCGTTATATCTTTTGGACAATTTGTGACATTGAAATAAGATCGAATGTACTCGTATATAAACATGCGCACGCGTCGATATCTTTGACAAAATTAATGAGATAGATTGCACACTTTATCAAGATATACTGAGTAAGATACATTTTCTTATAGAGTATTGTGAAACAGGTCAATCGTTTCTTCTTTTATATGTTCTTTGCACCAATTAGAAAATTAGACAAGAAAAACATATATATACTTTCCATTGCCCTTGAGCGGGAATTCATCTTTCTCTTCAAGTATATGACGAAATGTCAGGCGACGTACATATGAAATCTCTCGAATCTCGCGTAAGACTGAACAATCCGACGCGTCTCATACGATCTTTCGATATATATTCTATAATTATATGTGCAAAACACAAGAATTGCAGGCTGCTCCAAACTTCGGAGCAGTAGCATAATTACATCACGGCTTATTTTAGCGACAATCCGCCGCACTCGATCTGAAAGATCCGGCCAGATTTTCTCAGACGAACGGCCTTTGCAGCACTCGAGATTTTCCTCAGCCACAGGTGAGATTCTTTCAGCGAGTGCAACTTCCAAGGGCGGGTTTTTGAAGTACGAAGGTACAAAGTGCGATACGTTTACAACAAAGCAAACACGTTGTTTGTCGTGAACTTTACGAGTCATCTTCTTGGCCTATTCTCTCCTCGTGATTGTCTTATCTCAAGAATCATGACAAATAATAATAATGATGACATCGGTCTCTATCGCGGGTCATTGTTCTAGTTATAGTTTTCGTTCACGAAGAATCACAATCAATGCGACTCACTACGACGCAATAATAGTTAATTGTAATGATTTATAAATAAATGAATTTTTCTCCACGCAAAGTCCACGTAGAATCGTAGCAATAACCTGAAGAAACTGAATGATTGAACAAATTTAACGTCAATATTTGGCTCATGTATTTTAATTTCATTAGGCCACGCGCGATGATAAACGATTATAGAGAGTTGCATTAATTTACCACATCTTTGGTCATCCAGTCGTGAGCCAGAGAATTGGACAGAGCCAAAAGTCTGAGAAATAAATTTTGCCTCTTTTGCAACAGCAAAGAGGAGAAAGATTGCTTATCGGTTGCAAACCGCAAAGATTCCCTATTATGGCGTTAACAACGTTCCCGTTAGTGACGTCATAATAGCGTTCGTTAGCACTATCATTTAGCTCCACGAGTATAGTGCTGATAGCGCTAATCGGCGTTTGCTCGAACGCACCCGAACGCACGTTTTATTGCCGCGCCCGAAAACATTCGCCTGGCCAATCAGCTGTGCGAGAATATTGTTGACGCGTTATCCCGGCAAAGTGAACTCTCGCGCCGGCGGGTCCTTCCGTGAAAACAGCCTTCCGGACTGCACGTCGTTCGGACCGAACGTCCGAAATTAGATTCGCGGACCTCCGCAGTGGCCGAAAATATCTGTAAAACACGTCCGAAGTGAAGTATCGATGTTTCGATACTTATCGCAACGTCCCGCGCTCCGGCGCCGACGACGGCGGCAGGAGCGGCGGAAACCGGGTCATCCACTTGAATGAAAACAGAAATTTCGTTATTGATTAAATGCATATCGCGCGCGTATCGGCGGCCACGCGCGCGCGAAAGCTCCGCTTTTTCACGGCCGATCCTCTCTGTCTCCTTCTCGCTCCCTCTCACTCCCGCGTGGCCGCCAAACACACCGTCACGTCCGCGCGCATCTTTTCCGCCGGAAGCCGCGACTTTGAGTCCTTTGGGAAGATTTCGACCTGGACGACGGGACCGACGACCCGCGCGCGATGATCCTTATCTTTTCAGCGTCGAGGGCTCAGCTCGGACGGAAAACGCGTCCATTGCTGGTCGAGTCGCGTCCCTCCGCGCAGGAGAACGCTCGAGGCGAGCCGTCCGAGGAAATCGCGCCATCGGGAACGCTCAAAATCGTTAGCAACAATTATCGCAAGAGATGAGGAGGAGGAGGAGGAAGAGGAAGAGAGAAGAAGAGAGAGAGAGAGAGAGAGAGAGAGAGAGACGCTTATCGCACGCGTACACTCACGCCACACCGGTTTCCTCCGCGTCGCCGATTGTTCGCCGTTCTCACGTCGAGCTATCAAAACGGCCGATGCGAGAAATTGCGAATATCCGACGAACGCGGGCGGTAAATAGACGGCCTTTTCCTACCTTTACACTGCCGCTGCATCTCCGTCGTCTGCACACGGCGCGTCCGACCAGAAGACTGCACGGATGTGCGGGGACGAGGAACTCGCGGTAGTCGATAAACTGACAGACGTCGACGTTAGACGCTGCCAACGGTATATATATATCGCCGTGTATATATATACCGCGGTATATATATACGCATATATATATATGCGTGCACATAGCGCGAGCGTGCTCGTATGCTTCGGTCATAACGGCGGCTGGCACCGGAAGTTGGCGGGTTCTGTCGGATGGCGAGTGAGAGGACGAGTGGCCGAGTCGCGTCCTGCTTGACTGCTCGTTCCACCTGTCAAACGACATAGAATCTATTCGCTCTATCCGTTTACTCATGTGACAAACCGACACGCCGTGTCGATGTAACTTCCTCAGCTTTCTCTCACCTTTCGAAGCGGAGATCACTGACGTGCGCGGTGCGAAGCAGCGTGAATTTGGCTGTGAACGCTACATCGAGACGGAGGAAATTTTAAGTAATTTCGTTCAATTCAATTCAATAGATGGCTCTGGGCGTGTGGGTTGCCGCTCCAACGCCACTCTCTGGAAGTAATTTCGTTCCTTTAATTATATATATACACGAGTGCTATACCTTAAGCCAGCGGCACACGGTGCTTGTTTTTGTGCTGGATTGCTCGCTGGGTGAAAATACTGCGTTCTGATTGGTGCATTTCCATCCATCTTCGGAAATGCACCAATCAGAACGCAGTATTTTCATCCAGCAAGCAATCTAGCACAAAAACAAGCACCATGTGCCGCTGGCTTTACATCTGGCATTTGACAGTTGTGAAACGGTCATTGGCGATGAAGGCCTGGTCTACAATAGATGTTGTAAGCTGTAAGCCGTAAGAACTGACCAATTATAGCTGATTATTTTTGTAATAATCGACTGTGATTCGCCAATTCTTACGGCTTACAACACGTATTGTAGACCAGGCCTAAGGCAGCGACATCTTTTCGCTGTGAAATAGAGCGAGAGGGAGAGACTGCAACAAACTTCTCGCTCTATCTAAACTGCAACTTCCGGCTTCGCTCTGCAAATGAAACGCTTAGCATAATGTGTGCGTACGTGTGTGTTGTATGGTCGTTGCGGTAAACGCGCGCCATTATATCGCGTACTTTTTCGCCGTTCTCGTCGATGATCTTGGAGAATGCAAATGGTATTACCTGGAATAAAAGATAAACGGACTAGAAAGAGCCCACCGTTCAATCCGTCTCCAAGTTGTGCCGTTTGAAGACGGAAAAATGATTTTTACCTCGTCGTTTAATCGTTCTGTTTGAAATTAAACGCCATCTGGCGTGTTAGCCAGTCGGTTCGTACTACGTTTCGATGCCGTTGAATACAGTGGCGCCTTACAGCGGTAATCACGGAGACTATATTTTATTCATCAAGGAGCTTTATCACGCGAGCACGATCTCAACATTTTGCACACATACACACACACACACACACACATACACGCACTCACACACAATGGGCATGCATATAGAAAAAAGACGCATTTATATTACATATCACTTATTATGCACTATTATTTATAATTTATAATACATATACATAGACAAAATATATTTATGAAAGATACATAAAAAGTTTATCTTTATTAACTGGTAGCGCGCGAAATCTCACATTTCATAATAATTATTTGTACATAAAAATATTGTTTTCATAAGTAAAAAAATATTTTGCCGTTATACTTAAATGTCGATTTTCGATAACTAAAAGTAATACTGAATTGTGAGTACACGAGTAACCGCTTTCCTCCTTTCTAATCTCTGCATACAGGAAATTCTATATAACATTATCTTGTAACATGTGTTGGAAAAAATGAAATCGGGAATCTTCCCGATATAAGCTGTCGATTATATTTCTACACTTATAAAAGAAATCCCTTATACTGTACAATGCCATTTTTCATTTTATACAGTATGTTTGCTAACACGCGGGAAGTAATACGAGGAATAAAACATCGAGATAACGAAGAAAAGAATCATACGAATATAAATCCAGTGACGTTATCGCGTTCGTGCCGTTTCTATATTCCGATTCACATTTAAGTTTTCATGTGTATCAGAAGATATCCCGATATTATAATACACCCACACACATCAAACGCTAGTCGTCAGCTAGACCGATATACATTGTAAAAACGTAAGCATAGAAAACGTGAGCAATGAGCGAATCTAATTATAGTCGAAAATGTTAAAATGGCAATTTTTATTGTTCTTCATAATTCTCGACTCTAACTGTTCGACAGATGTAACGTTTAAAGTTCCATTGATTCTATTGCTCAAAACTTTTTGTGTGCTACAAGCCTTACTGTTTGCGCATTGTCTATTTCATTATGAATAGTGATCATATATAAATAGCTAGAAACAAATAGCTATATAAATAGCTAGAAACAAATAGCTATATAAATAGCTAGAATCAAACCCTCAGATCGGATTGAATTGTGATAAAGATCCCTTTCTCTCTTTTCTGCGATTATATATTAAGCTTGGAACGATTTTAACTTAGGAACATTTGTAATAACGTTTGCAATATTCACGTAAAACCTCAAGATCGTCTGGATACTCCTCCAACAATTTTTGATTTGGCATATAGTGAGTTCCTTGAAAGTGACTGAAGTATCGGCCGATTTCACTATGATCGATCCATGTCGGCTTCTTCGCTGGGTTTATACAAACTGAAATCAAAATTGTAATGTCTCACATTGGACAGTTATATCGTAAAATACGTATAAGCATTATTTATAAAAATGTGTGTGACACATTTGACAACTTTATCATACCTTGAGGAAGGAAAAAGGTTTTATCGTCGCTAAAAAATACCTCATAGTACGGTATTGCTTTTGTCGACCTATAACGCTGATGATCCTGACGGATTAACTCATTGCCATCCCTGCCCCAACCTACTATTACGCCTATGCGTGTAGGTTCGCATGTATAGTCATCGAACTCCACGATCATCCCAACTGCATAATTTACATACTTTGACCTTTCTTTTGGTATGACGTTCTGAAAAAAATTTTTCATTACTTATCAGACTGATAATGAAATTTAAAAGAATAAATTGTTTATAACACTAGTGAAAAGTTTGCTGAGCAACTGTGCAATGTCAAAATTAAATAAATTAAATATATTAGATAACAATACTATTGGATAATAAAAAGAAAAGTTATAGTTAATAGTAATACATACTGGTGGTATGATTTCTTGTATTTTTTCAAGCCTATCTAATATCACTTTAGCTCTTGCTCTCGTCACCAACAGATTTGTATTTGTATCCTGCAAATATATAATTTCTACTTAGAAATATTTTCTTTCGCAAAAGTTAATATCGCATAATCATAATGAATTAATGTTGTATAATCATAATTGTAATAATTAATGTACAAATACACTCTAGTGAATTATTCTATAAGAATATTTATAAATTTGCTTACATACACGAATATTCTTTAATAACATCGCGATACCCGATAAATCCATCTTATACGATCTATAAATATCAATTAACCATGAAACTCCTTCCAAATCGTCCTGATTTACCATGAGTCGAAGTTCTTGTATTAAGCGATTTCTTTGTGTTCGCCTTCTGTCGCTTTCTTTGCTCACGCAAATGTGCACATAGTTTAACAGTCGTACTATCAACTTGTAAAACAAAGATAATATGTACAATTTGTAAAACAAAAATAATATATATAAGATAATATACTGAAACAAAATCAAACGAAAAAATGAATTATTTTATTTCTTCTTGTGAATCATTTATATTAGAAGCTTGTGCAAAAATTTGCAGAGTCGCAAATGATTTCACTGAATCAAAGTGATGAATAACAATTACAGAAATATTGAACATAACTATTAAAGAGCTGTGAAGGCTAAAAATTCAACAAACTTTTGCAAGCCTCTAATAAAACAGATTTTATTAATTTAGCATATTTTTGCAGAAGCCCATGATTAATTACACTATGTATTGATAACCATTAGCCTCTTTCTTCATGTATTAATAATAAAAATGCTATATAAAAATAATTCTTAATACCTGTGCTGGAGTTGGTTTGGGTACCTTACGATTCTTTATAGGACATGTTATATAGTAGGTAGTATCATTATAAAATCTAGGACACCCTACTCTGTTTAGAACAGTCCCATTAGAAAAAATGTCAATATAATAATAACTTTCGCTTTCGAGTCTTGTCATGTCACTGCAAGCAATAAAAAGAATATACATATATTTTATATACTTTTGTATATATACACCTACATGCATACGCATACACATACATACACACACTTATATATTTGAGACTGCTAATATTATTATACTTGCCATCTTTCTTTCCAAATTAAAGAAAAATAATTAGAGAAAGTAAAATAATCACAAGATACACCCAGTCTTCTTGCCACACTCTCAAATATTATTGTCAATATTAAAACATCTCCACGTTTGTCTTCTAAAACCTATATTATAAAAGATAAAATAAAGAAATATCATATAGATTGTATACAAATACAGTTATATTTATAGAATATGATTGCAATATATTCTAACCCAACTCACATTATCTATAAAATTTTTGTAATGTGAACTAGCTCGTTCGGAATCATTAAATGCACGGAAACCTAAATTATGAAACATAACTCTGCAAATGATATTTAAGATTTGCTGTGTTTCTGTTTTGTCCCATTGATTGTCATTATTCATGTTGGTTCTCCAGAAAGAGAACTGTTCGGCAGATACTAAGAATATCGAATGCCGAGGATATTCCTCTTGAAGTATCTTCAGCACTTGCTGTGCAATATTGTCCAATGATGCTACTATATGTGAGTAAGATATACGTTCCAGAGGTTTGCACCATTGTGCCATAAAAGTTGCTGCCCATTCTGAGACATGTTGTGCAGCAGGCCGGTTTATGAATTTCTGCCACTTATTCCTCAAGTGACATTCTTTCAGGTACATAGAAACCTTCCGAGCATAATATTTATTTCTCAAGTTAGTATGTCTATCCCTGAAAAATATAGACAAATTACAAGTCATGTGATAACATAGATAAGTTACATAATAATAGTTTATTGAATCTTACCATTCATTACCTCGAAGAATCTCCTTTATTTCATCCTGAAGGTAATAATATTCCAAAAGATATGTATCTTCTTCCACTATACAGAATACTTCCTTAAAATTCAACATATCACTAAAACTTAAGTCTCCCTTGTAATAATTTTGGTCATATAACCTCGTAAAGTAATCTAATAATTTTTCTCTACATCTTTCTCGTTTTATTATTTCTTCCTTAATATTTACACCTCCTTCACGCCAATATCGGTCACAATTTGTTTTTAAAGCAGGCCATCTAAAAGTAATATGATAGATGTTTCTCAAAAATCTTGCAGGATATAACAATGTAATTTTTCATCTCTTCATCAAATGCAAAATATCGTACAAGCGTTTTATAATATTGCAATGCCGTATTTTAAGTTACTATTATTAGAAATAAATTACCTCTGGAAAAACTTGCGTCTCCATAGGGCGTTGTTGTTGTTGACTGTTGTGTAGAATAACTTGCAAGTTAAGCTAAAATTCACAACATCTTTTATGCTGATGTTCTTATCCTCCAGAATTAAACAGATGACGTCGTCCGGCAAGCGTGTTAGATTCGCCATCAGGAAGAAAATTATAAAGAATGAAAATACATGCGATTCGCGATAAATAACAGTAAATCTGTCTATCTAGACTCACAAAGGAAATGCGCACAAATCTACCGGAAGCGACTATCGGTTAGTGATCGTACTGATGTTCTATATACAGAGTTTGTTCTTTTTAACTGCATTGCTGAACTGGTGCTATAAGTTAAAGTGAGAAAAAATTGTTGTCCCACTCTAGGACTGGTTGTTCCAACTTCTTGATAAATTAACTAATAATTAAATCATATGTCTGTCTTTGTCCAAATTGAAGGGAAAACAAAGATAAATATATGATAATCAGTTAACTCACGAAGAAGTTAGAACAATCGTGACCCTTAAGGCTCGTCTACATTAGCTGTAAGAGTAAGGCTGTAAGGTTGCAAGACACGAAATGAAATATTTTCATTCGCTGACAGCTTACGTTACAGCCTTATAGCCTTACTTTTACAGCTATTGTAGACGAGCCTTTACGGTATACACCAATCAAATTCACAAATTTTACAGCAGCTGCTTAAGTTGCGTTCCGAAATTCACTGCCAGTACTGAAAATACATAGTTTGTGTCACGTATATTATAGATTTTCAGTGCTGTCAGTGAATATCGGAACGCACTTAACCGCCTTACAAAGCGCTTAGGCCCAGTTCCACAACTTGCTTTAAACGGAGTTTAAAGCAAGTTGTGGAACTGGGCCTTAAAGCCAGCGGCACACGATGCTTGTTTTCGTGCTGGATTGCTTGCTGGATGAAAATACTGCGTTCTGATTGGTACATTTCCGAAGATGGATGGAAATGCACCAATCAGAACGCAGTATTTTCATCCAGCGAGCAATCCAGCACAAAAACAAGCACCGTGTGCAGCTAGCTTTAGTGATTATTATCTATGATTGGAATATTCTTTTAGATCTTTGATAGGTTCAGGAGAATGAAACAATCAAGAACAATCACTAAATGTTTAATAAGGATGAGGCTAATATTACATTTGTCGTACGATAAACTTTTCGAATACGTTGATTGGTTAACAAACAGAATATTTCTAGGATTGCTCCGCGTACGCCAATCAATATATCCGAAAAGCTTGTCGTACGACACATGTAATATTAGCCTGAAACACGTTATTCCGGTATTCTCCCTCTTCCTTTATCTCATTCTTATGTCTCTCTCACATTAACACAGCGGATGCACCCGAGTAAAGTTTCCCGCAACTTAATATGTATCATATTTTAAAGAGTGGTTTCGGCGTTTTCGAAGTGGTGATTATGACGTGGCGACCAAGAACGCAAAGGGGCACCTAAAAAATTCGAAGATGCACAACTGCAAGATTTACTCGAAGAAGATTCGAGTCGAACACTCGAAGATTTTTCAAACGAGTTAAATGTTGACAGATCTACCGTCGGAAAACGTTTGCATGCGTTGGGAATGGTCTAAAAATCAGGAAATTGGGTGCCACATAAATTGAAGGAGAAAGACATTGAAAGATGTCTGAGTGACATGCGAGATGCTGCTTCGAAGACAAAAAAGGAAGGGTTTTCTGTATTGAATCGTCACTGGCGATGAAAAATGGATCTACTACGACAACTCCAAACGACTGAAATCATGGGTGATACCAGATGAACCAGGTCCATTAACTTCAAAACGGAATATCTACGGTTCAAAAGTTATGTTATGCATCTAGTGGGATCAGAAAGTGGGGCGTTATTTATTATGAGCTTCTAAAACCGTCCGAAACCATCACTGGAGATCGTTACCGACTGCAATTAATACGTTTGAACCGAGTTTTAAAAGAGAAACGACCGGAATGGGATAATAGGCACAGGCTGATTCTGCTACACGACAATGTTAGGCCCCACCTTGCAAAACTGGTCCAAAAATACTTGGAAGGATTGAATTGGAAAATCTTGCCCCATCCACCATATTCACCAGATATTGCTTCTTCGGATTTCCACTTATTTCGGTCCATGCAGTCGGCCCTTTCTGGACAGCGGTTCACTTCTTATAAAGGTATCGAAAAATGGGTTAATGAATGGATCGAGTCAAAACAACCTGATTTTTTTCTTCGAGGAATCTGTTTACTACCTGAAAGATGGGAGAAAGTGTTGTTGCTTCCAATGGGACATACTTTGAATAAAATCATTTTGTATTTTTTTATTTAAATAAACAACTAATTTGTATTTAAAACAGGCAAAAACTTATTCCCATACCCAATATATAAAAGTATTAACTTATATACATAAACTGTTCCTTTGTAAAAAAACAGTCCTTAAATTTGTTTCAACAAATCTGACATAATAAAACTAAAATATGTAAATAGCTTAAATATATTTATTGAAATTACAGATCAAATGATTATTTCCTGATATTTAAATAATTATCACAAAGTTATCTAAATCTAGATGACTATCTAGATCAATCATGTATAGTGTCAACTGTACCATGTTAATGTTTTTCAAGCATCCTCTCTAGAACACTGAGTAATTTATCCTGTCGTGCCATTGCTTCCTCGTGCATTCTACTGCGTTTCGTTGTGCTCTCTTCTATAGCAGCAATTAGCTTCTCTATTGTGGAAAATTGTTTTGAACCTGCAATTACATAAATACTGTAATGCAAATGTAATTCTTCAATCTTCCCTCAAAAATTATAATACATTTATGCATTATGCTTGAAAATGAAACAAACGCGTAATTATATTACATTATATTAAAAATATTAGCTTCTTGATACTTACGCGTAAGAGGCAATTCAATTCTGCATGAAGGTGATCCATTTCTGTCATCAACACTAGGAAATAATTTATCTATTAAATCAACATTTAGGAAATAATTATATTACTAAGCTGAGACTAAATATTGTAACATAAAAGTTCTGCACAGATAATATTTAAATAACATAGTTATATATAGTTACATTTATCACAACATAAATTATAGTTTTGTAATAATCTTTAAAAATCCAATATGAGCAATCTTTAAGAGTTTTGCTTAATGCCCATAATAGTATATAATACTACTAAAAACAATATACCAATAACTCGACAATATATTTTTTAAATTATAAAAAATTTTTTTCTCTGATATTAAACAACTAATCCTCTTTAATAACAATTATTATCTTAATATTAAATAATTATTATTAAAGTTATCTGTGAATATATGATTAGATTATTTGTGTTAAATTATTACTTGTTATGTAACTTTTCTAGCATATCGAGTAATTTATCTTGACGTGTCATTGCTTCCTGGTGCATTCTCCTGCGTTCAGTACTACTTTCTTCTACAACAGCAATTACTTTCTCTATCTGTTTCAAACCTATAAGTGCAATATACATTATTATATACAAAATTCTGATTTCTTCTCATAGATAATATATCTACATTACATTTATAAAGAGAAATGCAATTACATTATGTTATATTAAAGTTATAACTATGACATTATATTATTACTAACTACTTACGTTTGGAAGGTAATTCTGTTTTACTTGGTGACACATCAGTTTTCTCCTCATCAACATTGTGCTCAGAAACACTATTGTTTGTCAGAGTTGGAGATGTCCATGGCCTCTTCTTGTACATTTCATCCATGATCTAAAATATAATACATAACCAATTAATAATAAGCTTATATTATGTATAGATTCATTTTTCCTTACTTACATTAAAATATCGCCATCTTCGATTACTATAGTTGTGCTTTCCATTGTAATCCTTTATACTTTTATAAGTATTTCTCAAGCCAGCCATTTTACTCTTGCACTGAGAATCATTGACATTATATCCTGTTTCATTTAATTCAGCAGCAACCATTTTCCAGAACTTTTTCATTGATGTTGTACCAGATATAATGAGATGCTCATGCTTTTTATATATTTCAAGAAATACAAGAATTGCTTCATGTGACCAACGAAAACCATCTGCAAAACAACATATCACCTATTTGCTTTAATATTTGTTATCTACAAAATAAATCTTTTTTTTTCTTTTACAAAAGAGCACAATATAATAAACCTTTTTCTGAAGAATGATCTGCAGTTTCCTGTGCTTTTTCTTCTACAGCAGTAGAGGTATTATCATATAAAGATGTAGAAGATGCTATTAATAAATACAAGGTATGTATAAGAAGTTGTATTATACACATATGCTTTCATACACAACAAAATAAATAGTGTATGTAGATTACAAATTTAAATTGTAATAATTTGTAATAGTGACACTTCAAAATTTGTTATAGATGAAATGTTACCTGTTTCTGTGGATGACTTAGTTTCTTCCTGGCCGAGTGTTGTTAAATATTTATGTAAAAGTCGCGTTGCAAACGACATATCTATTGAAAAATACGAGATATGAAAGTTAGAGATTATCTTTTTGTTTGACAAATTATATAAATTAAAACACGTACTAATTACACAGGTTATGTTCTCACCTTTATTAGCTTTTGCAGCATCTTCCTCGGAAACTTCTAATGTGTACACAACTTTCGTATCGACGTCAAATAACTTAAGGTTCGGCATTATTTTTTAATAATAATTTATTTGTAATTTAATCTTTTAAAGTATAGAATACAGTCCACTTGATGATATAAATACTTCGAAGCGATTAGAGTATTTCAGTAATATCGTGAATAGAGATCCAGTTGTACATTACAGCTGCATTCCACACTGAACGATTTGCTTAAGCCTTTGTCAGAACAAGAAATTGTGGTTTAGAAATTAGAATTCGACGAATCAATTAACTTCGATCTCGGCTTTCTTTGTTCCGATTGGTCAAGGTTCAATTCTTGATTCACCATTCTCGATCTTCAATATCTATGGTCTGTTCTTTGTAGATGCACTGTTGAACTAGTGCAATAAACTAGAGTGAGAAAACCTATATTTGTCTCACTTTGTCTCACTTTAATTTATTGCACCAGTTCAACAGTGCAGCTGCAAAAAGCAGACCACTAAGGTGCGGCCTTCTTAAGCCCGTATCAAACTAAGAAATCACTTTGAGACATAACTGAAACCAATGGAAGAATGTATTTTTGGAAAATTCTCAAACGTAAAGTCTTTTTATGGAGTGTCAGATGCGTCCTTGAATGTATTATAAGAAAGTACGTCAATCTTTATGCACACGATCATACAGAAGTCATATCGAACCTTCAATATCCAATTAAATATAGTTTTAGATTCTACTAGTACGATACAGCTTTACTAAGCGATTATTTATTCGTGAATCTGATTGGTTCTCGTCCGAAAGTCTACGCACACAACAGTGAGTTCCACAAATGCTCATTGAATCATCCTACACAGACTTTAAGCTTACAATTTGATAGGAATTTCAATTTAGTCAATTAAATAGTCTCATTTTTTATTCACATTATTTCATTTTATCAAGTATATACCAAGCTCTGATTCACAATCGTCAGTCCTCGATACGTAGTCTGATATCAACTTCAGAAACAGCCACGCGTTGACCAATCGCACCACTGTCAGTCGATCGGCGCGAAATTCAAAGATGGTATATTGTTACGAAACTTTGATGGAGAAGAGAGGGCCGGGGTGATTATTAGTCACCGGACACTCGCCGTCGCGCATTTCATGACGTGTCATGGCAGCGCTCGAGATGTGATAAGCGTTACTCGCAACGACGTTTCGCACAATCTCAGCGAAAAAACCTTTGCACGAAGCAGTGTATGATGCGATCGACGCTTGCATGTAGGAGAGTACAAACGCAGGAAACGCGATAGGTAGAACATTTTATTGAGGAGACCAGTGCCCGCGACTGTGACAGCAATGAGAACGACGACAGTCTTCTGTACACTGTCTGTATTCTACGGTGCCTTGGCTTTTTACCTGCCCGGCTTGGCACCCGTGAATTATTGTAAGGCCGGTGACACCTTAGAAACCTGCAAGGTACGTTACGCAGATCTGTGAAAAGTGGCCAACTGCTTGGTTATGATCGATGTTTTACGTGTTCATGTGCACATTTACGTGTGTACATAATGTATATAATACCTATATATACGTATATACATAAGTACGTATTAACGAGAATATTTCGTATATTATGTATTGTATGCTTTCTCTATATATGTATATCCATGATTTATATCTCTTAAGATATATATATTGTATCTATATTTTTCTGAATTTTAAATCATGCCTTTATACCTTGTCAGTTTAGTTCTATTGATTAGAAGTAATAACACAGGACTATATGCGAATAATGCCATGCTCATCAATTAGTCATTAGTAATATTATAATATATAGCATAATGTGATATTTGATGTGTTATCATTATTGATGAATACATAATTATAGAAGTTATTTGGTTCTGTTTTAGTCTGAAATAAAGTTATATGTCAATCGGCTGAATACAGAGAAGTATGTTATACCTTATGAGTACAGTCAGTAAGTAATAGATTATAAAAAAAATATTTAGTTTTTCTAATACTTTCCCAATATCTTTGGCATCTGCAACATTTTCTGATATTTTGTAAATTTCTTGATTTTAGCTTTGACTTCTGCACTGTAGAAGATGAGCAGTCACCGGTTGAAAATTTGGGACAAGTTGTATTTGGAGAACGCATACGGCCATCTCCATACATTGTGAGTACAATGAAATTTCTAGTACAAGTAATTTTTTATGGATCTGAAAACTTATAATATATTTGTTTTCAGTTGGACTTCTTAAAAGATGTCAAATGTGCTAAAACATGTGTTAAAACATATATAGGTGATGCATCTTCAGAGAAAAAGCTGCAATTATTGAGAAAAGGAATGGCAATGAATTATCAACATCACTGGATTGTTGGTAGGGCATTGAAAGACATCGGCTGAACATGTTAAAAATATGTGTTTGTAAGAGTTTGCTAATGATTATTCATGTATCTTATTTCTACTAGACAACATGCCAGTGACGTGGTGTTATCAGCTAGAGGATGAACGACAATATTGTAGTACTGGCTTCCCCATGGGTTGCTATTCCAAAGAACCTAAGTCACAGCAAGATACTTGCACTATACATGTGAGTACAAAGCTGTTATTCTGTTATCTCCAAATTAAAACAGCTGAATTTATTAATGAGTGTTTCTTCATTTATATTCAGGGTCCATATAACAAACCAAACACTTATTACCTGTTCAATCATGTAAACCTCACCATAACTTATCACAGTGGTGCTACGGAGGAATGGGGTTCAGGCTTTAAGGAGAACGGCGGTCGTATTATATGTGAGTACTTTTGTACATCTCAAAACTGACACAATGTAATTAGTGTTTTAATTATACATAAATGGAGAATATCAGGTTGTGTAATAATTTTGAATTTTTCAGACAAAGTAAAACATTTGTATTTATATATCATTATTTTATGATGTAACTTTTATCCATAATCTACCATCTTTCACATAAGATTATAAGATACAGTCGTTTTATCTTATCTAAAAAATCAAATTGCTCAATACACAACCTAATATATTAATTATATACTTCTATCGAAATGAGATACGTATGCTGCAACAATTCTAATCTCATTAACAGCTGTGAAAGTTGTACCTCACAGTATTAAGCATACTGGCACAGTCGATTGTGAGAGTCAAATACCACTGGAAATACCACCCAGTGCGCTTCCAGTTGGACAAACGTTCCAAGTTACGTACACGTATTCCGTAAAATTCGTGGTGAGTATGCAAATATGTTAGATAACTATGATACAAGAGGAACATTCTAGAAAATAATACTATTCTAAAAAGAACATACTATTCTAAGGATCTAATTGTTTCAGAGGAATAACACAATCAAATGGTCATCTAGATGGGATTACATTTTGGAATCGATGCCACATACAAATATTCAGTGGTTCAGTATTCTCAATTCGTTGATAATTGTTCTGTTCCTTTCTGGCATGGTGGCTATGATAATGCTCCGTACTCTGCACAAAGATATCGCACGATACAATCAGGTACTCATATATCCTAATCAATTATATAATTTAATAATCGTACATCGTTTTTTCTATACTCTACACACACACACACACACACACATACACACACACACCCAACTTTTATGCTTGAAATAAATAAATAGAGTATGTTTAAATAATTGAACAAACCTATATGAACTTATAATAATTTTCCCACGTTATTTGGTAATAATTTCATGTTATTTGATAACTGAGATAACTTTGTGTCGTTGATATTAGAAGAGTACAAATCTATGTCTATAAATATTTTGATCAGAGACTCTATTTACAAGAGTCTTTTTTACTGTAAGTTTTTGAATAATACATAACCAAGTTTTTAGGAAAAATTCACGTAGTACGTTTGAAGTAAATTTACGTAGCATGTTTCAAGTAAATATCTCAATTTGTTCTCCGAAATTCCAATTGTTCTCCGAAAGTTAACTTCATGAAACTACACCGATTAAAAATTCATCGAATTACTTGATTTGAAGTGTATGCTGTACTAATCCTATAATAAAATACACTTCGGATAACCGAAAACTGACGCTTCTAATCGAGCATCGATGCTTCTAATTTCGTGAAACTATCTTAATATGTCCTGCTAAAAGGTGAAGGTAACGATACGTTTTCTTCACTTTTACAAAATTGTGATCTCCCTTTGTCTGTGTTGCGATAACGCAGGCCTACTTCCAGATAGAATCAGGAGAAGACGCGCAAGAGGAATTCGGATGGAAATTGGTGCACGGTGATGTGTTCCGCCCTCCGCGCAAAGGAATGCTCCTTTCTGTGCTCCTTGGGTCTGGTGTTCAAGTGTTCTTCATGACATTGGTCACGCTAGGTATGCTATATCCGCATTCATCATCTTTTTTTTCCTTAAGAAAATAGTCGATGTTATGAGAACGAAAAGTAAGTATTTCAATGAACGTTGTAGCGTTCGCTTGTCTGGGTTTCCTTTCCCCGGCTAACAGAGGTGCCCTGATGACCTGCGCGATGGTGTTGTACGTCTGCCTGGGAACTACCGCGGGATACGTGGCCGCACGGATATACAAAAGCTTCGGAGGAGAGAAATGGAAGTCCAACGTGTTACTGACGTCCATGCTGAGCCCTGGGTAAAACGTCGTTTCGCCAAATCGCGAGATGTCGCCTCGTAGCATCCTAGATACGACAATGTCATTGTCGTCTTTTCGAATCAATCCAGATTTCTTAGCTTCAAATCAACCTAGACTTACCCTCAAGAACCTATCGTTCTCGTTTTCTCCTACAGAATCGTGTTCAGCTTATTTTTCATGATGAACTTGATATTCTGGGTGAACGGGAGCTCGGCCGCGGTACCTTTCAGCACTCTGATCGCATTGCTGGCATTGTGGTTTGGTGTGTCGGTGCCATTAACGTTCATCGGCGCTTACTTCGGCTTCAAGAAAAGGGTAATTATCGACTAACATTGTCTCGTCGTGACCGCGACAATTGAGCACACGGCATGTTAATGTCCTGCAGGCTCTGGAGCATCCAGTGAGGACGAATCAGATCCCCCGACAGATACCGGAGCAGAACTTTTATACGCAACTGATACCCGGAATTGTCATGGGTGGCGTTTTACCATTCGGTTGCATATTCATACAACTATTCTTCATACTTAATTCCCTCTGGTAAGCATCGTACGTGGCTGTTCTCGTCGAGCGAAGCATACTCATGTATTTAACGCATGCGTAGTGTATACTCAACATTCCTATATACAAGTAATCTTTCCCCAACAGGTCGAGTCAAGTGTACTACATGTTCGGTTTCCTCTTTTTGGTTTTCCTTATACTCGTCATCACATGTTCCGAGACGACGATTTTACTTTGCTACTTCCATCTTTGCGCAGAGGTAAGAGTATGCATACGAGGCACGCGCTAGAATTCCGCCGTTTACAGGACTTTGATGTTGACAAAATTTTTCGTAGGATTACCACTGGTGGTGGCGCAGCTTTCTTACGTCCGGCTTTACCGCTGTCTACTTGTTAATTTATTGTGTACACTTCTTCTTCACTAAATTAGATATCGAAGGCGCCACTTCTACGTTCCTGTACTTTGGATATACATTTATTATGGTTCACTTATTCTTCCTTCTAACAGGCAAGTACTGTTTGTCTTATATATATATATTCTCTATATATATATATATATATATATATATATATATATTCTTAGTTGCAATATTTGAGAGAATTGAAAAGAAAGTTTCCGTTCTTTTCTCTTTCCAGGTTCAATTGGTTTCTTCGCCTGCTTTTGGTTCGTGCGAAAAATTTACAGTGTTGTGAAGGTTGACTAAATGAAAACTAAATGATGGCGAGAACAATGTCTGTATGATAAGTGTGGATATGAACGAGTGAAACTGTTCATAATGGGAATGAACGATAGTCGGTATTACGCGAATCTACATTATAAAAGGAAAAATGAAAACGAAAGGAAGTGTAACACGACGGTAACGGGCAAACGCAATGGTGCCGCTGACCGACCTGTTATCGCCGCGAGATATTATCTCGAGTATCGTCGAATAATGATAATAATTTATTTTGTTAACGCGCACGGAAGATTGCATTTCGAAGGACGATACCGCTCGGCGTCATGATCGACTATCTGTCATTCTACGGAAGTATTCTCCGGAATAACATCACAGCATGTGTCGCGCGTGTCGATGATGTATGTTTTAGATATTCGTGAAAAATATCTACCGCGCATAAGCACTACTTATTTGATTTCATTCTTTCGTTCTTTCGAAATTCTTGGCCTACGTCGAGAAATGCGTATGTCCGTGCGGCGTGTAGCACGTCCCGGACTTGAACCGACGTCTAACGCCAGATAGGTATTGATCGTATCGATTGCTATTCGTACTTTTACCGGTTTATCAGCGTACCTAACATCCATGCGTAAAATTCGATAGCAGTACTTGATTGTAACGATGTACATATTAATTTCTCCCGAATTTACTCGCGTGAGATATTCGTTTTTTTTCAAATTATAAATATATACAAACAATAAGAATGTACAAATTGAAGATTAATCATTAAATCTGACGTACTTTCCGTTACCGTTCTCTCTTTTTCACTCTTTATCGATAGTATTCGTAACCGTTATGTATCTAATAGCAAATATGCACATTCTGTACTCCAGATTTTGTAAACTAAAAATAACTACAATGTTAGTGTTGATAATGTTATTATTGATATGAATAAAAATATCGAATAAGTTTATATACATATGTATTTGCAGTAATAATCTGAAGCGTGTCGTCACGTGTCGTGTGTGATCTCTAATGCTCGTTTCTATTAACTTGATTAACATAACCGGCTCGTTAATCTGAATCGACAAATGCGATTGGTCGATTTCGTTGGAATAACCAACCAGTTAAATTATTAAACACAGCCGGTGGAAAGAGGCGTGAGTGAAATTGATCGGACACAATTTTACAACGGAGGCAAGAAGTAATACAACGACACGTGCGGTTCCTGTTTTAAGCATAAACATATATTTGTATATTATCCATGCTTTAAATTTTCCATCTACAAGTGAATAGTAAATTTTTCAATTCGGTGTATCGTAAAAAGTAAGCGACAAATGTATGTATACTTTCGTGTATCCTAACAATTGTTCGTTTTCCTTTAATATTTATTAATAATTTTACATGTCACACCATGGAGTACCGCTTTATATTTACATACATGTTCTCGCCTCGTGTGCTAGTCTATCACACGATTACAACACTGACGACGCTTCAACGTAGTTGCCGCTAGCGAAGTTGCCGAAACCATCGCGCTCTCGGAGGAAGTTGGAGTAGACTACGCAGAGATGATTAGTTAGAAGATGAAGACACAGGTTTCTTTCTCCTGTCAGCCGACGTTCGAAACTATGCTCTCTTGTGTTGGGAGACGACGACGACGACGACGATGATAATGATGCGACATCCAGACGAGGGCGCATTGATCCCAGCGCGCACTCGCCCAAGATCCAATTCGTCGTAAAGAAAAAAACAGAGCCAGGACAAAGAGCGGAGGAACGAACGTTACTTGACAGCCAGGAATACCAAGTCTATTCCACAAGCCCAACATATATCAATATGTTTTCTGTCTATTTCCTCAGAGAGGCTTCCACGTCTTCTTCGTGCGGGTTGTTGTCGCGAGCACATGTGTGTGTCTCTCACACGTCGTAGTGAAAACTTTATCGTCTGCTGCTGCATGTCTTGTCGACGCAACACACAGTACCACTACCGTGTCTGATCTACGGTTACTGATGCTCTGTAGGATAGATAAATGTTGACCTGCAAGAAGTAAGGTTTAATTCTGATGCATGAGGAGGGGAATCGAGGAGCCAGGGAGCCTATTGGAGATCATGCACTGGGTAATCAGATATCATCATCGATAATCGACCTAAGAAATGAAACGCGTTGACATCCCGAGAGAAAGTGAAGAGAGAAATGAGGAAAAAAAAGAAACGAAATTAGATTATTGCGAAATAAATGTATAAAAATCAGGATTGATATTTTCATCTTTATCAGAAAGGATGTATCAGGATACGATCATGGATAACGATTATTTAAGTATTAATATAGCTTTCTGAGACCGTAACTAAAATAATCAAGGAGAACTTATGTCTACCATAAACAATATATAATACAACGAAAAGTAAAATTCAGTGCGTTTGTGGGGAAAACACGGAATAAAGGGAGCGAGGGGGACAGGCGGAGAAGTGTGAGTCAGTTAAAGCTGAGTTCAATTTAAGTCAGGTCAAAGGAGGAAAGATACGTTGTGTTTTGTTTATTTCCTAGGGCTACGACGACGCCGGCCGTCTCTGTTTCTGTCGGCGCGTCTCATCTCTTCCAGTCTGCGCGCGTGTTCCGCCATATGTTGCCTCCGCATCTCTTCCTTCACGACTATCTGCAATGTTTCGTACACGTTCGTCACAGGTGAGTCTGCTTATCAGCGACAATCGATTTTCCTCATTCGAAGGTCAATTCACTAACAAATGGAGAATTAAACGACAAGCCTAATCTGAAGTTGAAGAAAGAAAAATAATAGATTGAAATATTTTACTGCGCTTTATCTACAACACGACTCATAGACACTCGAGTAAGGAGTATTTTACAAAAGAATAAAAAAAGACATCAAATTACCATCATATTGTGCCTCATCAACCCTTGGAATCATTACCCGATGATTCTCACCTGCTCATTCGTAAGCGGCAGCCAGTATATGCAAGGTGTGGCCTTCGTCTTTCTGAAGAGATCGTCCAGCAGCTTCGCCGGCGGTGGGTCGTCCTCCTTCTTCTTGAACTTGCGCGCTGGCGCCGGCAGATGCGCCTCCAACGCGGGGCTTCGGCTCCTCTGTCGTCGCTTCCTGTCATGCTCCTTCTTCTCGCGCTCCTTCTCTCTGATGTGTTGCTGGCCGTCTTCCTTACCCAGATCCCACTCCCTCACCACCGTCACCTGGTACATAAATCGAGGTGTCTTTCGTTAGATACCGGAAGCAACTGAATGACACGACGATATTAAAATCCAAGGATATACCTTGGTCGTATTAGTTTTCTCCTCGCGACCCCATTCCTGCTGCCACGGATCGGACGACGAGAGCGGTTCGGTCTTACGAGCGACCGGTTGGTCCTTGGACGATTCCCGGGCGGTTTCCATGTCCTCCTTCGTGGCGTATTCCACGTGAAGCTTCTTTGGATTCGACATAGGCCAGGAGATCCCGTGAAGTGCCTGCCTCGTCTCGAAAGCTTGGTCCTCGTTGGAATACTAAGCAACAATACCGTAACGTCAGAACAACCACACATCAAAGTTTCGCCTACGATTCAGTATGTAATCTCAGCATCTTATTTGCGTAGCGCATATACCTCGACGATACACTTAGACTTGATTCGGTCCATCCAGAATCCATTTTCCACGATGGTGCCCGTACGCGAAAGTAGTTCTTTGATTTGATTCAGCGTAAACGGGCGAACTAGGTTCTTGATTAGCAGAATATTACTGGGTTTGGACGCTGGCGGGCTCGGCGATTTGACGTGCGGCATCTCCTTCACGATCGATATCTTCCGCCTCGTTGCTGTTTTAAACAATCGGAAGCATCGTTGTGTTATTTATATCTCGCACGATCACGTTGAGGAGCTCGTTAACACACATTCACCGTCGAGCATATTAAGTTTTCACAAGATTCATTGTAATACGCACGTCTTAAAGATCCTTGAGATTTAAAAAATTTGAAATTGATGAAAATATTAAATCCGTTTACTTTACAATGTGCACCTTGTTCTTCTGCCTTCCTACTATTATTAAACATAGTTATGGTATTCTAAATTTAAGTAACTTTATGTTACACGTATCTCAACTTTTATCTTCCTGACGGTTACCGGTGACCATCATGGCGATGAATGCGTTGATTTTGTGCAACAACAAATCACGCGTGTATGTGCACGAGCGACACGTACCGATGTGATTGTCTATTTTAGCGTTGCCTTTCTTAGCAGCGCCGTTCTTCTGCAGATTCTCGTCCGTTGTCTTGTTGTCGTTTAAACTGTCGCTGGAATTGTGCCGCTTGTCGTTGATTCTGTGGCGGTCTCGGTCCTCATCGTCGTCCTTCGACAGACGGACTTCATTGATGGACAATGGCTTTGCGCCCGGCACCAAAGCCTATCGAGAGTTATTGTTAAAATTACTTATTGCTAATATTACTAAATTAAAATTATTGCCTAATTGCAACACGCGGAAGCAACAAAGTGAGTATTCGCGATGAAGAACCAACCTTGAGCGAATCGGTTGAAATAGAGAACGAGGGAGTTGTGTCCGTGGAAAACGTGATCCCCCATCGACGTTTTCTGGGCACGCATTTCAGCTCCTGTTCGTTGCCGTTGTGATTTTCCTGAAACGCGACATCCGGGTGTTAATGAACATTGAAAAAGCAAGCTGTGTTAGCTCAACATCGATCGAACAATTTGCGAATTGACGTACCTTATTTTGACCGCAAGACTCATTGACGTTCACATTAGTATCGTCTCTTTTCACCTCGCTCTTCTCGGTCGCTATTCTCACCGAGCTAAACAGAATAAAGAAAAATTGATTCGATCGTAGATGCTGTTTGTATTTTATTCGTTCGTTGGATTTGCTCCGTACTCGAAAACCTTTAAAGAATCAACAACTCGTAAACCAACCTGCATTACTAGACATCAACTCAAGACACACATCATCTCAGATTCGGATACTTAAAAGCTCGCCATTCGCTCGATATCCCGACGTCGATACTTACAATGATCTCTTCAAGTTGACTTTCACAGGCTTCTGAGCGACCGCCTGAACGCCGGGCGACACGGTTGTTAGCTCCGACTTTTCGCTCGTGACCTCGGGCTTATGCTGAACAGTCTCGCAATGCTCGATCTCCATCGTTTCTACATTGTTCGGGTGCGAGTTGCCTTTCTCCGGCGACAACGATCGTTCCTTATCCTCCCGTGAATATTCCGCGCTCGGTTTCTCCTCTTCCAATTCCTCCTCCTCCTCGACGTAAGACTCGGAGACCTTTCTATCGACCGGCTCGTCTTCGGAATCGGCTGTATCGGAATTCGACGAATCCCTGTATTTGTTCCGGTGTTTTCTGCGAATCGAGGCGCGCGGTGGCGATCGCTCGCTATTTCTGCTGTTCTTGGCGCGCGACTCATCGTTCGATTCAGATGACGTATCCACGGGACGACGTTCCTTCATCTTATCATCTTCCTCATCCTCGCTGCTCGTGTCTTTACGAGCATTCTCTACGCTAATCTCCTCTTTGTTAAACGTTTTCGTCGTTTTTTCGCTGGTATCTTCCACATGTTTATCTTCCTCTGATATAACGGCAGTGCCGGCGACAGTGTCGGCGACGGTGTCGGCGACGGTGTCGGCGACGGTGTCGGCGACGGTGTCGGCGACGGTGTCGGCGACGATGTCAGAGACGGTGTCAGTCGTGATGGTGGTGGTTGTGGTGGTGGTGGTGGTAGTAGTAGTAGTAGCAGCAGCAGCAGCAGCATCATCATCGGCAGCGACGGCAGCGGTGGTCTCCTCGCACGGATAATCACCGTTTGTGCCAGGAGCCGGCGCGGTTGTCGTGCTACTCGGCTTACCGGGCTCGCTATCAACGATTTGGGCAGCGCAATTTGCCTCATTTGATTCACCATGCTGATCTATGTTTGGTTTATCGTCAGACAACAAGTTGGCTGAAGTGGTTTCAGGCAGGATCTCCTTGCTATCACTTACCTCTTCGTTGGAGTCCTGACCTGGGTATGAAGAGGAGGGATCGTTCGGCTGTTCAGCACTACTGAGCATTCTTGTACAAGAAACCAGTTGCTCATCCGCCGAGTCAGCCTCCTCTGCAACGCCCTCACCACTTTCTTGCCACTTGCTTGACTTGCTTTTCCTACTCGATGATGTGTCTGATAACACGTCGGTGGTGTTGCGCTGCCTACATAATTTCAACTTCTGTATCTCGCCAGGTGACGCATCCGCCCTAGCTACTTTCCATACGGAACCACCAGGGTCCCCCTCATTTTCCGGCGAATCAGCCTTCAAGTTTCTCTCACTAGAAGTGACTGCTTCCTCCTGTCCTTGCTGTGGCTCCTTCAATTCCTTCTCCTGCATATTCAGACATATTTGCACAGTTATTTCTTTCTCGGTCTCCTTGACTTGAGCGACATTTCTAGTTGCTTCCTCAGCCGTGACATCTTGCTCGGATGAAGTGGAAGGTGATCTCCTGCCTCGCCTACGCGTCGACTTTCTTGTTGGTTTCTCAGCTTTCTTCTCTGGAGATCCCTTTGTTTTATTCCTTTCGCTCTTGCGTCTCATACCTAGGCAATAATGCAACAAATGATCATTACAATCAGGCTTATACAAGTTATCGATCAAGTACAGTTACTTGTCATGTTATACAAAGTTATAATCTAAAATCAAGTATAACGCGTTAAATTATATTAAACCGTAACATAATCAACCATGTAACTCAGACACAACAGTTAAGAGGCACAATGCAATCTAGGATATTAAATTCTCTCGCAGCTCGTGATTCGCAAGTCCTCACAAGTGCATTATTTCTAATTTTCTTAATTTTTCAACAGATCCATCAATACCGATTAGTACAACACGACACTCTCGGTAGAATTATCTGTTCCCATCAGGTCGAGACGTCAAAACAGAAACGCACACATACGTACGTACGCCTCCATATTCATTTGGCATGACGCGATCTAACGCCAATTGGCAGAAGATAAAGTCCGAGACTGTTAAACGCGACGAATCCGACGCGAATATGTCCGTATTCCGTCGGACTCGTAACTCGGATCACTCGTCGGTTCGCTGTAACGCGGAGAACACTCACGAGCTTGCAGCGGTCACCCCTCGGTCGCCCGGCGCGGTTGAGGTCTCACCCCAAATTTGTCGATCGATTTTTAACACCTCGGTTTGTGGTTATCAACAAGATTTCGCGCGCACGAGAAATTCGCGCAGCAGCGCGACAGCGGTGGAGAAAGGCTGCGACGACGGCGGATACTCACTCGACTCCGCTGTGCTGTAGCCGTGGATGCGGTTAAACGCTTCTCGCCCGTTGACAGTCTCGGTGATACATAAATGCTACGCTCTCGATGTGAACACGCAATCCCGACGACGCTATTCAACAATCGCTCGCAATCGTTCGCGTTAAGAGCCACCGTACGACCGCTCGATCGGCCATGAACTCGTCACGCTGTGTCAGATGGCGACACAAAGCCGCGACCTTTTTCGAATCGGTCTCCCCAGAAACTTCTAGATGACGATGCATTCGTGCCTCTAGGGACAGTATTAGCAATTCGATGGCGCTGCGTACATGTAAGCTGCGTTCCAATGGCCGCGTTCAGTAGAACAAAGGTTGCCTTCAGAAAACAAAGCGCTCACTATATCGCAATTCTGTAACTCGTTATTGGAGTTAACGACACTTTCGTTATCGTTGCGCAGCTTTTGTATACCGTAGAAAAGCTGCGCAACAATAACGAAATTGTCGTTAACTCCAATAACGAGTTACAGAATCGCAGCACTGTACCGCGATTCTGTAACTCGTTATTGGAGTTAACGATACTTTCGTTATCGTTGCGCAGCTTTTGTATACCGTAGAAAAGCTGCGCAACAATAACGAAACTGTCGTTAACTCCAATAACGAGTTACAGAATCGCAGCACTGAGCGCTTAGTAACTATTGGTCCTCATTGGCCGCGTTCAGCAGACTCAACAGTTGGACAACATTACTAGATTTACCACTGAATCTCGCTCCTGATTGGTAAATATTTCTGGGTCTATGAAGAATCTAAAAGAATGCTCCAATCACAGACAATAACCACTAAGTGCTCTCTGATCACTTTGTTCTACTGAACGCGGCCATTGGCTGCATTCAGCAGACTCAACAGTTGGACAACATTACTAGATTTTCCACTGAATCTCGCTCCTGATTGGTAAATATTTCTGGGTCTATGAAGAATCTAAAAGAATGCTCCAATCACAAACAATAATCACTAAGCGCTCTCTGATCACTTTGTTCTACTGAACGCGGCCACTGTTAGATCCTTACAATGGCTGCATTCAGCAGACTCAACAGTTGGACAACATTACTAGATTTTCCATTGAATCTCGCTCCTGATTGGTCAATACTTTTGGGTCTATGAAGAATCTAAAAGAATTCTCCAATCATAGACAATAATCACTAAGCGCTCTCTGATCACTTTGTTCTACTGAATGCAGCCATTCAGACCAATAACGTTGACGAATTACTCAACCGTTGTGTAACCGTTGTGTTTTCTGAACGCAGCCAAAGTGATCAGTGAGCGCTTAGTGATTATTGTCTGTGATTGGAGCATTCTTTTAGATTCTTCATAGACCCAGAAGTATTTACCAATCAGGAGCGAGATTCAGTGGAAAATCTAGTAATGTTGTCCAACTGTTGAGTCTGCTGAATGCAGGCAATGTTCATTGCTAGTACTGAAAATACATGGTTTGTGTCACGTATATTATAGATTTTCAGTGCTGGCAGTGAACGTATCGGAACGTAGCCTTTGAAGATCGTTTAGAATTTACTGGGTCTGTTCGTTTCACGCCCGTTTCTATCAATTGTGGTCAACTTAACCGGCTAGTTATTCCACCGTAATTGGCCAATCGCATTTGGCAATTTTGGTTAACGATAAATGATTGGTCAATTCCGTTGTAATAACCAGCTGATTAAAGCTGCATTCTGAAATTCACTGCCAGTACTGAAAATATATAGTATACGCGACACAAACCATGTATTTTTAGTACTGGCAGTGAATTTCGGAACGCAACCTAAATTAACCAAGATTGGTAGAAACGGGCATTAAGAAACCAAGTTTACTGTTCTTACATTTAAAAACGTTTAAAATTCATCCATGGATGTTCTGTAGTTTAATTAAACGATCCTAACAGTATTTGAAAAGAGAGAGAGAGAGACAGAGATGAACTTATAGACGATCTAGAATATAGAATCTAATTATAAACACCATTTATAGTTCTTATTTAAGATAGTCTTAGGCCGATATTCATAGTCAGGTCTTATATTTAAGACCGTCTTAAGTTCATTTTCAGATACCCCATAGCCAATGAAATGATTTGTATAGCATCTGAAGATAAACTTAAGACGGTCTTAAATTTAAGATCCAACTATGAATACCAGCCTTAAATTCATCTTTAGATGTACAATTCATCCCATCAGTTACAAAGCATCTGAAAATAAATTTAAGACAATCTTTAAGTAATAATATAAAATTCGACTATAAATACTGGCTTTTTAAATTTGATTCTTGTGTATTTTCTGAATTATCTTACAATCTTTCTATTTTCTGTCAAATGTATCTACTTAAATCTACTGTTTTAAATAATGTAAAACTTGGTGCAGCTGAGAAAAGTTTGTTTCTTATTTTGTGTTCTACCGCTGAGAGAGAGAGAGAGAAAGAGAGAGAGAGAGAAGAGTATTCACTTAAAAAGAGACAAGTATACAGTTGTGTGGAGCTTATCGAGGAAGAAAAGAAAACTATAGTACAAGTACTATAGTTCAGCCAGTTCATTAGTCGGGAACAAAACTAAGAACAGACGTTCTCAACAATCGGCCGAGTATGCATGTGTGAAACTCGTCCGATGAAAATGTAACCCAAAAGTACACGTGACGATAGCTATATGTATAACTCGCACATACCACACAAATATAGTTAAAGGGATATTACCTAATTTCTCTTGTCCCTGTTGTGCACGACTGCCGCATCCAATATTGAAGTTTACGAACGTTTCTCGTGACAGTTGTCACAGAACAAAAGCACAAACGTGAACGAGTAACAATGGCAGCACTATTTCGCATGAATTGCGTGCACGGTTTGCGCAGGGGGTTAGCCCTGGCTGCACGCAAGGATACGACCTGTCGTAGAATAACGACGACAACATCGAGGTATGATAAAGAGGAAACTCAACTTGTAAAAAAGAAGTGGGTGAGTTACGGCTACAGCGACGAGGACGAGGCCGAGGATGTTCATTCCCTACATCAGACCATGTTTATCACTGTCACTATATGCTTTGTCTTCGGAGCAGCTGTTGTGGCTTATTTTCCTGATATGACACAGGTAGATTGGGCACAGCGAGAAGCTTATCTGCAACTTCGTCACAGAGAGGAGCATGGGCTTCCTCTCATTGACCCCAACGTGGTCGATCCGTCTAAAATAAAACTGCCAAGCGATGAAGAATTAGGCGACATGGATATTATTATTTAAGAAATGAAACGGTAACGACAATGACGTTGAGAACTCCAGTTGAACTCTCTGAATGTCATTTCTGCCTATCTGTAACAATTTAGTATTTGTTAATGTTATCTGAAAATAATTAATAAAAATACTGTCTTTGTAACTTAAAGTCTATCCATCTATTCTATAAGTTCTGTCTATTCTATTATGTTAATTGATATCGAAACTTACCACAGATCTTTAGATTTTGCAGTTTTTCATTCTATAAGTTCTGTCTATTCTATTATGTTAATTGATATCGAAACTTACCACAGATCTTTAGATTTTGCAGTTTTTCATTCATGCAAAATATTTTGAATTTTAAAATTTATATACCACACCCATGAAACACGTTTGTCAGTGATATACAAATTATACTTGGATAAATTATAGATATAACAGAAAAATGCATGAGACTAATTGTAACATTGATTACTAAAATATATACGATTAAGCATTGTATTAGATCAGAATTATGCACTGTAATATTATATAAGGGGCACTGTTTGCAAAATGAATATCAAGTAACAATTTCTCATGCTGCATATATATGTATCATGTGTATACATGTATATACATATCCTATACATATCATATACATACATATCATATATATATATATATGTAGCGCAATCAGAATCCTGTGATTATATATACTTTATTTATGTACAATATTATACTATTTCTTTAGTATACATTAAAAAATTTACTATATGTATCACATTCTTGATACTCATTAAGAAACAAAAAATAACTGTTGAATGGTCACATCGTATGCTAGATTAGAACAGGCGAGGTATACCGATCGTCTTCTTTTTATCGGTGTATGTTATTTTATTAGTGTGAAAATTATGCTTAAAGTCACGTTTCTTTTTCATTTAATTTAAGAACGCGCGCCTGTTATTGTGTCAATGTCGGCGTCATTAACGTCGGAGGTGCGGTAGTAGTTGCAGTCGTAGCAGTGGTACTAGGCAATTGATTTTGTTGAAGAACAGATGGATAGAAGGAAGTATTTTGCGGGAGAGAGGCGCTGACTGTGATGGGTGGCATTCCAGGCAGTGAAATCGGCGTCGTCACAACATGAGGTTGAGGCACATTAAATCCAGCAGTAGCAACAGTCATACTGTAAGCAGAATTCTGATCTTTTTGCAGTTCTGGGAGATTAACTGCTGCACTCGAAATTGTTGTAACTTCGTAAGAGCTCGTTGGTAAAATTGGACTAGCCGGCATACCAGGAATGTTCGGAGTCGCTTGATAAGTACCTAAGTGATTGAACAGGTGTATTAGCAACAATCTAATTTGATTCAATGTTTTAGTCGATATTCAAAGAGAGAGAGAGAGAGAGAGAGAAAGAGAGTATATCTCTAAACACACATCTGTGTTATCTAACACTTTTTTCTAAAAACCCAACTTTGATGGAAAATTAAAAACCTTTGGTTAGATATTTTTTAAAAGACAGTACAATGTATGTACAGTAAAGTTCATATATATTTGGAGTTTTATAAGAAAAATCTTCCATTTATAAAATTTATTTGTCTTTACGCCTCTTTAAAATTAAATTTTGAATTAACTATTTACACCAAAAAGAATACAAATAAAATTTGATATTACTTACCAGGTGTAAAACTAACTGTAGGCTGATTTGAAAACATATGAGCTGCTGAGCTGATCGGTGTGTGACTACCGATACCAGTACCAGCACTGGTACCGACACTGACATTGATACCTGCACCAGTGCTAATGCCGACACCGGCATTCGTATTGGTTGTAACGACGTCGGTGAAATTAATTTGGCTCGTAGGCTGTACTTGTGAGCTAGTTCCTATGTTTTGAGATGCTAGAGTTTCCTGTTCAGCTTTCAGATTTTTCACAGAGTTATCTGTTAGCGAGGTATAACTTGGCGGAATAGGTAATCCAGATGGCATATAGACAACTGGATTATTTCCTGGCATGATGATGCCAACAGTCGTTGCTGGCTGATCTTGCATAACATTCTTGGTAGTATTCTAAAATGCATATTTTATATATATATATATATATATATATATAAACTGAGAACCTACAAAGTTCTAAAGTTTATTTTATCCACTTTTATTATTTATTGGATATAATGTTAAATCTATATTTCTAGAAAGATGGTTGATTATTTCCCTAAGTTTTAGTTGTAAAAATATTAGAATTTGTAATCATTCTAAAATTATATTAACTACATTAATTAATTTTATCAACTAAAGAAAAATTTATAATCAAACTGATTAAACTTTTAAACTGATACGTTAAAAAAAAATCACATTAATGGTAATGTCAGTTTAAGGCTATGTTCTGATATTTACTGCTAGCATTGAAAATCTATAGTATATGTGACACAAACTATGTATTTTCAGTACTGGCAGTGAATATCGGAACACAATCTAAGACAGACTGCTATGTTTCAACTAATTTTTGAAATTCTTTATAATTAAAAATGTATGTTTTAATTATTCTGAATACTTGTGAATGGAAAGTCTTAATTTGAAAATTAGTAAAAAATTCTTTTACCGTGTATGAATTAGCAGGCTTGTGCTCCAGTACACTTCTGACAGGTATTCTATGCAAATATCCATATCCTATTCCACATCCTAAGCTGTTGAAAAAATATAGAAATAACTTAATTTTTATTCACATAATTTGATTAATATATCTAAAATATTCTGTAAAATATATATATATGTACCTTCCTTCTCCACCCCAGGTATTATTAGGAGTAATAGTCACTTCTCTGCAGAAATCATCTTTTGTGTTATATACGTATAATTTTAAAGGTCGTGACTCGTGAGCTTCTATCAAGGTAAATAGATTCTCACTTTCGTGTAAGATAGAATCTGCGCCAATGATATAATCAGTAAATGGTCGTAAACCAGCTAGCTCTGCAGGGGAGGATGGATGTACTTCCTATAAATTTAGATGTAAGTTACTCAATAAACAACAAACTGAAACATTATTAATAAAAGCTTGTTTGAAGCATACTTACAAGTACATGCCAGACATTTTCATTGGCACCTTCAAATGAACAGAAACGTATACTAACACCTAGTAATCCTTGCCCACCCCATGTCATGCTTGGTGTGATATGAGTTCGTCTTACAGATTTTGTTTTACTACTATATACTGTAATTATTAATTTTTGATTTACACTAGCCTTTAATAATTCCTTCAGGGTATCATTATCTTGGTCCTATTAAAGATAATGAGATAATGAGAACAATATAATAAGATAAATTAAAAGGATTAGAAACATATCTAAACACATTTAAAGAATATTTACTGATACAATATTAATCATACTGATACAATATGAAATATATATTTTGATTTGCAGAAATTAAATACACATACCAGACGTGTATTTCCAATTGCTACAATAAAATCAAAAAATGCTTCTAATCCTGCTTGTTGCCCAGGAGAGCCTTCCTGAACCTGGAAAAAAAAGATATAGAGTTATTTCATGTATATCTATATCATATGATTAAAGCAAATATATATTTTTATTCAATTTAAACATTGTGGGCAGAATATACAAGAAAATATATATTACAAAATTTTATTCTTCATATGAATATGCTTTATTTTGGCAAATTTATAATTTACAAATTACTTAGAAATATATTTAATATAGAAGTTGACAATTTTTAATAAACAGTAAGGTCTCCTAAAATTTCTATAGAGAAGAAATGAAATTTATGCACCTTGTTCACCAACTCATAGAAAAAATAAATTGACATCATCAAAAGTGATGATAAAATAAGTAATGATAATTATACTTTATGATGATACCCCCGATACTTAATATGTCAAATCTACAGTCAGATTGAGTCGTGCAAACTTTATTGAAGGTTACACAGATGTACAATTACGCGTAAAATGCTATCGTTACTTTTAACGATATGTTCATATGTAAAATCTTAAAGTGGGTGATGTAGATAATCAGACACTCTTGACAGGCAGTCTTACCCCTAATACGTGATAACCTTCTGTGCCACCTCCTGGTATTTCCACGCTCTGAGACGATCCCATTTCAACAAAGAGTTTCTTAGGACACCTGAGACGAGCAGATAAAAGACATTAAAACAATTGTTGATCGCGCAAAATTTGCGGCACACACAAATAAGAAATATACGTGGCGCAGGTATGCAATGCAAATTCTATGGTGACGTTACTACCTCTATATACCACACTTATCTGGTGATATCCAAGTGTCAAGCTCGACAACATCACGTCACAAATTATCCTAATCATTTTGCTTTTTACTACACAAAAGTGGATCTAGATGGCGCGTATCATGAGCTGAAATCTTAGACAGCGGAGTGGCTTCTATTCTCTTCTCTCCTGCTCCTTTCTCCTCTTCCCTTCTCTTCTATCTAACTGTCAGTCGATGTCATCGTGACGTCAAGCGCGAAATTTACGTCATTTTAGATCTGTCAGTTTTAGCAACGCGCTTTCTATATTCTTTTTTTATACTTTCTCTCTCCCTTTTATTTCAAACGCAAGAACAGATAATTCCTTCGTATCGAACATGAATGGTGTGAGAATAATCAAGAACATATTCGTTCTTCGATACCCTCGAGCTATTTTCAATTCCGGAGCTCGGGATAAGCTTGAGCTATTAGCGCAACCTTCGAAGTTGGCATGAATGACATACTCGCGCAGTAAAAAGAGAGACAGCGGAGAAACGCCTTTCACAAAAGCTTACCCACGCTCGTACGTCAATCGTAGATTCTCTCCGGCGAGTCAATCGTGCAAAAACGCGCACGCGCTCGCGTCATTATTAAAACTCGTCAGTTTTGAAACAAGGACAAGGACATGGAAGTAGAGACGGGAGAACATCGATGAGGAAGCAAAGAGCGTGATCGACTCTTCGTTTCCGACGTAAATTCCCGCGACGTGGATATTTCCACGCGTAGTAACATTCTCTCGAATCGACGACCACGGATAAACAAATTACGTTTTCGTACAAGCCGTGAGAGAGAGAGAGAGAGAGAGAGAGAGAGAGAGAGAGAGAAAGAGAGAGAGAGAGAGACCATCCCGAAAACGGTTATCCACCGCCTCAGGTGCAGGAGGTGCAGCAGGAGGAGGAAGACAAGCCTGTATCATTTATCCGATCCGTGGTGACTTGCGCAAAGACGGTTTACGCGCGGAGCGAAAAGCGACGCGACGAAGGGGAGGGGGGAAGAATTGCGAGCAGCGATAATCGGTGGCACGCATGGTGGGAGTGAAACCGTTCGCGGAATCGGCGGCGAAGGGCTCGCTCGAGAAAAACAGGTGCACAGGCGTGCGTCACGGAGCTCGCGTTTCTCCGCTCCGCAATACCGAGCGAAATCGAGCGATCTCTCCCCTGTGTGGACAAGGCACGCCAGCGGTAGGCCAGTGCGGTGCGCGCGATCCAACAGCTGTGGCCGAGAGTGACCGCACGAGAGAATGTCGAGCGTGAGTGTACGCGAGTGTAGGTAGGCAGGCGAGAATCTCGCGTACATGCGAATGCCCGGAGGGGAATCAATCCCGTGCGCGTTGTCGGTGTCGGAGACGTTGTTGGCGGCGAAACGTACGCGAGGCGAGGCGCCAGGCGAGATACCGCGACCGACTTTCCGCAGGCTCGCGAGGAGACGGCCGCGAAAGCTCTGAAGTCTGCCGAAGTGCGCGAGAGAGATTAATCGAGGAGAGCGCTTTTCCGATACAAGGCTGACCGACTGGCTCGGAGCGTGTTGGCTCGAAAGGAGAACGTCAACGGGAACGTGGCGGAGTAAACGGAAGCAGGGAGGTCGAGCGTGCGTCGTATGCTGCGTCGTGCGGAGAGGAGCTCGCGAATGGAGGCACGGGTATGTGGCACGGAAATAGAAATGGAATCCCGAGAGACTCGCGCGTTACCTGTCATTGTTGTGTTATCACGACGGCTTATAGTTCCGAGCTCGTGGCCGCGTGAAAGTAGGGGCCTTATGTTTATTCGCGACCGCGGCGACGCGTCGACGGCGACCGACGTGATGTTTCTGTTCCTGCGTGTACCCCCAAGTGCTCCGGGATTCGATTCTACGGAATCGAACGTGCCGATCTTTTGAATACACGCTCCGTGCATATCGACCCTACGTGCCATCGTTCGCATAATCTCTCACGTTTACGCGCGACGCGACCCGTCTCCTTCGCATATTCGTACTTTCCTTCTTTTTCCCCCTCCTGCTCATCTTCCCTCACCTCTTCCGCATGCCCGTAGATTACGCGATCGCGATGACTTCTCACCGATCATGTCGATCGCGCCACGTCGTTCGCACGTTAAACGTCCACGCATTGTATGCGTGGAAATAATCCACGCTTGTTGTTTGTGCTTACATTAGCAGATTGACATATGAATGGTGTCGCGATCACAAGGACACACGCGCTCGTGAACTTGGACAAGATGTCAACGACCACCGATATTAGTGATCAGAGTTTGGTGGAAGAGACCAAGGAAGGGACGCCAATCTTCCTGCAGACCCGCGCGGCTCAGTGTATCGCAGGTGTATTCGTATGGGTGGCACTTTTTCTTACTTGCCAACAGGTAGTTATCGAATTAGGATTATACTTCAAGTGTTGTACTTTCGCGGTAGATGGAATGTTATCAGTGATGACAACATCGTGCCCTTTCCCATTGTGTGCTTTTAGATCTATCAACATTTGAGGTGGTATACAAATCCAACGGAACAGAGATGGATAGTGCGAATTCTCTTCATCGTGCCCATCTATGCCACATATTCTTGGATCTCACTGTTGTTCTTCAACAGCGAGAGCTACTATGTTTATTTTTTCACAGTGCGGGACTGTTACGAAGCGTTTGTTATATATAACTTTCTGTCACTATGCTACGAGTACCTAGGCGGTGAGGGCAACATTATGTCCGAAATCAGGGGAAAACCCATACGTTCGAGTTGCCTTTATGGAACTTGTTGCTTAGTTGGAAAGACGTATACCATCGGCTTTCTGAGATTCTGCAAGCAAGCTACTTTGCAGTTCTGCTTAGTTAAACCAGTGATGGCGTTTGTCATCATATTTCTGCAAGCCTTCGGCCACTACAGAGATGGAGATTGGTCACCCGATGGCGGTTACATCTACATCACTGTAATTTATAACATCAGCGTGTCACTTGCACTTTATGGGCTGTTTTTGTTTTATTTCGCTACGAGAGACCTGTTGACACCGTTCGAGCCTGTACTGAAATTTTGTACAGTGAAGAGCGTGATTTTCCTGTCATTTTGGCAAGGTATGTCTGAATTTCACTCAAGCTTTCAGTATTTCGCCTCTTAGGAAGAACAAATTTAACATCTAGCTATGTTGAATATTAATAACAATTCTATAAAAAAACATTTCTCCGTGTAGGAGTTCTACTAGCTATTTTGGAAAAGGCGAACGTCATTTCACCCGTTATAAATAGTTTGGGCCAATCGACAAGCGCAGGAACAGTTTCTGCTGGTTATCAAAATTTCCTGATTTGCATCGAGATGTTATTTGCTGCTATAGCTTTACGGTACGCTTTTCCATACCAAGTATACTCAGCCGGCTGTGTTACGGACTCGAGAGGTAGAAGTGTGACGATGCAAAGTATCAGTAGTAGTTTAAAAGTATGTATCTTAGAACATAGGGACATTTGTCGGCATGGTAATTTGTCAATAATAATACTAACGATATTTTGCAGGAGACAATGAATCCAAAAGATATTATGACTGATGCCATCCATAATTTCCATCCACAATACCAACAGTATACGCAGTATAGCGCTGGTATGTTCTGCTCTTTTATCACAATTCCTTATTCTGTTTTGCGCAATATTGCATAATTATTTTTTAATTTACATATTTATTTATTTCGATGGACATATCATATACATTTACATCTGCAAACCGCCCAACTTTCATATAGCATGACGTAGTGTGCGACAAGATTTCAACTCATTCATTCTTGCAAGTTTTTATGTGTCTCATATAAAGTTTACTTTTTCTCACTCATTTATTATTACAAAGAAGAAGTCAACTAGTAAGACATTTTATAAAAACGAAGCTGTAATAGCGTTCCAATTATAGAACGAAATTATTTGACATATATAGTGCCGATGATATAACAGTTACGTGAAATACACATTTCATTCGCGATTGCAACGCTTCAATTACAGGCTTTGGCTTTTGTACATAATTTATATTTCACTTATATTTTCCGACTTCACTGCTGACCGATACAGGCACCAATTAATATATATTATCCACTTTTACGCATATGCAGCTAATTTTTATGCAAGCAATCCTGGAAGTCACAAATAGCACAGAAAATACTCGCTTTGAAGAGAGTAGTCCACTAATGATATGTATTACACTAACGAAGAAAGATTAATTACATAAATTTCCCTTAACATGTGCCGTTTTACTAGATTCAATTTCTTTGAAGGCACTTTTGTTTGCTATTTTTCAGACGTTAATACCAACTTGCCGTACGAAAAGCTATGACACAGTGAGGCGTCGGTTTTTTAATTTCAAGAAATTGGACATCGAGCTTAGCGCGACTAAAAAATGAGGATCGAAAGATATACGACACAGCACTACATTTTGCTTACGGGGATTACTCAATGCCTTAAAAAAAAAAAAAAAGAAAAAAAAATCGCTATCTATCCGCAGGGGTTTGATAAATGAATTCTCTGCTAAGGTTACAAAATAAGAGTTGTACTTAAATCGTCGTCGATACATATATATATATATATATATACGTATTATATATATATATATATATATATATATATATATATATACACACAATTTCATCCACTTTTGCGATTAACAAACTTTGCTGTATAATAGAAGTTAAGCATTTAACATAAGACAGGCATTTAGGGGGAGAGCATAAACAAGCAGGAAAGAGAGGAAACGAGTGGTGTACTTCTATTGCTCTATAATAAATGTAAAAGATCATTAGATATTGGTTGATGTATCGTTCTTCTCGTCGTTTTTTTTTTCTTTTACTTTTCTTATTTTCCGTTTCTAACACACGCAGTCTCACCAATGGGTTTGACGTTATGAAACATTTAGACTTAAATCGTTAAATTAATTTTATCGCTTTTATATCATGGTGTTATGTAGCATGCGAATATACGGTGTGAAACGATTCAAGCATGTAAGCACATTATTGTGTCCTCTTTCCCAACAGTAAAGCATACACTGAGAGTGGCAAAGTTATCACGACCCCTTTAGCTGCTTGCGGTTATTTTATTTCCTACTTACATAATCTGCATGATGACGTTTGTATCGCGGCTACGTCGCATTGATATATATTTTTTTTTATTCTCGCACTTACATATCACTCGTATAGTATAAAAATGTTGAACTTTGTTGCTCCGATCGTCTCTCGCGCGGCTTTTCCATCGCTATCTGTCTATGCGATTTTTGCGTGCGTTTACTCGTCACCGATTAGAACCGGTATAATTTTGTCATACTCCGAACTTGTGGTGACATTTTTTTCCTTCACGTTCACTTGTGAATGGATAAAACGCCACGAATTTGGCGCAATTTCTTCATTCTACCTGCTACACACATGTAGCATCCGAAATTGAATTCGTCGAAATTATGTCGGTCTCGATCTCCCGATCCCACGAGCGTAATTCCGGAGCAAGAACGTTTGAGATGTAAATGTGACATTTCGACGGGCGTATCCGTTCTCCGGATCTCATCGGAATCTCACAATACGAAACCATGCAAATGAAATGAACACGCGTGTGGAACACGGTTGTGTGCAGTTTGCACTCGCGCGTAAAACGGTCGTCCGATTTCCATTGTATTGGCCGATCGACGCCTCCTTTATTGTTTGCCTCCCGTAGCATATGCTTGCCACGCTGTAATATTATGTAACGTGATATAACGATTAGGAGGCCCGAAAGGACAACGTGGTATGCGAGTATCCAGCTTCGATCCGGATGATCCGCAAAACATGCCGGTACCACCACCGCAAAGGCGAAACACCTCTCACCAGCGTGTCGCCACGATTTCGCAAAACTATAACGAGAAAACGATGTTACTAAGCAGCGACGACGAATTTCAATAAGACGCACACGGTACACGTACATGGATCTGTAAACACACACATACACTCACACACAAACACAACCTGTTCAAAGAGTGCGATTTAAATTTGAGAAATATATATCGACAAACATTGATATTATAACGCGAGACTTCCATGAACTCCTCGAGATTTGCTTTCGATGAAGAAAAAAGAAAAGAAAAAAGATACCTTTATCATAAGCGATCGCGCGATGCGAATTTAATTATTAGGTAGGAACACGACTCGCTCACGGGATACAAATAACAGATTTAGAGAGAGAGAGAAAGAGAGAGAGAGAGAGAGAGATAAAAAGAAAAACAGGAACAGGAGAGGAAGAAAAGAAAATATATCGCGCTCACACGCGTGGCATAAGCGTGCGTTACATCGCGCTGTAATAGTTCCATAATGTTACATCCATGTTAATATATGTATTATGTTATAACATACGAGTATAGTATAGAAGATATTTATTTTAATATGCTGACGCGCGCGCGCGTGTGTTTGAGGCAGTGTTATTTATATATATCTGTGGCTCTACTACGACACTGTAAGGGGTGTTTAACCGCACGATAAAGCTTACACTTCGTGGATAAGTAAATATAATTGTATAGTACTTAATTTTTAACGGAAACGCGTTTCTCGGCGTCGCCCGTCAGTTCTTTCGTTCCGATAAGTAAAATCTGTCTCGCGTCGACGTTTATTTACACTTTTGTATTTTGTTTTTACTTAACTCATTAACTCTCTCGCGACGTCGCGTCTGTCTCTCTATAGGGACTTGAGCCACATAAAAAAAAAGAAAAAGAGAACAAGAATCTTTGCGTCCTTCTCTACAGTCCTATTACGAAATTATTCGTTTCTTAGTCTTACAAAATTCGTACGTGTATATATATCATTGAATTATATCTAAAAAATAAAAAAAAGGGAAGATAAAGATTGACAGATATTCTCTCTCGAAGTATCTGTCACGCCGATGGGAGCCTTTGAATATAAAAGAGAAGAAAAGAAAGGATATATAACAAATATACACTAGCAAGAAAGTGCAAAAACAATTGATGAGTATTGTGTCAGATATGAATAAATATTTGGTATTTGGTGTCTCATGTGTACAACTGTGTATATCCTTGTATTTTTTTTAAAGCGTAACAAGGATATAAGGAGGAAAAAAGAGAGAGAGAGAGAGAGAGAGAGAGAGAGAGAAAGGAAGAGAAAGAGAAGTTAACGAGCAACGTTCTATTTTATAATGAAGCATGCCGTGCTCGCGGTTATTTCGCCACTGTTTAAAAACAAAAGCAGAAGACAGGGAACACACATAAACCGGTGAACAGTTTTATTGTCCTATTTATTACATCATCGTAATAAAGATAAGACAACAATTAATAGATAATTATTTATTTACACGTAAAACATCTGTTAATAATACCTCGACTTGTAGAAAATATACATGCGTACATATACACATGCGTATATGTATATGCCGTATAGAGAATAATTTATATATGTATATATATACACGCCTGTATATATATATACATATACATATATATGTATATATACGATATTTTAATTATATATATATATATATATATATATATATATATAAATAATAATAATCTCTATCTCGATGCTTTCTTAAAATATATTAGTCAACTCGAATACCGTACTATTACTGTTAGAAGAATAATTTAGAATGTTACTCTCAACAGCCTTTAATTTTTGGCAAAAAGAAAGAAAAATAAAAATATAATATTGTATACACATTTTGTGTGATAAAACGGTTCAATTTTTTTTCCTCATTGCAATAATGAAAGCACCTTCAATTGCGCAGTTGCACTACCAGCCGATCCAATAGGACCGATTGTTCGTCACGATTTTCTTCCAGCCATGCCAAGGAGATTCCAGGTTCTCGCGCGACACCAACATTTCCGGTGATACGGTATTATCGTCGTACGATTGTACGTCTTGCTCTTCATCATTGTCATCGTCATCTTCATCATCATCATCGATATCATCATCTCCTTCTACTTCCACCAACGTTGGCTCCATCGACTTCGTCCTCGCACCTTCGTCCTCCTCCTCGATATCCTGATATTGCAGCTCGTCGTCCATGTAGACTACCACGTTATTATCTTCGTTATTCGTGTACTTGTCGTATTCCTCGGCGACGTCCCGTTTCGTTACCTTGCTCGTGCTTACGAGCAAATGCTTCCGTTCGCTCTGGACGACAGATCGTTTCTCGTCGAGCGGTGACCGTGGTTTGATTATGGGCCTGAAGCCGATCGACCGGAGCCGTGCTATCCGCAGGTCGCTGTCCAACGTGTTCACAGGCACGAATGCCGACGTCCTGTCCTTCTCCGTTAGCGTCCTGCGCGTGGATCCCGAGGAGCTCGCGTGGCACTCGTCGCTCGTCGTGAGTGCGGAGGTGGCGATGCGCAGCGTCGTCGTGTACACCTGAGAGCCTTGATCGTTACACACCACATCGAGTACAGACTCCGGCTGCAGCTTGATCCTACGGTCGGCCGAGTGTCCGGAAGAGGTGAATCCCGGTTTCTTGCTTCCTTCTACGCTTCTTTCCGAGCTGTTCTCAGCCGGACCCTCGAAGATGAGCCTGCACTGCGTCGTCGCGTCCATCGTGTTGGGCTTCTCCAACGGTTTCTTACGAAAATAATACAGCCGCGAGGTCTGTGGAGCGCGACGTGACAAAGGCACTGTCTGCACCAGCTTCTTCCGAAGACTCCTGTCGAAGGAGGTTTTAGGAACGTTACAGTCACTGACGTTGCTGATCGCCGCGCTTCTGTTCTCCTTCTTTCTGCTGCCCTCATTAGTGTTAGCGTTGTAACCGCGATCGTTGTTGCTCTTCATCGCGCTGCCGAGACTCTCCTCTTTGCTCGTGCTGTTCATGTCCTCGGTGGAACTCCTGCTGCGTAACACTCTGTACCTGTCCTTGCTTTGCCTGTCCCGAGCAGGCTGACGGCCGACCTTGGTTGGCTTGCTCTTCCGCTTGAAGTTAGACTTGTACCGCTGCTTCTCCGTGATCCTGTTGCGCTTGCCGGGCGGGTACACTATGGTGTTCAGGGTGCTGTAACACCTCTTGTTCGTGTACGTGTTGTTTATGCACCGCAGCCTCCTGTTCCTGGGCCCGCGCATCTTCGGCCCGATATTGGCGTCTATCAACAAGTTGGCGATCTCCCTATCCCCCTTTTTGTGGAGTCTGTTCTTTTTCATCGGCGAGCTGGAGAAATCCTGCTTCGTCAGCACGTCTTTGTCGGCCCGCAGGCGCGTCTTTATGTCGTACGCACTGCGAGTGTGTTGCGCGATGGTCTGTAGCGAGGATTGCACGTTGAACGGCGACAGGTACTCGTTGTTCTCTTTCGACCCGTCGCTGGGATCTTTCATCCGCGTTCTCCTGTTGCGATTCTGATCCACGTCGTTGCGGGACTGGCGGCGCAGCGCCTTGTCGAATTTGCCCGCGTCCGTCTGCTTCGACACCTTCCAAGACAGCCTCTTGGACCGATACCTGCAATACCGTCTGCTCAGCATCATATCCTCGGACAAGCAGACAACGTTTTCCTTGGTGTTGTCCCTCTGCTTGTGACTGATCTTTGGCGACGCGTCCGGAGTGTTCACCTTCGGCGCATCCCACATCGCGCACTCCTCCGTAGTCAGGCCTATCACATTGCCGATCAACATCTTGGACAAAGGGTGATGCTTCTCCTTGTTGATCAGATTCAAGATCTTGTCGGGCGTCAAGGATTCCAAGGACTTGATGTCCTGCGTATGGAGCGCCTCACCCGACTGCTTCGAGGCGTCCTGACTTCTGGAGATTCTCTCGCGCATCGTGACTGGACTCCTTGGTGGTTCATCGACACTGTTCGACATAGGCACATTCACGACTCGTCCAGCATCTCGCGAGTGTTGCTGACATTCGTTGCCATTCACGTTGTTCTTTGAGCCATCCACCGGCGCAGACGCGGCGTACGGCGAGCATCCTGATGGATGCACGGCGCGAGAACACGAGTCGTCCTTCTTGCGCTTGCTCAAAGAACAATCGAGTTTGTTCATGGTATTATCGCTCGCGACAACGTGGCCGTTGCAAGACGTCGCACTCTCGACCGGCTGAGGATTCACCCGCGTCGTAGTGTCCATGTCTATTCTCGCGACGGGCTTGGGATCCTTCCTCGGTGGCGAACGTACGTCTATGTCCAGAGCCGTACGATTGGCGATGTCAATCGGCTTGAAAGGTTTGTGCAACATCGTCGTGACGTTCCTCTTCGCTTCCTGCGCGTTATGGGACGATTCATATAGACCCATACGTATCGAGATATTTGTACTGTGAGTCTTCGGTGCTGATGTACCAAGGCACGTTAACGTCTTTCGATCAGGTACGGAAGTTGAGCATATTATGCTCTCCGCGTTGCTTGGTTTCTTGAAGACATGACGCGTGACGATGGAGCTCTCAGGTACAGACTTCTTCGTGTCGAACGATGGTATCGTCTTTGCGACCGGTAGAGCTTCACGATTGTCTCTGTGGTTGAATTTCCGCTTGCCGTCGGTGCTGGGCGAACATTTCCGTAAGTCATACGTGTTGGAGGTAATGATTGGAGGCTTCGGATGATGGTTTGGTCTCGCAGATGTGCTGTGTCGTGTGACAGATGGGACTTCTGAGCTCTTGCTACTCCAATTCGGTGACTCTTGGTCGGTAAGACGCATTAGAGCAAATTTATTGTACTGGATCCCATCCGCATTGGTGGCTATCCAATAGTCTATAACTATGTAGAGCCCATCGTATCTGTAGCCTGTGTTAGGTGCTATGTCATTCTGCAGATTGTAGCTTCGAATTAATCTCAATGGTATCTGGTTCTTGTAATTGTGAATAAATGGATCTGTGCTCAGTTGCTCTTTGTGATACACTTGGCCGGTGAGTGTGAGAAAATCACCAAAGTCTACATCCTCGTTCATGTTGGCCTGTGAAGTACAAACAGAAGCAGCGCCAAAGGATCCCTCATCCACATCAGCATTGAAGGGATTGTGTACACCGTCTCTGGAGCAGTCCATACGTATACCCCACCAAGATCCAGATGGAAATTTAGGGATCGAGCCATACCAACAACTTGTGACCTTATGGGAAATATTTTTTCATCAAGTTGATCGCTAAATATCGATAAAATCGTTTATACGATTAAAATTCATTGTAAGGACGGAACTTACATTCCTATTGTAGCACGACAGATTCAATTTGTCTGAACTTTTCGTCGAATTCTCTTCAACAGCTTGGTTGAGTTTGCGAAGCAATCTGTTCAAATCCTGTCGGATGCGGCCTTTACCCTATGACACACGAGGCGCGTTAATGCGACACAAGAGCAATCAGAGAGAATAGTATAGTTAGTGGCAAACAACATGAAAGAAGTACAGATAATATCGCGGTAAGACGAGTCACAGTTAGAGGATAGTGTTTATGGCGACGCAGTACCTGACTCTTAATTCGCGCCTCGCGCAGCCTCTTTTCATTCTCCTGAATGGTATTCTCGTGGACACACTTGGCGACGTCATGACTCGACCTCGCCATTTTCACGTGACAAGGATCACAAGCTAGCCGCGTACGCTAGATACGTCCCGCAAATCCCGCAAATCTGACAATTCCCTTCCTCTCGGACAATAGCCCGTCCTGTGAATGCAAATGGCCGCTACCACGGCCGCCCCGTCGATAACGCGACGAGATTGTACTTCGCATCGTCCGAAGACATGTGACGAATTAGGTCTGTTCGTGTTACTCGCGCTTCCCGCTTTTTTTCTTTCCTCTTCTTCCTTTCTCTCTTTTTCTCTCTCAAGTCCGAGCGTCCATCCGTCTCTCTGTTTAATACACGAATGGATCTAACGCAAGTGTCGCCGCGTCATAAATCAGACTGTTATTATCGATGATAAAGAAAGTCGATAGAAGACTGTTGTCATAAACAACAAATTGACGATTGCATCGCGCCTATTGACAATTGGACGATTCATCATTATTCGCGCTGGACATGTGACGAAAGAGCAGAGACTTGTGAAACAAGATCGATCTTACGAAAGTGCAAAAATTTGATCGCCAATTATCCGGGAGCGATCGCGAGTCGAAGATGTAGATAGATAAATAAACAGAACAGACTTCCGGTGTCCTCTCTCTCCTCTCTCTCTTCTCTCTCCTCTCTCTCCCTCTCTTTCTCTTTCTTTCACGTTCTTTCCCTCCAGCGCGATAAGAAATAAATAAAAACGGGACCTGAGGTAAGCGCGAACGGCTGCCGTGCGAGCGTCTTGTAAACAGCGCTTGAGGAAAGTCGGGCTTCAGTGCGCGCCACAGCCGCGAGATGGCGTAATACGTGCGACGCTGCTTTTGACGTTCGTGCATGAGTTTTTTTTGGTTCCTTCTACTTTGAAAATGCCAGGAAGTGATTTTTCCTAGCGCGCCGCTTAGTCCACGCACGGCCGATCGAGGATGTGCTGGAAGGCGTTAGCCGCGACGCGAGCCGTTCGACTAATCGGTATTTCGATTTCGAGTACGTAGTACTCTGCCTCAGCAAGGCGCGCACGAGGTCCCGCGATTGGCCAGTTTACGAAAACGACGATGGCTCCGTGAGGAGAGGAGAACATGGCTGCGACGCAAGCCGAGAGCCAACAAAACGATGTGAAGTTGAGCGAGTCCGTGAAATGCGCACAGAAGCGTACGCAAGTCGGTGGGAATAGTGCGAGTGCTAGTGCGAAGCAGCAGCTGGATCCGGAGCCGGACGATAAAGTGTCCCGGGGCGCGGCCCAGCTGCTTAAATATGTGAATCGCGGCGGGGACACGGGCTACGAGATGAGTCAATACCGCGAGGACATTGGCGGACACACTGCTGCCGGTGAGGTAAAATCGCCGCGTGAGGTTGGCCAGGCGCCTCAGGAGCCCATTGGCAAGCAAGAGGGTCACGATGCGCCCGGCCATCCCGGCCACCCCGGTCATCCGTTCGCGCCAAACGTGATACGCGACTACGCCGACGAGTATAGCAACAAATCCAGCGAATTCGCCGCCAGCAAGTCACTTGCTGACTATCCAACCGGTAAGCAGCTACCGGAGTATGTAACCAAGCATGCGGACTTTCCTGCCAAGCAGCTGGACTACCATGGTAAACACTTGATGCACGAGAGTGAGCGGGCGCACAGGGCCGACATGGAGGAGCATTATTCCGCCTCTAAGATCGAGTCTCGTCTGACGTATGTCAGCGCCAACCCGGGCAGCTACTCGGGTCAACCAAGGTTTTTGTCTGGACAGAGTATATCCCAGGCCACTGGTCCTACACCTACGCTGAACCAGTTGTTGCAAGCGTCTACCCCAGTGCATCGGATTCATGGAAACTATCCTGGAATGGCACCAGAGTCCTATCAGCAGCCATGGCCTATGCAGAGGCCATCGGTTGTACCTCCTGTTTATCCGCAACCTAGCCAGCGTCCTCCACAGACGGTAAATCAACGGACTTAAGATTCACTTTTGCTGGTGCAAAGTTGCACTTAGGTTAAGCTCAACAATGAGATGTAATATGCCATTGAGTCACAATCTAGTCTTTACTTTTTGTTCTTTGAGTCACAATGCTTCTGACCTTTTTCATGAGTCTTAAACTTTGCATACTCGATTCATATATATGTGATTCTAATTATTATGTGTCTTCCAAACCATCAGGGTTCACCGAGATTACATGCAGGGCCAGGAGGACAGAGTTCTCCGACACCCATGCAATATCAACAATATACCCAACGATATTCCTCTCCTGCAAGACCTCATGCACCTTATAGTCACCATCAGGTAAACAGATCTATTCTTAATTTTAATTTTTAGCTTTAATTTGCACTGCTCAATTAGAGGAAACTAACTTGATTAGACTTGAGAGTTACTAAGAGATGTTTACTTATATCTTTTTAGCTAAACTCTTATACGACGCAAACCAGTCATCCATCAAGCTTATACACAGAACAAAGGGGATGGAATCAAGGTGGCCCACCAAATCCACCACCACCACCAAGTAATCAAGTTACTCCCTCGGGTCAGTCACCACAACGTGCTTTGTCTCAATCACCAGCTCCACCACCTGCTGCATCACCGCAGCCACAGGCTACTAGCCAATCTCAGGTGAGTATCTGTGGAAACTTACACAGGTACTAATTGCTGATGGTTTCTACACACCACTGGAGCGTGTTAACATTTTTAGAAACAAACATTTTTCAATGTTACCATGGGAGAATCCATTTAGTAATATAAATGTATTTCAACATTCGTACTTGGTGTGTAAAAGTACACTCTTGTTGCGAAAGAGATACCAAGTAAAATTAACATGAAATGGTTTTTCAAGTGAAATAGACAATAGTAATTGATCCAAGGGATTGGTCCCCTTTTTCAAGAGTGGGAATGGGTTCATCACGGATATTATCAATAGATGTTAATAAGATGTATAAATTGATTGTGAGAACATGAGGAATAATAGATAGTTTAAGTGTATAAATGATGCACAGAGCGGATTTTTTATTTTCGTTCTTCCACGGATTTATAACAACACATTAAATTTCTCATAAAGTTTAATTCACTCGAGATATTTAAAAATTCTAAGAAAGATATGTTACACGCGACAGAACCAATGGTAATTGCTAATGTTTTCACGAATATGTTATTCATAACTCAAACGCGATAGCATAAGAGTATATATAATTCAAAAGTAACTTAAAGATGTATATACACATTTAAAGTATTCCCCTGCTATGAGATTGGATTATTAACGAAACTTCTTCCTTCTTTTTAGGCTTTCCACAACCTGCAACAGCGAGCAACAACACCAAATACTCAAGGAATTGATTCTGGGGTAAGTTTCTGCATTACACATTTGCGATAGATTTACTCAATGGCTAAGGGTAAAAGAAATGAAGTACGACATTGCATATAGAACTCCTCTTTCTCTCGAGATGGCTGCGGCAAATGCGCGTGAAAAAAAAAAGCGCTTAAAACATCGGGAACGTAGCAAACAAGTTTTTGCACGCGATTGCATAATCCCAGTCGTGACAGGAACATTGTCGTAGAGCATTCGCGTATACTTCGAGCCCATTCTTTTCTTCTGTCGCAAAAGCCACGGCATTCGATACATCGACGCCGGTTGAATTGTGCCTTGATCTGAAACCGCACGTGCGTGTAAGAGCATCGTCCAGTCGGCGAAGACGCCGCCACTGCCATCGCCGCTTTCAGTGTGAGCTCGCGACGAGACGGGCTCGTCATTGGTCGTACGCGTGGGCTCTACCGCCCGGTCGGCGAGTTCCTCGAGTCTTACGAAGTACTGTGTTTGGTCTTCGGCATGATCTTAGTACTCGGTCAAGTACTTTCCTGACGAAAAGAGCAAGCGAGAGTGAGCGAAAGGGAGGTCTTTCGTGAAGAGCGCAAGGAGTTAGGAGACTAGGGAAGTGGTGGATGAGAGAGGAGGCGGCGGAGGAGGATGAGAAGGAGGAAGAAGGGGAGGATGAGTAAGGGCGGAAGAGCGAGGGGAGAGGAGAGTGCGCGCGGACAACGACGACGGTGGGGATGGAGAGTACGCTCGACTCGTAGAGTTCGATTAGGGCGCGAGTTGCGCGGCCGCCGGAGCCCCAGATATTAGCGACTTCCCCGCTGTTTCCCCACCGCTTGGATGCGCGCGCGCGCGCCCGGTTTCATCCCCACTCCGGCCGCGTTTACATGGGTAGGTAAACGAAAGAACCGAGCGGGACACGGATAACGCGACGGCGGAGCGGGCCGACGCGAGCGCGCGATTGGTCGCCGCCGACGACGGCGACGGCGGCGCTCCCCACTCTCGCGCGACGTGACGTTTTGTGTTCGCGCTCGGCTATATTCGGTTCGCCGGATCATGCGACTGTCACTCTGCGACACGCTATCGAACTTCTTGCGCTCCCACGGCGCGGCTCCGAGGCGTCGTCGGAACGCGCGATCGAAATCTGCTTGCTTGCGCGCGGGATACTCTCCGTGGAACGAACCGAGCGAACGCGCCCGCGGCTCCCAGCGGCGGATTATTGCGGGATTACCCGCGACGTCCGGACGGGAGTTTCCGGGCGACTACGTCGTCATCGTCGTCGTCGTCGTCGGCATCGAGCGGTCGCTCCACTCTCCCGGAGCGCGCAGCCGAGATACGCTCCTCGAGATAATATCCCGCCACGAGATGCGCAATGCCCGAAGGGAAATAGGATATCGTGGGATCGGGCGAGCGAATGGACGAGCGAGCGAGTCGGCTCGGCCACAGGGCGGCGGAGTGTTCGAGATCTTCAAGTTAAACCGCACGAATCATTGCGCGCGGAGTACATGCGCTCTCGGTGCTGTCGCGCGACCGAGTACCCGCCATGTTACCGCTCGGCGGCGACTCGATCTACGGCGTTACGAAATAACGAGGTCGCCGGATCTATTCCGCGAGACCGAGAGAAATCAATCCGCGATACACCGCGAACGCGATGAACGTCCGTATTTTTTCTTCTTATGCAGGACGCTCGCGCACGTCGCGCGATATCGTGACGTGCTGTCACACACTCTCTCTTTCTCTCTCTCTCTCTCTCTCTCCGTGGAATAGAATGAGTCTTGAGAAAAGAATCGTCCAGAAGTCTAGGATTTTTGAGGCTTCTGGAAGACGCCGGGAGGAGGAGGGGAGGGGAGGGTTCATTTGCTTCCTTGCAATAACCGAAGTGGGAAATCTTTCTACACTCGCTCTGCGAGTGTAGAAAGAGCGAGCTGACTCTGTTCTGTGTTTGCGGAAATATTGAGAACTCTATCGAGAGAGGCCGGATCGAGCTGAGAGTTTGCCGCGAGTGAACTCTACGAGATATTCTCGACTGCGTGAGCGCTGGTAAACGCTTAAAGGGACCTTAACGCGCCGGTACATGGGCCACGGTATATACGGTCAATAAACGTCGATACATCGCCGGTAGAATTCGAACAGACGCAATTCGCGACGATATAGCCACTTGACGCGGAGAGAGGGGGAGAGAGAGGGGGAGAGAGAGAGAGAGAGAGAGAGAGAGAGAGAGAGAGAGAGAGAGAGAGAGAGAGAGAGAGAGAGCTAATCGTAAACGAGTAG